GTCTGTATTCTGTTACGTGTAAGACGTTTTGTTCAATGAACAATTTTTTCTGTAAACGAAATAAATTATAAGTCTCTATTTGCGTTGTATTCAAAATGATGGATAATGGCCACAACGAGCAAGAATTCAGTTTTCCTAACAGTTCGTTGTGTAGGCTGCATACAAACTGAACATTTTGTCGAGTTTATACTCGCAGTCCATCCGCAGGCAATAAAATGTGAGTAACATGACAGATTCTAAAATAGAATGAAATAATATGAAAAGTTTCCTGGTACAGCTGCATGTTGCAGCTGTCACTTTCCCCGCATCGTCAATTTTATAAAATTCGTTTCACCGAACTGAAGCCCTGTGCTCACTCTGGGGCTTACTGCCATTCTGTCGTGGCACTTAACGAAACTGGCTCACTGAAAGATGTTAATCCTCGAAAAACATGCCATGTTTGTTTATTCATCAACTTCATCTAGATCCTTAAAGCTTACTTGATGTTCTGCCTCATGATACTTGAGCCTGTTTCTCTATGTAGAGTGAAGACGCAGCCCAGTCGAGGCTGAATCTTGCGTCACAGCAGAGATAAAAAGCAATCAACGAAATTTTGGTATCATGTAACGTCTCGAATGCTTCAATTAAAGGCCTCTCAGCTCAGTTCGCGCATTACATACATCGTCGGAAAGTATCTGCAGGCGCAATATGAAACAGACGTATGTCTCCAAGCAGTGAACCCATATCGCCTTCGCAACTTCACGCAGCTACTTCACCATAAGAGGGCCGAGGGCATTCGAATGCGCAGTCATTAGAAAATTACATGGCCGAATTTAATGTTGGTTGAAACTGGAAAAATTCACTACCACATCACCTCCACACCTAATTACGTAATTATCCTTCGGTAGTGTACAGACGCAAAAATATTCAGGTAGGTATAAGAAAGGGGTTAAAACTACTGGTGTAACAGTTCGTGGAGGTCCATATGGTTGTGAGACACCGAGGCTCCCACATTTTCTAGACAGTCTACTCAGAGATGGCGGTGAGGTCAGCCTTACGCACCGGCCGCCTTTTACCTCCAGGAAGATTCCTGATACTCATTTCTGTTACGAGGCTGAGTCAACCCCAGGGCCGTTGTGCGGCTGAAAGGATTAGGTCAATTGAGAAATCCAATGACCTCGTCATTCATCGAACCCGCAACCTTCCTGCTTGTAGCGCTGTGCTACCGCATACCCCATTATTCAGGAAACCGCTGCAGAATTAATAATGTTACGTTTCGCGTTATTAATACTTCTTCGGCAGGCATATGCGAAAGTAGGCCGTGACCGTATTCATGCGCGCTTGTCTGCAACGCACTCTGCACAATGGCAGTCTTGCTGTTGTAACGGCTGACACTCATTGAGAGATGCACCGGTCACTACATTAATTTACCGAGGTTCACCACCCGCCACAAGTAATTACAGCGCTATCGTCAATCTCCCCAAAAATCTTCACAAAACACTACAGCATCGGCTAAGCCTTTTTCCAGCCTGCTGTGTCTTCACCGTCCGTTCCCTGGCAACGGCTTCTAACAATGGAGCTTCTGCAATTTACGCTCTCAAGTCCTATTTTCACAGCCTGCTGTACAAAACTCAGGTCTCAACTGACAACTGAACCCATTGCTCCAACTGTCCTGATTATAACATCTCGGCACGGACCACATAGAAAACTCATTCTATTGTTGCTTCCGTATCCGTTTCCCCCGGAACGTGTTTACCGAGCCGTTTCGATATTTTGTTCAGCCCCGCCAATCTGTCTAGTGTACTTTCTCATACCTCGCGTTGATAGCATGGCCCCTCCGCAACATTCACGGGGGATACAGTATACACCCCACGCAAGGAACCTCCCAATAGATATGAGATGTGCATTTTCTTAGCTGGAACTTTCGCAGCTCTTAAGTTTAAGGAGAGTTGGTATTTTCGGATTAAGTTCTGCCTGTCACTTTGAAGAGTGGAGTCTGTCTGTCAGTCAGTTAGTCGGAATAGGCTAATACTTAAAATGAGTAGCCGTTTGGGGACAAGAAAATATCCCGCGGGAAACAGTTACTTCAATGTAAGATTTGAGGTTTTCACGGCGGTGACTATGAAGAATGCCGTCTTCTGAGATGTGGCGCCGTGTAGATATCGTGTTAACCGACGTTTCGGAGGAACGTACTGCTTCCATTTTCAGGTGAGCAGGTGGCTGCAGTTTAGTCATCCAACATTTCCCATAAAGTGAAACGAGTTGACATCATTTGAATTCGTAATTGCGTCCTTTCATGGATTTAAGTAATTCAGAACCGAAGCATTTGACCTGGCACAGCCGAATTCGAATCTGAAATTACCCATCCTGACTGAACATCGTGGTGTCCTTCTGAAATTATCCACGAAAATACGTGGTATCTCACTAAAGTACGAATATACTGAAGAAAACTTGCATTTTTACTATGGAAGTAATCTTGTCTGCTATATCGCCTATCGTGGTTTGGATGTTCCGTGGTTTCCCCCAGTCACTTCAGAAATGTACAGAGATATTACCTTCCAGTAGGTCACTGCATCTTACTCCCCAGTTCTTTCAAATTTCACCGAATGCGCCAACCACTGATAGCTTTCAAAGCTAAATAACTGCTGTAGTTGATACAGTGTCGCTTTATAACCTGTAAACCTCTCCCTTCTCATCAGACTGGACTGTGGGCGGTACTTTATTCATCTGTTCATAAAATATAAGTTACCACCACCACACTCACACCCACAATTAACTAGTAACAAAAATGTGGAACATTAATATCTACAATCAGTCCTGTAAGGTAACGTTGACTTAGGAATACTCCTGTTATCATTGGATGCGTTATCAGTCTTATTGTGGAATATTATATATTCTGATAACTCATTACATGTACTGTCTTCGCTCGCTTGGAACCTGGGATGGTGGGTTCGAATCCCACTCAGGGCATGGATGTTTACTTTGTGTGTGTGCGTTTTTCTGTGTTTGTGTACAGGTAGAGACCTTGCGACGAGCTGATCACCCGCCCAAGGAGTCCTGCCGAATGTGTAAGATCTAGAAAAACCGAAGTGAACGGAGAAGTTCATGGAGGTAGGCCTAGGCCCACTGTGGCTGTAGTTCCAAAGGGGGGGGGGGATAACTCACTAATAAGCTACCAATAATTAATAGCATGTATGAATTTCATAAGTTATCATTTATACATTTTAATCAAACCAGTTTAATTTATTTATTATGCTATATATCCATTCAGTTTCAACCGTTTACTTTATATTAATACATCGCTGAATGAGACCGTAAGACGTGCATGAACAAAGACACCTGTAGCCTACTTCAGCACATTAGCATGTCCACTGCCTAGGATGTCTGAGGAGAATAACGAAAATCTCCATCATAAGAGCTGATCGCCCTCCCAATATTCGAAACACAGACGTCCAAAGTGCAAGTCTAGATAGTTACTGCTATCCAAACCTTCTCTGTAGATGAGTTACAAATTATTTCAGAAATCTATATAAGAAAAATGCCGGTCACGGTAGCCGAGAGATCTAAGGCATGTACTGTCTTCGCTCGCTTTGAAACCGGGATCGTGGGTTCGAATCCCACTCAGGGCATGGATCTTTAGTTTGTGTGTGTGCGTTTTTATGGGTTTGTGTACAGGTAGAGGCCTTGCGACGAGCTGATCACCCGCCCAAGCAGTCCTACCGAATGTGTAAGATCTAGAAAAACCGAAAGTGAAAGGAGAAGTTCATGGAGGTAGGCCTAGGCCCACTGGGGCTGTAGTGCCAAGGGAAAAAAAATATATATAAGAAAAATAAAAGGGCGTTTCATTAATATAAACTTCCCTTTTCGTATTCTGCAATCTTGACTTAAATAATTTGTTGCCTATGGAGACGGAAATAACATACTTGGATGACTGTACAGTAGTTTCTGATGCTCGATTACTGATGTGTAAGATAACACGCACGTTATGTATAACAGTGTGCTTAATTTTAACATTTCCATAAATTTATTCGTTAAATAACGCCGGCAGAGGGAGGGTAATGTGGACGAAATTCACGACACACATCAGTCAGTCTCCGTATCGGGATTCGATTGAGGTTCCTTTACTCTATGAAGAGAAAATATCAACCAATACAAAGGCGGATAAAAAATTGAAAGAATCGGTGTGGCTTAAATGGCATACTATCGTGCATTTTATCTGGAGGTATTGAGAAGAACCACGAAAACCTCAGTCAAATCCGATAACAGAACCGAAATATGAAAAGTTCACCATTCAAATGCATGTCTCGAGCGTCACCAGTGGCCCAACTTCTACGGTTCACTAGTGACATCTTATTTGTGTGACGTAACTACAACACCGAAATAATTAATGTGTTTACTTTCCGTTTATAATATAAAAGTAATTAAAAGTAAAGGTATCCCTGTAACAGGCCGTGGAGGCCCATAGGGTTGTGAGATATTGAGGTTCTCACATTTTCTAGACAATCGGCTAATAGATGGCGGTAAGGTTGTCAGCCCTACGCGCCGGCCGCCCTTTACCCCCCAGGAAGATTCCTATTACTCATTTCTGTTAGAGGCTGAGTCGACACCAGGGCCATGGTGCGGCTGGAAGGATTACGTAAATTGAAAAAAATCAATGACCTCGTCGGGATTCGATCACACGACCTTCCGGCTTGTAGCATAGTGCCTCAACCAACTACACTACCGCGTGATCCTTCGGTTTATAGCATAAATATATTAATTAATTCCACGTATTCTACTAAACTGCAAATTCGATTACACAGAATATGGGACAAAAATGACCGTTACGGTATGATGTAGGCTGACAGCTCAGTGTATAATCACAACTTAGGTTTAACGCTGTCAGTAAAATGGGGCCACAATCTGTCTAATACACCATCAAAGACAGCCTAAAATGTGTGCAGCGCGTAACAGAAGTTTAGAAGGGAATCAACAGGATCTAACGTGAGACGTTATACACGTATATTACAAATTAAGCCTACCTTCAAATAGGTTTGCCGTAACAAAATCCATTATCTCCTAAACTTCTAGAAGTGTGGAAGTAATTCTGGTATCAGCTTCTTAAACTTCAATGAGACACTGATTTTAGTTTTGTATTCACACCTGAAGAAAACCATCTGTTCATCCAACACACCACAGAACAATGTGAAAACCACTTTTAAAACACACTAAAGCACATAAAGTATTCCATATTACAACTCGCACTACATACGAATGTTGTCATTTCTAAATTACGAATTTGAAACAACTTTGCGGCTAGAATTGATGTTTTCTTTCTGGAGTGTAAACTGTCTGAACGATAAGCACTCACACTCGACCATCGGACACCACGCGCGCGCGGCAACTGAACACGCCAGACGCCAGTTTCACACAAGTACGCATGCGTAACCCGCCTTCACTTCAGTTCTTACCTCGCACGTTCCTTTCTTTGGATCTTCAAAAGTCGCTCCTAACCAAGCGATTCATTCAGCAGTCAGAAACGAATTGTTTATTATAGGCCGTCATATTTCAGGAAGAAAATAATGTATATGCCTGCTCCACTTCATTCACAGATGTACCGTGTTCTATGAGACGTCTATATTCACATAATGTATCTCATAAATTTATTTTTGAAAAAAGACATAATATAGCTTACTTTAGTACCTTATCGAATAATTAATTTTTAAATTACAGTGTGTATTTAAGCTTTAACTTCTACTTTAAATTCTATTTCCGTTCCTGTCGTTTTATTCCCTGTTACATAACTGTCCTACTGTGTCGAAGGTCTTATGGTCGAAATTAGGTGATATCCAGTGAGGACATTTCTGCTTAACAACTGCATATCTCATCTCTTACAATATCATAATTCTGTGCATGAGAGATGTTCGCTTAGTGGGGGGTGGAGTTCAACTGGGTCCACTCGGCACGGCGGCCACTGATTGGCCTATTGTAGCCTGCCCGGGTGATTATGATGATGGAGAATTTGGTGGAATGAAGATTGGCAGGGGAAACCGAAGTACTCGGAGAAAACCCGCCCCAGCGCCATTTTGTCCCCCACAAATCCCACTTGACCAGACCCTGGATCGAACCCGGGCCTCCCCGGTGGGAAGCCAGCGACTAACCGCTTGAGCTATGGCGCGGCCATTGAGAGAGGTTACTAGGTTCATTTTGCCTTCAAGTCAGACATGGGAATTTTCAACCTGTTCATCCCACTCCGCCATTTATCTTTATGACACAGTGATTAGTTAGTTAAGCAGAGGGAAAACTTTAACTTTTTTGCCTTTATTTAGTTATTTATGTATGATTCTGCAGTCCTTTTGTTGGAACTTGGCCGTTTTGCAGTATTTCTAATCCTATACACTGTTGGTAGGACTCCTTGGATGAGGGATTAGCCCATCACAAGGCCGCCATCTACCCACAGAACAGCACAAACACAGAATAAACACACACACAGACATCCATGCCTTCAGTTAGATTCGAACCCGCGATCCCAGCTTTAGAGCGAGCGAAGACGGTTCATTCCTTACACCGCGGGGCCACTATGATATTTTTCTTTTTACCTTTACGTGCTTCAAATTCGAAAAGTCCGTCTTTTGTTTCACGAGAAGAAAACTATGTCCAATTGAACTGCATATCTGTTCTATAGCTGGAATACCATCGCTAAGTAGAGGTCACAATAATTACATACATTATTATTTATGCTTTTAAAAAAACATCATTTCATAAACAGGAACCAAATAAAACCCTCTCATCCCCTTCAACATTACATAATGTATGCAGTTGATGAAGTTTTGTTGGTAACTCCAGTACAACCACGTGACAACATACGAGTGGGTTCCACACTGCAGATTCATCTTCGGAACGTAATGTTTGCCGTTAGCGCAGTACAGTTTTCATTATAACGGATAAGAAACAAGCGTTGCCATCAGTCCAGTTCCCAGGGTCACATAACCAGCGCTTCACTCCTCGGCCTTCCCCCCCCCCTACTCACACAGACATACGTACTCTCCAGCACCTAGCACTTCCACTGCTGCTACCGCTACCGTCAGCGTGACAGTTCTGAATCCGGTAACGTCCTCAGCATTTGGGTGCGACGAAAATGAAGTAAGAAGAAGATAAAGTTCGATATTTAAGAAACAGCTTCATTACTTGCATCCTCCAGTTAGGGCCAGCAATATTAAGGTACTGAAACCAAGAGAGATGGAACTAAAGGTGCACGTAGCACGCATGTAGTAAGTAAAATACCTCCAAAATGTTTGTCCCCCCATCAAGCATCCTGGTCTGGTACAACGGTCCATTTATGGCCTGAGTAATGTGATATAAGGCCTCGAAATTAGAATAATAGATACAGAGAAACGGCTTTTACAAGGCAACGGCTCTGTAGACCCAACAGTACCAGTGCAATCTCTAAGCAACGTACGAACGCAACAATAGAGGCCGATATTCGAACCGAGCACGTCTTGAATACAAGTCCTGCTACAAAGTCCTGCTCGGTGCAAACATTTCACAATCTATTTTATTATCATCCAACTGTTCACCAATACGGTACGTGAATTGTCTGCAATAGCAAGAGTGTGGAGGGGGTGAAACATCCGTGGTAAATGTAAAGAGTGGGTCCTCCATTTGCTGCCAAAACAAAAATTAGCTCAAAAATTGAATTTGAATGTACTTATCACTCGATCTTTCTAGAAATGCTACTACTTTTCTGGCTAATTTTCTGTGTCACCATTTGTACAAAGAATATAAACTAATCACCATTAACTAAGCTGCGTTTTCAGTAACTTCCGAAGAAATTGGAATAAAATAATACTGGAACGTGTAACTACTCAAATGTGTAATACTGTTACACTGTTTTTACTCTGAAGAAGAAAATTGTAATATTGGATTAATCTACCAAGTTTAAATGCTCTAGGACTCTTCGATCGATTATTTAGGTCTGGATTTTAAAGGACGGCCAATTTTAAAAAACCCGGTTGTAGTATGCACCGTATGTTAACAGAGTTCTTCACAATATATCTCCAATATAAATAAAATTTATTACATAATTAATTAAATCATATATCCACTCCCCATATGACTTCATGACGTAGTGCTTAATTAGCTAAACACAGGGACAAATTTACGTTTATCCTTTACATGATTATTTTCAACATGTTTCGATCTAAGGAAACATTTACATTTAAACGTTAGTTGCCATGTATATATGGCAGCTAATGTGATGTATAGACCCATTGATAGGCAACTACTTGGTAAACACATTCCCGCGGAAGCCAACTCGCGCAACAATAGGACATCGTTGCTAGGCAGCTTGGGAGCAGAGGAATTTAACTGAGTCTACTCTTCAGAATTGGCAGTTGCGGAATAATGAGAAGAAGAGAATTAGTCTGTGAAAAGAAGACTTCATGTGTGACTTGAAGGAGCAACAAGACTTTTATAAATCCGTTTCCAATACACGGCTAGTGAAGACTGAGAATCCTAGTGCCTCTGTAACAGTGAACTGTAAATTGTGCAGCCACTCAAGAATTTCCCAGCATTTTATGGAACCCGAAGGTTCATTACCGTGTTTACAAGAACCCTCCATTGGTCCCTATCCTGAGCCAGATCAATCCAATCCATACCATCCCATCCTATCTCTCTAAGATCCATTTTAATATTGTCCACCCACCTACGCCTTGGTTTTCCCAGTGGTCTCTTTCCTTCTGGCTTTCCCACCAATATCCTATATGCATTTCTATTCTCCCCATTCATGCTACATGCCCTGACCACCTCATCCTCACTGACTTGATCATTCTAATTATACTTGGAGACGAGTACATGTTATGAAGCTCCTTGTTATGAAATTTTCTCCAGCCTCCCGTCATTCATCTCTCTTTGGTCCAAATATTTTCCTCAGCACCCTGTTCTCAAACACCCTCAGTCTATGTTCCTCCCTTAATGTCATATACCAAGATTCACTCCCATACAGGACCAAAGGCAAAATCATAATTTTGTACAGTATATTCTAATTTTTATGTTTTTGGACAGCAGATGAGAAGACCAAAGGTTCTGGACTGAATGGTAGCAAGTATTACCCATGTTAAATCTCCTCTTGATTTCCTTCTCAATCAGGGTTTGATTTGTTACAGTCGTTCCCAAATATATGAACTGTGACACATTTTCAAAAAAACATCTGTTTCCTATCTTTATGTCAGGATTTTGCCCTGCATTTTGCTGGTGGGGTAGCAACATATACTTAGTTTTCTCTGTGTTACTTCTACACCAACCTCCTAACTTGCGTCAATAAAGTTTGTGTGTTTTCTTTATGGTATTTATATTATCATCCAGTAGATTCACATCTTCGACATAGCCCAACAGCTGATATGTCCCATTTAATTTCAGTCCCACCTGGTTTTCCTGGAGCTTCCTAATGACAAATTCTAAAGCAAAATTGGAAAGCAGTGGCGATAAAGCTGGAGGGCCACACCTTGTTGGCTGTCCATGACTGATTTTTCAATATATTCCCAGCTACCCTCCTGAACCTGGAGGGCGTCTCCCCTATCCACAACCTGAGGACATGCCATACCGTGGTGACAAAGAACCCATCTAACATGGGCAATTATCATATTACTTTTGATATATTATTAAATTCAGTGTCGGTTTTATTAACAAATGTGCACATAAAATTCTTTAGGTTCATCATACTACTGCAATTAATAAGTGAAAAATTATGTTCTATGTAGCTTTCAAGAGTGGAAAAAAGTTCCAAAGTTGAGTACAAATATTTTTCATGCAAATAAACTTTTCATTCTGGTTCACCCAGTGTCACCTTCTCTAAACACCAATGAATACGTCTTCTATGTATGATGTAATTTAGAGTGGTCCAGCGCATTTCAGTAAGGGGATGTTGTACTAATGTGGATAAACATACTTTACAGGCACTGCTGAGAAAATTTAATTTGATATGAGTGAGATGATATAAGTAAACTCATTTCAAAAAACGGAGTAAGGACCTCTTCCAGTACAAGAGATCGGGATGGTAATATGATTCATTGCTGTGAACTCTGGATGCGAGGGGGCTTAGTACCACAGAAAAATACGATAGGTAAATCAGATGGTAGTTAACCTTCTTACCGACTTAGCTCTCAATGATGGCTGCAGAAATTTGTGAGCAATATCCTGAAGGCGGAAAGTAGAGGGCAGAGTCGGCGCCTGGCATAATATTGACCTAAACATATTTGTTGTTATTTTGTGTGTCTAAGGGAAGAGTCGGAATGAATATGGAAGAAGGTTCCAAAGTGTTTTGAAGTATTCAAGTTCGTTCAAGTTGTCGGTATCAGTGATGTGAACTTCTTTTGTAGACCTGCGGACAGTGTAGGGGTATAACGGTAGATGTTTAATAAATCGATTTAAAATGGAAGGACGGGATACAAATGAGCACCTTCTAGCCTTGAAAGGTTATGTATTCATCATGCAGATTAACACAAGAATGATGTACATCTCACAAGAGTGACAGTATTATACGTATGATGTATGAAGTAACAGAATTCCAAAAAGCATAGTACATCCATAATATTGAATGGGACCTCATAAAACTCATTTACAATGAATTGTACACAAATATTATAAAAATTAACAAAATCTAAAGTGTTAATTCATGTCCTGTGGACCTAGTTTTATTGTAGAAAGAGGAGATTAATCTTCTTCAGGTTCGAATTTAAGATGCAAGTTGCCATATAAGTATATCTTGTTCATTGCTTATGTTAACTACATATTGCTAAAGTCCAGACAAGACCATCATCAGTTGGATCTCTCATTAAAAGAAAAGTTTACAAACCACATGTATATAACAAGGATTAAAATATCTGGGACGCAAATCTCCCCTGAAGTTAGAAGTGATATTTTGTTAAAGTACAGTGATATATGGTATGGTTATGACGATTTCTATATCTGTTGGTTATTTAAACCATGTAAGGATTTTATGGAATGTGAATAAATGAATGAATGGCATTGGCGTTAGTTATATTGTTTTGTATGTGTGGCACTCTTACACTTGCTTTCTCTGGGTGTCTGTAAACATAAGATAGTAATTATTTTTTTTAACTTTACGATCATAATATGCTGTGTTTCTTATTAACAAAATAATGTAAGTTTTCAAAATATTAGTGGATAATGTGAAGTTCTGTGGCTTTATCGTGGCCCCTAGTGGGTGAAATATTGAGCTGTTAGGGACTGGTGGTGTGTAGGTTTGTATGTGATGTGTGCGTGCGTGCACGTGAGAGAGAGAAAGGGGGAAGATGGAGAGAGATCATGGGTATATTGTATCAGCGTTAGGGTTAAAGCCGTGTCAAAGAGATGCAGGTAGTGCAGTTGGAATTTATGGGCCATGTGCTGCTATGGCCATTTCTTAAAGTCAAACAGTTCTAAAGCCGTAACTGGTAGGACATGTTCCTTAAAGCATATTTTACGCTAATAACATTCATATCTTTCAATTTTGCTAAACATTCTCACAAACATGACTGTTGTGATTGAATCATCATTCTATATTCATATTATTGGTTGCGGAGGAAATACTGCTACCAAGATTTAGTTAGTCTCAAGTTTAATTCATTGTTTTTCTGTTTCCTTACTTACATCAGTAATGATGCTGCCTGAGCTAACAGGCAAAAAAAACAAGACCTAGCTAATTGATGGTAGCCAAAAATATACTGAAGGTAGCTGATGATCTCTAGTTATCTCTAGTTTTCTCAGTTCTGTCAGTGTTTAAGAGTATGGATATAAATACAATGGAAGTTTCATGATTGTAGAAACAGTTTTTATGTCAATACATATTTCAGTTATCATGAGAAATGTCATGTAAGATTTGTCTGTTTCTGTTTTAGTGATGCGTCTGACAAGACCAACTTTGTGTAGTCCTGCTATTGTTACCAGTGATTCTAAAGATCTCCCTGGAAATCTTTTAAACAATGACCTCAAGAATGATATCACATCGGTCCCTGGGATAGAAACTTTGGCTGCAGGGCAATTTCTGTTACTGCCACAGAGTTTTGGGTAATTATTTGTAGTGTTAACAGGTTGCAGTGTGATGTTAACACATCTTACATAGTATCTTGAAATAGAATTGTGCTTCTGACTGGTTTAATTCAACTTCTATCAGATATCACTTGCATTATTTTGTTGTGAGTTTTCAGAATGAATGATGTCGTTCTGAAAAGGTCAGCTGTAGTGCTTTGTCAGCCATTGTTGTTTTGGGTGACAGTTTTTCTTGCCATGTTTTAATTAAAGTTTTTAATGCACCACAATAAATTTTGTAGTTTATTTTATGGAACTGTCATATGTCGAATGCATAGTGTTGAATGATACGATGATCTTATGAACATGGTAATGAACCTTCGGGTTCTATGAAATGCTGGGAAGTTCTTGAGTAGCTGCACAATTGACAGGTTCTCAAGAAGGCCTCAGCTCCATTAGTGAACAGACCCACAGAAATTTTTCTCCAGCTCTGTCTTATTCGATTTCATTATGGAACACACCAAAGCCTGCTGTCAGACTCCATCCAGTGCTTGTTGATATCATTTTGCAACTTCATAACCAGTAACCCTAAGATTCATTTTAATATGGATCTTTCATTCATTCGTTCATTTACAGTTTACAAGTATTGGTGGACTTCATTACCTTATGTCCTCTGTATCGCCTTTTAGTTGATACAGTGGTCCAGTTATCAGACGCCAGGCTTGGGAATTCCCTTTCATATCCGAAGGGAGAGTCTTGTTGCAACATTTCAACTATTTTTTGAAGTGATTTCAGTTGCGAGAGGATGTCATTTAACTGCCTTTGTTTATGGAAACAACATACGTAGTCCACAGCACTGTTTATATCTGTATTTAGTGAAAGTAGTTGGGAACGATCAGACAGCACACACATCTATCTATCATGATATTAATAGGATATCCCAAGCCACATCTTTTCATAAAATTTTCTGTATGAATATACTCTAACCATTTCCTCTTTCACCTGAGGCTGCTGTAAACATCTCAGTCTCTGTGCTTTTAATTATGGTAACAATGGTAGAAAATGATTTGGTTGCAATGTGTCTCCTAAAATGCTTTGTTGTTGAAATGAAAGTTGCCAAATTTATATTGTGGCTAGTGTGTAGATCCTCCCTGTTACAAATGAGAGTGAATCTCATTAGTTATCACAGTTATTGTGTTGCATTAGGTATTGTTTGTCTTGCCATTTAGTCTACCAAAACTGCAGCTGTTCGCACATTGCCAATAACTTAGATGCTTACCTCAGTAATTGCCTTCTGTGACAGAAAAATGGATGTACAAACAATATTTTAGCTCTCTTTATGGCAGAAAGTCATCATTAAAAGAATTTAAATTAAGAGCACTGTCTTCTTGAATGTGACACCTTGTAGTCTGGTAGAGGTTCACTGGTGGTCCAGAGGAATATAGTGTCTTCGTAAGGTCTAAAAGTTTGTGATAATGGTACAGTAGTACAAATATTATGTTTTTGGGCATTATCCATCTCCTGTATTTATCTAAAACACTGTCCTGTTTATTTTTCAAAGATGGAGACAGAATCCAGTCTGGGAAATGTTGGGTTTTGAAAACTAAACAGGACAGTGTTTTTAGATAATGACTTGACAATGACTAATGTCCAAAAACATAATATTTGTACTGTCTTCATCTTCAACATTGAATAGTAAGCCAAGCATATGTTGTGCTCTGCTAGGAATCTACTCTGTGCAATGGCCACAGATTTGAAAAGTCTGCCTGCTTCTTGCTCTTTGGCTTTGGAGTTAGAGGCAGTACATTGTTTTGAAATACTGGTGAACTGCTGTCAGCCTGCATGTTCGCTGCATATCACAGCTGTGTGACTCAATTCAATGCAGTTTCAAGTAGAATCTGTGTGTTCACTTTATTTACTAAAACTGTGTTTCAGAAATATCTACCTCGGTGAAACATTCTCAAGCTACATATGTGTGCACAATTATAGCAGTCAAGTTGCAAAGCATGTATCTGTTAAGGTAAGTGAAACATTTCTTTCAAGTAAGAAACACTTTCACACACCTGGATATATATTGTATTGTCAGATCTGAAACTGTTGTGATGGGTAAAGATGATAAAATAATTTCAGGCTGTCAGCCATGTCAGTTGCTTAAAAAATTACCGACACCATCTCTGTATCATGTTTATTGTATTCTTTTCAAAAAGCAGCAGTTGAACTCTACATGAGATATTCTAGAAGTGCTTGGTTTGAATCCTGAGTGACACCTGCTATCTTGACCTAGATTTTGTGTCGTTTTCTGCCGTAGTGTTTATATTCTGTTGCACATTATTCATTGTAATAGAACATTAAAACATACTTCTTTAAGAAGAAAGCTGTCTTCTTGGATGTGGCACCATGTAGAAATTGTGTTAAACTGACGTTTCAGAGGAACGTATCGCCTCCATCTTCAGGGTAGAAGACAAGAAGAAATCCGTGAGTGAACCAGCTAGAGCAGGTGCAACAGACTGAGCCCAGTCGAGTAAACACAGCTGTATAAGAGAAGGAGAGAAGGAGTGTGGCCGCATAAGGAAATAGTAGAGAGGGGGAGGGGAAGGGCCTAGTGGAATGGCCAGCAGGTAGTGGGCCAGAGCTGGTATAGAGTGTGTTAGGGAGATAGAAGGGAAAGTTAAATGGAGGGCATTAACTCTGTAGCTCGGGAGCTGCGATGGACCTTAGTGGCCTATAGGGTCTGCCGTATTCTACCGTGAAGATGGAGGTGATACATTCCTCCGAAACGTCGGTTAACACAATTTCTACATGGCACCACATCCCCCAAGATGGCTTTCTTCCTAGTCACCACCGTGAAAACCTCAAATCTTACATACTTTAAGTTTGCCGATCAGTATGAGTGAAGTGATTGTTCACAAAAAAACCCTTTACAAATCCTAGTACCACTGTAGTGTAAACGTGATAATGGTAGATGTTTTAAATAATAATAATATGCACACATTATATTAAAAAATTTAAAATACTGCAGTTTGAAAAATACATTGTCGAAGGTTGAATTTGATGACCTTGGAAACATAACTACATGTATGATGAATATTTTGTAACAGACCACTGGAAGAGACATTGTATTAGCTTTAATATGAACATAAAATGAGCTCTGTGTCTCAATTAGGGCAGAAGTTATGCCATTTTTTCTAACAACTTGTGTCCAAAAAAGACTAGTTTTTTTTTGGCACCTTTTGGTGTCTTTTTTTCAGAATTCTAGTGGCCATAAAGCAGTAAAGTTTAGCAGGAATACTAATCACCACTGGGACTACAGCCTCACAGAAAATTGTCAAGTCCTGAAGGGGTTGGGTTGGAAATGTCTTTTTTCTATTGAGTTCATGTTAAATGAGGCATCCATTTTCTGTAGAAACCACATGGAGACTGAGGTACTAGTCATATTACATGATGTATTTTTTCTGTCCTCTGTTACAGAAGTCAATGTCCTGTACTTTCAGTCATCAGTTGCTCTCTTCCACGTTGTTTGTTTTAAATCTGGGACTTCCAGATAGTGCCCCATCTTTTTCCAGCACCAAAACAATGTTTGTGAGGCTGAAACTGATTATATTATGGCAGGATGTGTAAGATCTAGAAACTCTGGAATGAGAACAGTCAAGGTTATGATACAGCCAATGGTCAGCCAGCCAATCTATCTTGGTGTCAAGCACCAATCTGGGGCCCAAGACCAGTTTTTTATTACTGCCAGATAGTTGCAGGTTTGTTGATGTGGGGCGCCCTCTCTGATGAGAGCACAGGTGTTTTCTTCTACAATTGCTGCTGGTCCTTGCCAGCGCAGTCACTCTTGGGTCCAGTCCTGTGGGGCTCATGACCATATTTTACTGTCTCAGATTTGAGACTCCCCCAACCTGGAGGGCCAGGTCCCTGTATTTATATCCCACAGGAACAAGGTGGCCCAATTGTAGCCCCAGTACTGGATTCCCTTTTATTTTTTGGCAGGCTGATCTGCAGACTAGTTCCCAGCGCATTCCATTATCAGGCCATCAGATGGAAAGTGTTGCTGCTGAGCTTCATCCTCAGGACATACTTGATGACATCATCCATCATGAAGTTAGGGAAGTTGGCACTCACATGTGAGTTTTTGTTACTTGGTTCCAAAAGTTGAGTTTGATGTCCTGGTGTTGTAATCAGTAAAACATTCCAGGAAACCAATTTGAAATATTCGCATTGATGCTTCTCTCAGGGTTACATCATGTCAAGGGGTCAAGTCTAGCTTTGTGTATATATGTAAGAATCAATTTTCTCAGTTATCAAATATACATAGGGTCAGTGATTTTTAGGCAGATAGAAATACATACAACTGAGCCATTGGTACCTGTGCCTAGTCCTTCCGAGGTTGAAATTGCTATAGCAAAGTTTATAAAGTATAAATTGACAGGTACTGATAAAATTTCATCAGAACTGATTCAAGTAGGAGGTGAAACATGTTCTGAGATCCTTAAACTCATTAATTCTGTTTGGAATAAGAAGTATAAATCATCAGGTATTCATCAGATTCCAGCAGAACTGATTCTAGCAGGAGGTGAAAGATTCCATTCTGAGATCCATAAATTAATCAGGTCTGTTTGGAATAAGGAAAAATTGCCTGAGGAGTGTAAGGAGTCTATAGTTGTACCAATTCACAAAAAGGGCAATAAAACTGACTGTAGTAATTATTGAGGCACATCGTTATTATAAACATCGTACAGAATTTCATCCAACACTTTTCTCTCAAGGTGAAGCCCATACATAGATGAAATAATTAGGGATCATCAGTGTGGGTTTTGACATAACAGATCAACTACTTTTCAAATTTTTTGCATTTGTCCAGATACTACAGAAAAAAAAATGGAAGTTCAGTGAGATGGTACATCAGCTATTCATAAACTTCAAGAAAGGCTATGATTCAGTTAGGAGGGAAATATTGTACAATAATTTCATTGAATTGGGGGTACTGATGGAACTAGTTAGGCTTATTAAAATTCGTTCAGATGAAACCTGTACTAAAGTCTGCATAGGTAAACATTTGTCTGATACCCAGGTTTCATTGTGCAGAATTTATTTATAATTTTGTGCAAATGGATAAAACTTCCATTATTGTCTTATAGGAGAAGCTTAACTACATTGCACTTGGTGTAGGAAGCAGAAACTAAAAATTCAAATTTGCATGAGTAGCAGCATTTAAAGCAAGAGCTCCTAAGATCTATAGTCTCTTCTAAACAATGGATATACCATATGAATAATTGTTATTTCTGCAGAATCTGTTATAGTGAATACTGTAATTATCTTCATTCTAAAAATTATTATATAATAATGTTAACATAAATTAATTTAATTGCAGTTAATCTGTCTTCTGTTTTCAGTCTTGTATGTGAAGTGAATTACATGTCACCAACACAGGGTCAACTGACATTTCGCAAATTCTTTAAGTTCCAAGTTCTCAAACCATTGGATGTAAAATGGAAGTTTTACAATGCTGAGGTAATATAAGAATTTCTTAATTTTAATGCATGACTAATATTAAAAGCACAAATTCTGTGTTTCTGTGCAGTAGGGAAGCTAAAATGTAACATTTACACTGTTACTTCTACAGAGGGTGCTGATGCCACAGCACGTGAACACAGGCACACTCCCTTGCGCTGCAGTCCTTTTGAAAATTTATAAAGTAATGGTTTTATATGTATATTATTCAGAGAAGGTTTTTACTGCCTATACTTCATGCAGAAATATGACAGCAGTTTGTGTTGTTTACTTTTACACGGGTTGTGCACAGAATTCCACAGATGTGCCTGCTTATTGAATGTGGAGTAGAACTGAGAATGGTGGTGAACATGTCAAGTCTCAGTGTAAATATAAATATATCAACAAGTATATTTTGGTAGTTGGCTAGTAAGGTTTGTTAAGTGGCCAGTGTGCTTAACCCTTTGATGATGGGGATTTATATGGCCAATGAATCTAGTGGTAGACTTCATTGCTAGGGTATTTAAATTTTGTGTAAACATTATTAAAAAGTAAACAAGATCTAAAAGTTTGTGATGATGGTACATTAGTACAAATGTTATGTTTTTGGACATTATCCATCGTCTTGTCTTTATCTAAAAACCGTCCTTTTATTTTTCAAAACACAGTGTTTTTGAGATGCTTTTATTGCATTAGTAAAATAATTAAGACATACCAGATTAAAGAACTGTCATGTCCTCTCAAGCACTGCTACCATTGGAATCATTTTTCATCAGTTTATAACATATTTCTGATTGCTTTGTTGCTAATATCAAGCCACTGTTTGAGGTCTGGCTATTATGTACAAATTCTTTGGCACCTGCCTGGCCATAACAATATGCATTGCTGTTGCTAGCCCCAGTGTGTAGTTGCTTAGTTATGACAGCTAATCTAAAGAGGGATAATTGCCGGTTCTTCAAGCACTGACACTAAGAAAATGTTGTGAATATTATTATGAGACATCTAATAGAGTGCCAGTAAAATACAGATCTGCATGTCATATTTAAATTTTATTGATGAATTATATTTATTTCTTTTGTTTCATCTTTTTAAACTGCATGTTTCTTGCTGATGTCAACATTGCATTCCAAGGACGTCATTGTAAGTTGTTTAGTAAGTTTTTTGCTAGCAGATTAGTAGCTAAAATCGCCTCTTGAAACTCTTGCATATTTCTTGCAGTATAGAAGTCATCAAATCTTTGCCAAAAATGTATTTAAATTGTTAAAACAACATGTTAGGTGTTACATGACAAGATGTTTAATCCCAGTCATGTTGAATTAAATTTAGAAATTAAATGTCTTCATTTGGTTCTGTGTTTCCATGGTGATTTATAATTTTCACTGATTAAGGACACAGAAATTATGATATGTAATAGATGGCAGGAGAATGCATTTTAACTAATATTCTAAAATCGTAAATAGCAGAATTCTAATTAAGAAACTTGTTCTTAACATGGAAAGGGATAAAGAAATAATTTGTTTCTTGCCGAATTGTAGTGCTTGCAGGAATTTAAATTCTAATTCTAGTTCATTGGTAAAGCTGTGGGTAGAGCACAGGTTTCTTAATGTTACAGATTTTGGAAAAGAGTTTCAAGGGTTCCTCATAAAGTTGACTTGGTTCTTCCTGGTCCATCACACTAGCAACAGTATAAAATGACTCACAACACCATCCAGTGTGATTGATTAATAAAAGTTGTATTTCAAATGTTTATTGCGTCCTTCTGAAGATGGTCAATCCGACCAAAACATGTTAAGGGAAATGAAAAATTGAAATACAACTTTTATTAATCAATCACATTGGATGGTGTTGTGAGCCATTTTATACTGTTCCTAATATAATTTGCAATTCTAATTAATGTTTTAAATAAAGCTTTCTCAATTATTATAGCATACAACTGCTTATATACAATTTGTAACAGACTGCTTTTTACTATAGTTTATGCATGTTATGAATACTAGTAATGCCATATTATTATATTCTTAATGTGGTCTGGATTCATTTTGGACTGTTATGTAATACATGTTTTGTCTTTGCTCATTGTATAGTCAGATGAAGTGTACTTGGAAGCCCAAGTTCAGAACATAACAACAAGCCCCATCTGTTTGGAGAAAGTTTCTTTGGAATCTTCTCATCTGTTTAATGGTAAGAATTATATGTCAGTGAAGTATTACAGTTGACTCCAGTTCTGTTATTTGCTTAATCATTTAAGCCTGAATTAAATGATGATATATGAATACAAAACTTTGGGAATGTTTCAGCCCTTTAATTTCTCAATTGCATGAATGTTTGGAATGGCCTATATCTTCCTGTTTTGCAGATGTGGGAACATGAGAGACAGACATCATAAGTTGTGGTAACTGAGGAGGGTAGGATAGAAGTCATGTACATTGGTTATATGGATGCAGTGGGGGATAAGAGGAACAAAAATGGGGGGGGGGGAAGCAGAGAACAGAATGAAGGTCTCATGGTAGTGTACATGGACCTCCATGGCCCAGTGGAGAATCCTCTGAGGGAAGGTTCCTATGATCTTTCAGGGAGCAGATTTATCGCTTGGTTTCTCTTTATCCCTGAAGACAGTGGTGATATGCTCCTCGTAAATTTTTGTTGACTTTCTCCAGAGATTACACTGCAGTAAAAGAACAAAGTTAAAGTGTGATCGAGAACTGCATCTTTTGAAGGTCACATGTACTGTAGCTGTGCACTTCATTCCAGTAACTGCATTGAACACAACAATGGATGAAGAATCTGTCTTTGGGCATGTCAATGTGCTACAGCCTCAGGCCAGTCGTCAGTTTCTCTACTGTCTTGCTCCTCAGGCTAGCCTTACCTCAGACCTACGGCTTCTCACTGGTGCTACTAATATCGGAAAACTGGACATTGTGTGGCGATCGAATCTTGGTGAGAGAGGACGCCTGCAGACAAGCCAGTTGCAGAGAATGGTATGTTGGTATAATGTCTGTCTGTTTTAAGAACCATCTGTGATTAAGAGAACTGGAAAATATATCCATTCTTTGTCCATATCATGGAAAATAATCTGTATATTTCTAGTACTGCATGAAATCCTTCCATTTATGAATTGAATCATTTTCTGCATGTCCAACTAACAACACATGCAGCCACAAAAGAAGGACACACCACAAGACACAGTATACACAAAATATAGGAAGAATGACTCCCATAGCGGAAGATTGATATAATACGCGAGTTTGAAATACGATGTATAAGATGATAAATCTTAACAAATCTTATTATAGTACATGACGAATATACATTTTAAATCATTTTATAAACGACACATGATCGCGAGCAGTGCAATAGTTTAACGTAAATAACACACCTGAGGATGGCACAGTGATGCCGAAATATGTAGTGAAGTGACAAGTGAGATTGTGTGCACTAGAAGATGGTCAATACATACACATTCATTCATTTCCTTTATTTTCCATATATCCATACAGGCAAAAATCCTAGGATGTGGAAATAGTCCCTTTGACGCGAATCAGTGCAACAGAATGCTAAAATACAACATTATGTCCAACTAAACTTTCTGCTTTCTGTGGATATTATAACTGTAAAAGAAGTCTCTAAAATTACATTGTTGTACTAATATAATTCTTTATCTGTTATGGTGCATGACATAGCAGCTTTCTGCAGAGCTATAACTTCTGACTTTTATAAAGTAATTAACTTATCACAAGTCTTCAAATTTGGCATGGTGTGAAAGTCCATTTCCTCTCGTTTTGGTAGCCAGTAGGAGGGGTACACAAGCAGAACACTGTCTTGCTGCCAAGAGAATAGGCAAGCATACTCATACATTCATAGTTTCTTCTGCAGTTGTTTACTGTCATGGTGCTGAACTGCAGAGGTAACTTTATGTGACTGCACAGATGCCATACCAGTCCAGATCCATTCAGACTTGTTCAGAAGATTGTAACTGCTGTTCTTAGGGTTCAGTCAAACAGAAATTTAGGACAAGTTAGAACTCTGATGGCTTCTAGTAATGAGCTTATTTGTTCATTTTGTAAAGGTGCATTTTATATTTTTTTCTTTTCACATAACTCACCTTTAACCTACGTGGAATGGATATTAGGTGTATTCATTGTGCTTCATTATTAACCCTTCCGCGACGGATAGTATTTAAATCATTTCCTACCGCCAAACCGACGGGGTATTTAATTATTAAACAGAAAAATGCACTTATCCATGAAAAATTTAGTAACTCTCGCAAAAATTGGTATATTGAGATAAAATTTTCACAGAAATATTCATAAAGAAACGAAGAACAAAACTATATATATATTTTTCAATATAATTATGATAAATAATATTTTTTTACTCACTCGAACTGCTAAAAGTTGAGTTTGGTGTGGTAATCCTGAAAACACTGGTCAATACATAGCCCAACATCACAATCACTGCACCAGTACACGGTTTNTGGATCATGGCAGAAAAAATAGCTGGTCTTTTCTTAATCACATATATAACATCCCTGTTGATTGTAATACTGGGAATCAGATTTTTGGTGAGATGAAACACTTCAGTCCATATCAAGCTTGCATATACTCGGTGGTTTTTTTCTCCACTACCACAAGGTCTTAACCATAGCATATTAAACCTGCAATCTGAACCTCTTCTTCCCTACTACACATAACTGGTCTATTGCAGATTTTAATGACAGACCTCTCTCCTGTGGTTCAAGCCTGCAGATAAAACCGCTGATGTGCCGCAAATGTAAGGGCATTCATAACTGAGGTTTGGGGGTTTGGTTATAATATTTGATTTGTTGTCCAGTTTGAAACAGACTATTCTGTAGGATAAGGTATATGACGAATATCCAGTATAGGTTGTAAATCTTTAAAAATGTTTGAGAAACTGTGGAATAATGTATGGTGTGACAACATATTTTTGTGTCTTGTTAGTATGTGTGATTTCTTCTTGTATCTGAAGAGCCTGGGCACAATGTTCTGAGAATTCTTTTCATTAAACTTGTTATGTGTGACATAGAAGTGAGTGAAAACGCTTGTTTCTCTAAAATACAAAGGGATTCTTCATATAAGTTGTTGCTCTTTTGTGTTTAATTTACCTGTGTTCATATCAGTACTGTAGTTTTGTGCCCAAATGCACATGTCACACACAGAATATTGTTGTTTCCAGTTCACACAATAACTTAGTATTCATATGAAGCATATGAAAGGCAGTTGTTGGAATTAATAATTGTTTGTTTTCTAGTTGAAGTGAAGTCATTGATCAATTTGATTATTTGTTTCAGGCCCCAGATTATGGAGATATTAGACTTTCTATTCAAGAACTTCCCAACATTATACATTTGGAAGAAGCCTTCACATTCACATGCAGGATAATAAATGCATGGTAAAGCTCTCGTACTTGCATGTTAGCACATATCTAGATCTTTGGAACACCATAACTGATTTAATAATACTTGTATGATCTCATCATGTGTGGAAGTGGACTGATCGTAAAATTAAGAACTTAGTGACTTGATTATTGCAGAGGAAACATTCTGCAAAGTCCTTCTCGAAGAATTAACTCACCTGACTGTTTTACTGTCAGCCCGTTAGCCAGAACTTCAGCCCTCAAGTGCTGAGACAGTAGAGTGCAGAGTCACAGCTAATATTCTGCACATTATAAACATCAATGTGCATTTCCTTAAGTGTGGGAATTGTACAGAAGTACTGATGATTACGGTCGATGATCAAACTATTTCTTTTCTGCTCTTAAACAAGCTTGAAGTCTGCTGAAAATGTGTGTTTGACACTAGTTTCAGTTTGCTGGCCACAATAGATACAGCTGTTTCACAGATGTTGTGCTTAAGCTCATCCAGTGTAGGAAGATTATTTGAATATGCTTCGTTTTTCTGGGTATCCCCACAAATAAAAATCATGGATTTGAGCCTGGTGACCTTGCAGGCCATTATCTGCAACTTATCAGTCTGTCTTCATACACCTTGTTTAAGACATTAATGGAATAAATAGCAGTGTGAGCTGTAGCAAAGTCTTGCAGAAAACAACCATGTGTGTTTTCTTGTTCTATAATGCCCTCCAACAAAGGATGAAGAATGTTACTGACATCCTGCTCTGAATTCATAGTGTGCTAAAAAATAAATACCTTGCTGTAAGGGCACATAACATGTGAATCATATGATCATTAAGCGGTACTTCAGAAGTCTGCCTTGGGTTAGTACTATTCCGTTACCTATTTTTCTGAGCATTGATATACCCACCCAGGTAGAACCAAGGTTTGTTAAAACAAAATTTAAGTTTTGGGTCAAGAACACCACCTTGTATTGCATGCAAAAACCAGTTACAAAAATGCATAAAAGGTAGAAGGTAAAGCTATCCCTGTAACAGACCATGAAAACCTATAGGGTTGTGAAACATCAAGGCTCCCACATTTTCTAGACAATCAGCTCACAGATGGCAGTGAGGTTGTCAGCCATAAGCGCCAGCCACCCATTACCCCCCCCCCTAGGAAGAACCCTGGTACTCATTCCTGTTAGAGGCTGAGTCAACCCCAGGACCATAGTGTGGCTTGAAGGATTAGGTAAATTGACTTCATTAGGAATTGGACCCACAACCTTCCAGCTTGTAGCATAGTGCCTCAACCAAATACACTAATGCTTTCTTTTCTTTTATCACCATCAGTTACTTGAACATGTCTGATTTTATACGGCAGTAGGTGTAACTTCTGGTTGCTCTCCATGCAGTACTATCATAATGTGCCTGTTATGTTACTCATGGCAGGGATTTCCAAGTTATATATGCTAGGTTTGTAAAGCTAACACACATAACATGATATTTTGTCTAAGAGAGATTGTGAGATCTTCTTTTATATAATATGTATGATTATTTCTCACATACGTATCATACAGAAAACCCAACTGTTCAAATGTGTATTTGTCAATCTCAATTCACTACTGTAAATGAAAACATGAAACAGATTTCTGAATGTGTTATGAGAACAGAAACATGAACAGAACTGGTATGAATTTCCATGAGCCATTTGCAGGTGCATGTAGCCATATAGCATAAAGAATTCTCATATATAGTGACTTTGTTGCATTCAGCTGTGAGTCTCCATGAAACAGAAGCATAACTCAGTCCTGTAGTTAAGCACTTGATGTTGAAATAGAAAGTTGTCCACAAAAGCAGTGGTATATTGCTTTAAGTTTACATAACGTGATTATTATCTATGAACAATGAAACAAAATTCAAATCTGTGCCTTTCAGAGCGCATCAACCATATCCTCAAAGTAGTCATATAAGATACACCGAGTGCTAGCAGCAGGTGCGTGCGTACATGTGGCAACAAGCGTGACATGCTATGTCAGACAGCACTAATGATTTAGAGCAGGTGGTACATAGTAGAGTTAAGGGGTTTGCTCAGAGTGTAATAAATTCAAACTGTCTAAGATGGAAATGAGCTAAGAGTAATATATTGACATGATATTATTCCAGGAAGTTATATCTATGAATAAGAGCAGCACGTTCATTTTTACAGTGAACGTTCAATGGATTTGTTGCTTTCTTTGGAGACGCCACCATCTTCAGGCTTGGTGTGGAGTGGTGTATCAGGTCGACAGATGGGGAAGCTTGAACCTGGAGCATCAATACATTTACCCTTATGTATGGTGCCTCTTGCCACAGGATTACAGGTTTGTATCACTGCTGACATTATTTCATGAACAGTACTGCCTCAGGTTGGTAGCTTGAGTTGCATATAGTGAGTTGGAACCCAGTCAAATGTAAGTACATGGATGAGGCTCTATTTATCTAAGCTGTTACATAAAGAAAACCAGAAACTCATTTTAACAAATTTATTACAGACAAAGTACACATTTTAAGAAATCTGAACAGTCTAATTATCCTGCAGAAGTTATAGTAATAACTGGAACATTAATTTTAAAATCATCATTTTGTAAGATGGCTCATGACTTTGATTAATAAGACAGTGCAGTGTGCTTCTGATGGGATATATACAGCACTTTGAAGACAAAACAGCCATGGAAGTTCCAAAATATGGCTTCCTTGAACAACTGAGTTTTACGACAAAATATTTCTTTTGTGAATCCACTGCAGCAGTTAAACACAAAACTGCATAAAAAGTTTGGGAGAAGTCCTTCATTGGTTGCAGTTGTTTGGATTACCATTGGAGCTCATAGTGAATGGGTATGAAATTACTAGTTGGGGGAGGGGGATGATGATTCTGTTGATATAGTATGACTTTCATAGTATTAGTAGTTTGTTCAAAATAAAATGTAAGTATATAGTTAATATGTAATAGGAGCCAGGATAGCTGTCAGTAAAGTGATGGACTGGGAAGCCAGGGTTCAATTTATGGCAAGGAGAATTTTTTTTTTTTTTTACTCCACAGCATTCACACTGGCTATGGGGTCCACCCAGCCTCCTGTCCAGTGTTTACCAAGGCATGAAGGTGACCACTCTCCTTCATCTAGTCCCAAGGTCAAGAATGCTAGACATGTACCTCCATTCCCCCTAACTTCTCTTCCTTCAAGGGGTTGTGTTTGATTATTTTATCATAGTTGAATGTATGAATGAATGTATAAGGGGTGGGCCTTCTTGGCCCTTGCACCGCGACCACATTGATCTATTGTGCCTTTTTATCATAGTTAATATGTAATGAACCTGTAAATTGTTATGGTTTGGTGATTAATTTTCATAGTCTTCGAAGTAATTACTGCATGGTGGTATGGTTAAAGAAAGAGTTTACATCGCCTTGAAATATCGCACTCAAAATGTTTCATTGTGATATACTTGAAGTGAAATTCTATGACGTCTTTTGTAATTTCGGTTTTATTTTATTTTCAGAATATATCAGGAATACGGCTGACAGATGTATTTTTGAAAAGGACATATGATTATGATGATCTCGCTCAAGTATTCGTTACACAAGCAACCGCATAAATATAATTCTGGCATGTCATATTCTAACTTAAGAGCCAATAAAAGGGAAAACTATTTAAACTGGAAATAAACTGAACAAATTCACCTACTAATGAAATATTCTATGAATATACTCATAAGTGAGCAGAGATGTAAGGTTTACAACTTCATCATTTACATAAACAGAGCACAGGCACTCAAGACTTGTATGTACATATTGGTCTTCAGCCCTTAATGTCATGGCTCAGATCTTAGTGGAAAATTTGATAATTATTCAGCTAGTCAAGAAATTCCTTTTATGGAATCTAAAGGCTCATAACACAAGTCTTCCACTGGACTGTCTCCTAGTCAAGATTAATCCAGTATATGAAGGCGGTCCATTATTAAATTTACAAGTGCTTGTATATAGCCTGCACGTGACATATCAATGTTGATTAACCGCTGGAATGAGGCTTCTGTGTGATGGATCACGACTTCACACTCCAGCCCAGACAGTGGCCTGGTTGCAAAAGTTGAAGTTCTGCAGCATCCACCACATAGTCCTGATCTAGTGACATAAGATTTATGTCTGTTCAGGCCTTTTAAGAACTTTTTATCAGGAAGAAGATTTGAGGACCAAAACACAATGCAGAAATCGGTTGTGCAGTACTTCACATCCCTTGGAAAGGAACACTACCAGGAAGGAATGTTTAAACTTGTAAAATGATGGGATAAATGTCTGAATGCTAACCCTAAATACGTGGAAAAATAAACATTAGTATATAGTGTTTCTTGACTTTATTAAATATTTTTTTTTTTGCAGTAAATAAGTTGCTGTGACTTTTAGTTAATGATCTCCAGCAATATTTGAAGTCACAACAGTTATCACGTGTCTCTGTAGTCTATAAGGAGAGTAGCATGAAGATGACCAGACCAACTAACAGCTAGTGAAATAAGTCTGTTCAGCTTCTTCAAAAATTCATATGTATATTGTGTCCTCATTCTTATGATATGCACACATAAAGATATTATGGGCAGTTAGATGACACCCAGACTATGGAGAATTTCATTAATACTGTTTCAAGACTACAGTCCAAACTTCATGCAACTTCAACAGAGTAGTCTTGCTAAGTGATATGTGATATGTACAGGGTTTGTCCAAAAAGTAATGTCAGTGATTTAATTGTGAAGTGACTATACGTCGCAGCGCACTCAGACCACTTGGGATCGGTGGAGGGGGAAGTCAGCTTATGAACGTGCGGTCACTTAGTCGTCTCTGAACTTCCTGACAGTGACGAAAGGCTTTTCCGTGAAACTCGTTTTTTTCTCCCGTGCAAGCCGCAATGCAGCGCTCCTTGGAACAAAGGATTGTCATCAAGTTTTGTGTGAAACTTGGCAAATCTGTAATGGAAACTTTTCCCATGATAAGATGGCCTTCGGTGATGATTGTTTGTCGGAATGTCAGGTCTACCGGTGGCACAAGGCCTTTTTAGAAAGCCGTGAAGAGGTCGGTGATGAAGCCTGCAGTGGACGGCCATCAACAAGCACCACCGACGAAAATGTGATGTGTGTGAGAGAACTTTTGAACTCAGAACATCGTTTGAGTGTTCGTTTAATGGCACAGACATTAAACATTCCAAAAAGTACCGTTCACAAGATTGTGACGAACAATTTGCAGATGCGAAAAGTGTGCGCAAAGCCGGTCCCCAAAGTGTTAACGGACGATGTTAATCATTTGCAGTAGTCAGGGAACGGAAAGAAGTTTCTGTAGAAATTCACAAATAAAAGAAAATGTTATTGTCCAGAAGTACTTGGGAGTGTGCAGTAATGTTTCCCTGTTCTGGTCCTTGTATACAGTTTACCCATTTAAAACGGTTTCCTGCCTGAAAAGTTGAAATCATTGGGTTCCAAAAGTAATACCGTAAGAATAATGCAAGGAGTATTTTTAGTATGTGGACCAGGTCTATTGCTCTGTGTTTCACAGTGGCCAATGTGCTGCTTGCTATGAGGCGCATATGAATTTTGCCAATGAATTGGCATGCCTGATGGTCAGTAACATTTCAAATGTAGTAGCTACAATTCACAGATCACAGGAGATGTTGAAAATGCTGTCCGATCTACATAGAGATATTTTTTGCAATTTTTTTTCTTAAAACAGGTACAACAATCCTTGCACTTACAGCACACCAGACACTAATTTTCACTGGATGACTTCAGCAGTTGTGTTCCCATTTTTGTACTAGACTTTGACACTCCAGTGTCTTGAGCTAGGCATTTCAGTGATTTTCTATGTGTATGTTCAAGTCTGGCCCTTATGGCATCTAACTTCTCAGTAGTCACTAGACACTTACGTTTTAATTTCTCATCTGTTAAGAGCCCTGTTCTAAGTTTATTCACCAAATGGTGAATTTGTCTGCTGCAAACTCTTTCATCATGAAATTTACTTTGAAATGTTTGTATCAGATCCGTATTTCACATGGGTGACAGAGAAATGCACATTGCTCTGAAGTATACCACACCATGACATACCACTGGACACTAACTGTAGCTGAGAACAAATGGCTAATGGAGCTGTTAACTAGAGCCTACTGCTGACAAATCATAAACTCCCACACTGCTTGCCTGTAACATGATAATGTGAGACTGCCAAGTGGTCCACAAGTTAATTACTTCCCTTCATTCCAAACGTTATGGGCCATCAGACATGCTGATTCATTGGCATCCAAACACTAAGAAGAGCATAAGATTTATATAGAGCATTTCATCCATTTAGTTTTTTGAGAATATATTGTATATATACAGAAACAAATGAGACACTCATGTAAATCAAGTAAGTTTTAGTCCTTTGCGGCATTCAGCACTTAGTGAGTGCTAGAAGCTGAGTGAAATTAGTGATGACTTTCTCACTCTGTCCATCTTGCTGGTAGTGCGGTCTTTGTGTGCAAGGTTACATATTTTGAATCTGCGTTGAATTTTGTGAAGTGTAAAAGTAAACTGACTTCTGTATTATATATAGGTGTATGCATGGCTACAGAAACAGACATAAAAGGTACATTGCTATCAGTTTCTGAGAAACCGCAGATCATTAGGAAGGAATAATTTACCTTACCAGTGTTGATCTTAAATCATATTGTGGCAAAGAAGAAAAACATACTTCAGCAATGTGTAACTACTCAGCCAGACAAAAAAAAAAGTTAAGAACTTTGAAATCTGAGATGATTGAATCAGTGCTCCTAGAGTGGTTTAGACAGAAACTGGCTTTATACAAACCAATTCAGAGTTTGATGTTGAGAAAGAAGGCTGAAAGCAAATGGTTTTTAATGTAAACACTCAGTTTGCATCTTCAAATGGGTGGCTTGATCAATTAAAAAAAAAATGTGCAGAACTTGGCTATAGAACCATGAATGGGGAATCCAAAAGTATGATTATGAGGAAGTGGTTTGTGGAAGACAAACATGTGCATCACTTCTGAGTGAATACCATCCAAAGGATATATTTCATGCAAATAAGTATGGAATGTTTTCCAGCCTATTCCTGGGGGCGAAAAAAAACAAACATATACTTTAAAAATTAAAGCTTTCATAGGAGCAAAGATAGAATTACTGGCTTCTATGTGCAAAAATGGATGGATCTGGAAAGTTGGAATTGCTGATAACACTAGTCACAGAAGCTAAAGTGATTCAAGTATGTGGAGTCCCTGCCACATAGACATAAGAGTACTGCATGGATAACCTATGCACTGTTCATGAAGTTCGAACTTGTGAAAAGGAGAATGACAGCCAAAAATTGGAAAGTGCCATTTATTTTTTGACCACTGTGCACCACCATTTTGTTAGTGGCATTCCTGATGTGCTAGTGTCAGTTGTCAGACCTCTAGAAATTGGAAATTTTACTTCAAATTTGTTTGAAAGACAAGCAAAACAAATGATGATGGGTATGTTCAGGAAGGAGTAACATTTCAGAACAGGCTATTCGACTTCAACCATAACAGCAGGAAAATGAAGTGTATTAACAATCAACTTAACAATCAAGTTCCTTCCGTCAAATGTGACACTTTTTTAAGTTTTCCACCNTAATACTCGTTCTGTTAATTTTCTGCAGGGGATATAATTATTTATGTAAACATTTTTAAGCCCACCCTTTTAAGATATTTTCCCACTTAAGAAATTTATATGTTTTTATCCTTATAAAAATTCGTAAAAGAGGTTCACTATACACATTGCACCGGGAAGGCTCTGGTAAGTAATTTGGCCATCATCTGAAAAACCAATATTATTAACATTTCAGTTTAGGAGATTCTGTTCAGAACACACACCTAAAGTATATAAACTTGCATGGGGGAAAAAAAGAATGTACTTTTTGTGAATTACAACAGATTTTAATATTATGGCTGCAGGTACATTGGTCCATGTCAGTACTTTAAAATATAACTTGCTGAGAACTGGAAAATGTGATTCCTGCCATTATGATCTGAATCTTTATCTAATAACAAGGAGTTAATGGATTATGTTTAGGTGATGTCATTGAGAAGTTCATGTGTAAATTTCAATATTTTGTTAGGAAATTGCGTATTGCTCATTGGGTATTACGGAAAATGTTTTGATGTAAGAACACATGATGCAAAGCTATATGTAATTCAGTTATTTTAATTCACTTTATTTTGTAGATTTATACAGTGGCCACTATAAATGTCAAGCTTATCCTAGTCACCCATCATCCAAGGAAAAAATAACTTCATTAGAGGGCAAGGGACCATCACAGTGCAAATAATAATAATCCATGACATACTAAACTATCAAGATACAATTATTAGATAATACAGTTTAACGTTTTATGGAAATATATTTCTTCAAGTCTGTAAAAATCTTAACTAAGCATATGATTATATGTGTGTACTGACTTCAGTCATGTTTGGTCTATGGCTAACCTTTGCTTTTACAGTAGCCCTTCTCATATAGGAGCACTAATTCGTGTATTCTGTGTATCTCATCGTTTAAATCTGTAACAAGACTCAGCTGATATGCTTTCACTTCTCTCAGTTCTTGATACTGGCATAACCGCCCAACAACATGAACTGTATCACCTATTTCTCTATACTGAACTAAGTTCTCAAAAGTTCGAATTACTGGTTTCATCATATAACGTAGTAGCCTACGTTCAGACTGAGTATATCCCGAAACACTGGCCAATGCACTGGAGATTCCCTTTATATGTTCGTAATTCTCTTCAATATCACGATTTGCATAGTCAAAAAAACAAGTTATTTCCCCAGTTCCATCGTCTACAGTGTAGGCTGCTGCCGAAGTACCTATAAACTTTCTCCTCGACACAACCCCAAACACATCTACATAGTGCACAATGAAGTCTTGAAATAAATATGCGTTTCCTTCTGTAGGGTGTGGAGGGATGCGAAGACAGTCGATGATCCATAACCTTTTTGCACGTCTGTAAATACGACCGGTGTTCACATTCTTGAATCCAACAGTATTTTCTGTTCCTTCACTCTCCATCGTGAATTAAGCATGCCTTATGTATGTAACTATAACATTAAGTACACTTATACAGAATGTGAATTTTCACAAAAGTATTAAATTCACATTTACAATATATTTCCGAGTTGAAAACTGCACTTAAAACCGAAGTCGATATAACTTCGCGCCAACGTTAATTTAAAGGACATCAGTGCTACCATTACAATAAACTGAATTTCTCTTTACGAATGCAGATATCAATATGGACTGGACTTTGTTTACTCTCTAGACGCTCTAGACCGCTCTAGACCAGGCCTGTTCAACGCGGCGCCTATGGTATATTTTTCTGGCGCCCTCCGTAACCACATACAATTGAGCCGATTTTTAATATTAATTCAAATTGTAAGACAAAAGACATTTTTGAACGTCTGACTACTGTTAAATATTTTCGAAAAATTTTATAATCATAATAATAATTAGTAGTAGTAGTAGTAGTAGTAGTATAAGTACTAGTAGTAGTAGTAGTAGTAGTAGTAGTAGTAGTAGTAGTAGTAGTAGTAGTAGTAGTAGTAGTAGTAGTAGTAGTAGTAGTAGTAGTAGTAGTGTGTGGTGGCGCCCGCACCTCCATAGGCATCAGTGAATTGTGCCCGAGTACATAAGAACGTCGGACAGCACTGTTCTAGGCCGAATGGAGATAGCTGTGGGAACCTCCCACAGTGAAACAAGTGCTAACGAATCAGCGCTATGGCGAATACCCGGAACTCACTCGCCCAGCCGCAATCCAACAAGACGTGCGCCACAACACTACCAATCATATTCGGACTATACCAGGCCCACCGGTCACCTGCCGGCGATGGCTACTGGCACCGGACCGGCTCACTATCATCAAAGCCGCGATCGAAGCCGTGTTACGGGACGGCACAGCTCGCCGCTCAGGGAGTTCCTGGTTTTCGCTGTACAAATGATGTTCAAGGACGATTGTTATCAATTCGGAAACAGTAGAACACAAAACGCCCAGACCATCACCGACCGCTACTTCGTCCGTCTCAGCCATGACTACTTCCACCAGCTTTTCGGTTCTTCAATCTCCTCCAAGATTGACCTGGTGACAGTTTACAATAAAATCCCCGTCCATCCGAATGAAATACAGAAGACCGCTATTACCACTCCATTCGGCTTATTCGAGCTCCCCTTCATATACTTCGGCTTGCGCGACGCCGTCCAGACAGTCCAACGCTTCACGGACGATATTCTGAGAGGACACTACTTCTGTTTCGTCTACTTGGACGACATCCTCGCCTTCCCCTGGCCACTTGAAGAGCACGAGCAACACCTATGGGCTCTCTTCGACTAACTTCAGAGGTACGGAATCATCAACCTGGCGAAGTGTGTCCGAGCACCCGGGGTCACCATCGGTTACAACATGCTCGCTGAGGGTTCAAAATCTCTAAAAGAACGAGTGACCAATCTCCGATACTACCACCCTCCCAAGTCCGCCAGTCATCTCCGTCGATTTCTAGGCATGCGGGACGACCGCTCACCACTCCGCAGCTAACTGATTCGTGGAACGCTTCCACCAGACACTGAAGGCAGCCATCGTGTTCCACTCGGACCAACAGTGGACAGAGGCGCTTCCCCTGGTTCTCCTCGGAATCCGCACGACATTCAAAGACGACCTACAGACATCAGTGTCTGAGCTCGTGTACGTTGAGCCCCTAAGAATTCCTGGTGAGTTACTGACTTCGACTGCCGACTCAGTGGATCCAGCGCATCTCATCACCGAGCTCCGCCAGCACATCGCCCGCCTCGGACCAGTTCCGGCAGCACGCCACGCCTTCCCTGCTACCTTCGTGCAAACGAAATCGAGAAGTGCACCCACGTCTTCCTCCGTCAGAACACAACGCGCTGGGCTTTGGAGCTCCCATGCAGTGGCCCCTACCAGGTCCTGTCATGGGGAGGGAAGACCATTACTGTGACAACCAATACGGTCAAGCCTACCTCCTTGATGGGAAGAATCGTGGGAACAGCATATTCAGCCAACGCAACCCCGGCTGTGGCACCACCTGCTACACCCCCACAATTCTCCACACAAACTACCCGCTCCAGTTGCCACATCTATTTCCCCGCATGCTTCTACATCTGTGCAACCGCAAATACGAGTCTACTAGTAGCAAGCACCGGCAGCTGACTCCACCAGTGGTCGCCAGCCATGGTACGAGCTTTGCCGGCCAGCCTTCCTTGCCGCTACTAGCTCACTCTAGCCTGCTACTGCAAGAGCTTTGCCTGGCATCTTGCCAGATCGCAATCACCCGGCTGCTGCAAGGAAGAACGCCATCACTAGCTCAGGCTAGCCATTTGTGAAGGGAGTTTTCGCCGGTATTCATCAGGCACACTCTGCTTCCCTGGTCATCTCTAATATTCATCCTATCAGTAATCAATATTTGTTATCGTTTTACATGGCTGCCTCTGCGAGCATCAACATTCCCACATAGTATTAAGAAGTAGAGTCAAAGTCTTCCTGAAATGAAATGGAAGTGCTGCACTGGATTTATGTTGCTTTGGCAGTCTGAAAGGTAAAAAGCAGTGTACTAACAAGAGTCTTTGACGTTTCATTTATATTTTACAGTATAAATGCAAACACACAATTTATATCTTTATTACATGGCACTATTCTGTACAAGTCAATCACTATTTAATTCTCCAGCAATCCGTATTCAATTCAGAACTTCAACTGGAAACAAGGCACTTCTAATCTCTTGTGGAAATGTTGTTGTTGCTTCTGCCTTGGGAGTTGCTTGTTCCTTCTGTTCAAACCCAGCAAAAGGGCAAGAAACCTGTCATGCTGTTCAGGCTTCAGGGACACATTCAGTTCTAATGATGACGTAAGTACAGCTGAGCATCCCCTAAGATCTCCACGGGCACCTGCACAAAAGCATCTTTACTGTTAGTATTGCTGACAGAAATTAAAATATACAGAGTATGAATGACCTATGGTGACATGGTAGCCATCTCTAGTTTAATGAAAATCCTTCAGTTAGTTCATAAGTCATTATGGGGAGAGTACAGACAAGATACCATAGGCCAATCTTTCTTCATAAAATAGCATTTTTGAAAACTGATTAATCTGCTGCCACACTAAATTCAGTATATCCTGAGTCTGCCAGGCTAATGAATTTAAACTGTCTTTCTTCCAATAAATTTCAGTATGTTAAACATGACAAGGTACAATTAATTTTAATAATTTCACCAATGTTAACAACAAAGATGAAATAATTAAAAAGACACTTTAATATTACTGAAGATTTAGGGAATGTGGTACTGAGAGATCACAAAGAAACAGACTACATGGAAAACTGCAATATTACAACATCATACATTTCCTTCATAATGACTGGTGGACTACTGAAACAGTATGAACATTCTGGGTCCTGTCCATTCGTATGTTGAGGAAAGGAACTGAAATGTCCAAGTTCACTATATGGGACTTCTTAATGCTCACCACATTAGTGTGTGCAAGATTTTTCCAGGTACTGAAAATCACTTAAGAATTCAAGATCTGGAGTAACTTTACCATGTGAAAACCAGTTACCTGAATCTCTTTACCACATACACAATGGTATAAAGTATACACAAATTAAATTAAACTATTTAAGTTAATCTTTTCTTGTATTCTGATAAATGCAAATACAATAAAAACCCTTGTTTTAATTTCACTACTGCAACTACAAATATCTGTTGACCTGGTATTATAAGCAAATCCCTTGTCACTATGGCCTGCACATATCCAGGATGTGGATGACAGTTAAAAATGTATTGCAGACAACCAACAAAGGTAATTCTTAAGCTTCAGGGTTTCACTTAAAGACCACCCTTCACTATATATTGATGTGTTACAAACCTGCTGGAGAGTGTTATTGAGATATTATGTAAGGAGAAAATTTATGATTTATACAGTATTATTAAGATGCTGAAACTGTGGGGCTACAGTGCAGTATTTATGTGATATGATGGCTGAAAGCTGCAATTGTGGGACACATAGATGTGGCCATTGCTAGACAACTGCACTAAACACATTTTAGCAGCAATGAATCAATTCATAAGACTTGTTGGAAGCAGTGTTTTATATGTGGTGTGCTGAGGCTACATAGTGAAGAAACAATGGAAGAAGTTAATCAGTCAGAGGTTGAAGTCAGCAGTTAGCAGTCAGTCTTGAGTTGCACTGTTAGCAGTGACTAGTCAACAAACAGAATACTTCATGTGTGCTGTAGTGTGATAAAACCAGCAAGACTTATAATCATTTGTAGTTAATGAGTTCAGTAAATCCAATTATCAATTCAAACCCCATGTCTAATCACTAATCCATAACAATATTATATAATGAGGAACTTTGTGATTTATACACATTACCTAAGACTGTTAAGATAGTGAAACTGTGGGGCTACTAAGTAGTGGGTATGTGGCTAGGATAGGGGCCGAGAGAAAGTATATAGAATTTTCGTAAAGAAGACATACACTCAGAAAACCACACCAGAGATGGATTAAGGTGTATCTTATGGAAACAGGTTGTGAAGGATCAGAAGCAGAGGAAATTGAGCAAGGCCCATACCTAATGGTGGAATTTGATATTAGTAGTGTTGTACCTTGAGGTTTGGCTGGCAGAGTATTATTTTACAACTATGAATGCCTACTAATAAACAATCACAAACCACTGTGTGCAGAAAATGGAATAAGTGGCTGTTCACTACATTGCAGACATTTTTCCAACACATATCACTTACAAGTAGCTGCATACTTTGACTAACGATAAAAAAAACTTACACTTGAAATCAAACAATTCACTCAATATGTGTGCATAATCCTGCTTCATTTCATAGCGCAATGTAACTTCTAGTAACCTTTGCACTACTTCAACTTCTTCTTGTTTCAGTGCAGTCACAGCAATTATTTTTATTCTATCCATAATTAGTGCTCTAAGCTCTTTATATTGCTCTAGCAGTTTATCAGCCATTTTCTGGTCACAAAACCATTCACTCAAGAAGCAAAACTGCCATAGAAATGACAAAAAATAATAATCTCCATATTCTTCAGCAAATTTCTTTGCAAAATTTGTAACCAAAACTACTGATGCTTCACTCCTCTTCGAGACACATTCCGCAAATAAGAATTTTGTCATATGCCTAACTTTCCTTCGCAAGGTAACATGATACTTATATACCTCTGCAAACATGTCCAAAGCCTCACGAATATCACCACGAATCCATGTGGCTTCAGCCATATAATGTTTATATTCTGCCTGATTGTAAAACTCATTCTTATTCAAAGATTCACATACTGACATGACAACTTCCACTCCTGTTCTGCTACCAATCCTTGATAATACACTTGCTGCTTCCAGTAACAATTCTGGAGATGGACAGAGTTGTTTTGCTCCTGAAAATTTTAATATTTTTATTATAAGGTTATATTCTTTAGAACGTATAACTTTTGTTAACAACTCATCTAGAGAATTAACATTAATGTCGTAGCACTCAAAGTCTTCCTGAAGACTGTTTTGATTACTATCATTTAAACTTCTTTCATTTGCACACTGAATAGCTTTCTGTCTATTTAGAAACTTCCATTTGTCAGATTTTTTGCGTGATAGTTCATCGGTGAAACTGTCAAGAACATCTGATGTTGCACTCATTAATGTTCTCTCAACGCACGTGTTTGTACCGCATTTATGTTTCAAAGTCGCTCGTACAAGCCATAGTAATGAGAATGACACTCTTCGACTGTAGTGCTGGCATATACTTATACTAGCCAAAGCCATTGTCAAACCCTGCATTTGTTGTTATCAATCGCAACAACATACTTAACCTACTTAACGATACTCATCCCACTTTCTTCGAAACAAAACTTCGTAATATGACACAATGGGACCCACGGATACACAGTCCATACAGGTCCTTGTGTGATCCGTGCCGATCCGTGCCGTGTCTTGCATTTTGCGTGTTTTCTTTGAGGGCGCGGAAGACGCGTAGATAATACCGATAGGCACGGATAGGACTGGATAGGACATAGGATGGTGAGGGTGGGTGTGAGTGGCAAATGGTATAGGCGCAAGTTGCATCGGTTAGCAGTGTTACGTGTGGTGTAAGCTCTTTTTCTAATGTATTAGTACATTCATATATACTGTGGAAAGTTGTATAGGTGACAAAGACAAAGAAGCAATAAAATCAAACAGTATTGTGTGATATATTGTATATAGAGGTAGGTAGTGATATGATCAGCGAGCGGGTTTCAAACTATTGCACCGGTTAGGCTGTATGTATAATATTTCGGCGGTGATGACAGTTTTAAGCATTTAACATGTAATTCCTATAATTCTGTTGATATCATTTACAGTTCCCCATAGTCTGACCAGTTTATAATATTAGCATTACCAGTTCGTTTTCTGAATTAAGGAATAGGGTATGTATTTCGTTAGGTTATTAGAAGAGTGTGGATGAGGTATGGTTATAGAATTACCTTGATTAAAGTGGATACCAGGTAGGGTGATCTTTTCAGGGTGGTTTCGGTTTGATTTTATTAAGCACCAGTAAACCAGCCATAGAGTAACATGCTTTGGAGATATCTGTATTGTATTCTGGGCTTTTACCATGTTGCTCTAAATTGGGTAGAATTTTGAGACACCAATAATCATTTCAGGGCAGAAGTATAGTCATGATTGTCAAGGGCAGTGACATTGAACCATTGACTTGCGTGGCATGAGTGGTATGCAGAAAGAATTTCTGGTCTTGCGAAATTTTGTTTCAAAGAAATATATTTAGAAAAAAGTGACAGTTGGTATGTTAATGTGAGCTAGGATATCCCAGTCATTGCTCAGCTATGGTCTGGATGGCCAGAGCTTGATTATTGGCATGGGCGAGAGGATTTTCTCTTTTCCACAGTGTACAGACCAGCTCTGGGGCCCACCGATCCACCTATGCATTTAGTGTCAGGGACTCTCTCCCTGGGGTAAAGTGACTGGGGCATGGAGCAGAGCACTCTCATCCATTCATTGCTGCGGTCAGGAATGAAGGAACTAACTATACCTCCACTCCCCATACATATTCATGGCATGATACTTAATTAAGCGCAGGAACAACTTTTCCTTTATGTTACCAGTAAAGATGTGAAGTTGTCCCTGTGCTTAACAAATCAAGCACTATGCCATGAAGACATATGTTGGAGTGGATGTATGGACCCATGTTCCCTTGACCTCAGCACTAGTCAGAGGTGAATGGTCAGCTTCATGCCTCGGCTGCTTTACCCTCAGGGAAATAGACCACAGTACCCATTGGATAGAAGGCTGGTTGGGCCCCAGAGCCAGTCCATATTCCATGAAGAAGTGAAAATTCTTCCCTCACCGGCACTTGAACTCCAACCCCTTGTTCGTATATTTACATTACCAGTATATCAGTTTGTATTTATTAATTAATATTTATGTCTACAGCACTTAAGTTTTGGTATGTGGCCTTAAAAAGGTACATGCTTCCTGGCCTACAGACTGTAATTTCTCATGTATGAATAATTCCAGTCAGCTCATCTCTTCTTTGATTTTTTGAAATGGGTTGATATGTTCTTGACTTGACCTCAGCACTAGCTGGAGGTGAGTGGTTAGCTTCACACCCCGGCAGCTTTACACCTGGGGAAAGAGCCCCTGTACCCATTGGTTAGGAGGTTGGGTGGGCTCTATAGCCGGTCTGGAAAATTTGGAGAAGAGAAAATTCTTGACCCTACCGGGACTCAAACTCCGACCCCTTGGTCATCCAGCCTGTAGCCGGTCGCCGTACTGACTATGCTACTCTGACTCAAAATGTATGGTAAAACCTGATTATAGAGGAATCCAAATGGATCTGAACATTTTGTACTTTGAGACAGGTTTCAATGTAACACAGGTACTGGCTTCTAGGTAAATAATTCTGTCTAGCAAATCAGCATTGTATATATCCAGATTGTATGCAAAAAATTCATGCTTCATACATGCAATACAGTCTTTCTGAGTAATACATATTTTCTTCCTTATACTTTAAAATTTTTCAGAGTAGAAGGACATTCGGTAAATAGGTCACAAATGGATATAAAACATAAAACATGTGATATTCGAACCTGAAAAAGAGTATTTTTTTTTATATATCCTCCACCAACATTTATACACTTGTCTCATCACTTTACCAGTACATTGAAACCCACAGTATAGAAATCTTCTGTCATCTCAGCCACTTCGCGACTCCATTTCAACCTCTTCATCATCACTGAAACATTTCATTTTTTCATTTTTCATTTCTTTAAATTCCATAAATCCTTTTTGCAAAGCATAGGATGTTGAACAAGTCACAATGAAATCAGAACATACACAAGAACAGTTCATAAATAGAACTCAGTCACATACAGAACAATCATAAAATAAAATTATACATAGTGCTAATCAAAACACAAAAAGTGGAAATTGTCCAAGTTAAAATCCATTAAATTACAACCCATGAAAGCTTATGCAACACCATAACATATGCATTTCACACGATTTCAATATACACAACATACACAAGAACAGTTATTAAAATAGAACTCAGTCACATACAGAGTAGCCATAAAACGAAATTATACAAAGTGGTAATCAAAGCACAAAAAAGTGGAAATTGTGTAAGTTAAAATCGATTAAATTACAACCCATAGAAGCTTACACAACACAATCATAACATATACATTTCACAAGATTTCAGTATTAAAATATACTAAAAGTTCAATTAATGAATACAAACATAAAATACGTTAATTTCATATGTCTTTTTCATTCATTCATTTGCATGTTGATAATATTCATTCATAGAATGAAAGGAATGATGACACAAAAACCTCTTTAGTGCGTACGGTCTTCTGTAACCAGCCTCTCAGTGTGCATACACATCTGCTACCTAGACTGCCAAGGAAGCTGTACTGTGGTGCTACCTAGTGATGCCCATAGAAAACCAATCACCTCCGTTACAGCTGTTTTACTCTCATTTGTGCGCTATTTACCGACTTTCCCTCATATTTACATTTTTGTGAACATGTGGTAAGTCCAGCTTTTGACAATATGTGTGCATGCAGCTGCCTCAATATTCAGATCCTGGAAGACAGTAGTTTTCATGTGAGATTTTAAATTGTCACAGCAGTGAGTATTAAGAGTTACATGTTTTGGCTTGTGATGCCTTGTAGCCTGGTAGAAGTTTATCAGTGTTTTAGAGGATCATAACATTTCTATCTTCAGGGCTCGCTTTGCTTACTTTTTGACCCTGAAGATTAGATCAATATGTTTCTATGAAATGTCTGAGAACTTCTGCCAGACTGCATGGTGTCACATCACAGAAGATTGTGAGTAATTTTCATAATCACTGCTGTGAGACCATAATGCCTTCTCAGGAAGCAAAGTGAGCAGTAGGGAATAATAAGTATGTAAGTAGGCTGTTTCATTAACTTCTTGTATCTTCTTTTGCTTTCATGTAAAACAGTTCCTCATATTTAGTGATAATTGTGTATTAGTTTTCACCCAGCATAAAGACAGTTTTTCTTTTATCCAGATTGCATTTTATGCAAGTTCCACTGTTTAAATATTTCACTTTAAAACTCAGTTTATATCAGATACTAATATTTTACATTATTTCTTGTAAAAAAAAATCTCTGTCAACCTAAACATTTCCATCCACAGCACTGGAGCTGTTTCATCCATAATGGTGCAAGAGTTAATGTTTACATACAGAGGTGAGCCAAGTTTGGCATGTTCATGTTAGAAATTATGAGGTGTTTGCTCACCAGTTACTGATTGCTTTTGCCATTCCAGATTATTTAAAATGAACGAAGAAGACAGGCAGAAGATCGTGCATAATTTGGTGGAGCTTGTTGCACAAACAAATTTGGACACACTGCTACCTGAATTGTTGCAAAAGGGAGTTTTCACTCTTGAAATGGGGCAGAAGTACATGGTGAGATACAGTCAGCAGTTTTGTGTGTGTGTGTGTTAAAACCTTTAGACGTTCATGGCAGTGTATTGGTGTTTATATTGACTGTTTTGCAAGAACACGCTCAAGCTTGCTGCCGTGTCAAGTACCTTGGGGGTCTCCATGGTGAAATGACCAGGACCAGGTATATGACAAGTGATGTTCTCACAGTGGGGAATAATAAGACTGGTCTGCTGACTCATACCACTTAGTAGTTTGGAAGATGGGTAGCAAAATGAGATTGAATTGAATTGAATTTATTTACCTTCCGTAAATCCAGTACAGGTGAGACACCATAGGATATGGAACAAGTCAAGTTAGAATACATAGTATCTATACAATAATACAGTAATATTGCAATTAAATGAGGTAAACTTATAATACACATTAAACAATGATCAAGAAATTTATCAAGATTTATCATGGACTAAAATAAAATAAAATTACCTTTAAGACGTTCATTCATTACTCATTCCATTAATCAAGTGCGTCAAATTAAAATGCATATAAAAGAGACACTTATCATACAAAATTCACTTATTAAAACAATCAAAAACAGTAGATTAATCATATAATATAAAATAAGCATAAAAATAGTTGACAACTTCAGGTGCAACTTAGTCAATAACAGAAATCAAAAGCATGCAAGCCAACATGCTACAATGCATAGTCATACACATACCGTGTATATTTCACCAAAATATAATTCATGATCACATATGCAAAACTTCACAGTAATAATAAAATGGTTAACAGACCCTTGTTCAAACATGTTCTTCAAACTATCATACAAGATGTAATACCCATCAAGACAAATAAAACAGGATAATTACGTAATTTGTAGTTTATGACATATTTCTATATCAGTTCATTTGTCGTCACGATCTGTGTGTTCTCTTACATTACACATTATACCCATTTCTGTTGGTAGTATTCTTTCATGGAATAAAAGGAGTGATGAAGTAAAAATCTCTTCAGTGCTCTCTTAAAATTTGGTACATCCAAAGTCAACTCTTTTAAAGTTTGAGGTAAATGGTTGAAGGCTTTAATACCCGCTACATATGCACTCTGACTATACTTTGTCAGGTTCACAGAAGGCAAATATAGATTATTATGGGTTCGGGTTTTATGTTCATGAATCATGGTAATAGCATTAAAAAGATGATCATTATTAATCGTGAATAAAATCAATGAGTATATGAATTGGGAATAGAATGACAGTATTTCGAATTTCTCAAATAGATGTCTACATGATTCTCTTGGACCAAAATTTGCAATAATTCTCATAGCCTTCTTTTGTAGTCTAAAGACATTGCTGGCATAGGAAGCGTTACCCCAGAAAATTATGCCATATCTTAAAATGGAGTGAATGTGTGCAAAATAAATTACCTTTAATGTATCTAATGGGATAAAATGCTTTATGTTTCTCAACGCATAACATGACCTTGCAATTTTATTGATAACATAGTTAATATGCTGTTTCCATGTGATGGTATCATCAATAATTAGTCCTAGAAATTTAGTTTCTTTCACCTTTGGTAATTTTATTTCATCATCTATGGTCATTGGGGTAATATTATAACAATTCTTGGAACGAAATTCAATATATTGAGATTTTTTAAAATTTAAAGCAAGTAAATTAGCATTAAACCATGTGTCAATATCTTTTAAAGTTTGTTTGAGATTAATTTCAAGTTCTAATTTATTTACGTCAGTTATTATAATACTTGTGTCATCTGCAAAAAGTACTGTTTTATTTTTCCTATTGCTTATTGAAGGTAAGTCATTAATGTAAAACAGAAAAAATAGTGGGCCAAGGATTGATCCCTGAGGTACACCACATTTGATTACCTCCCATTCGGAAAAGCTTCTACTGTCGAATTTGTTTCCTATTACAACTCTTTGGTATCTATCCATTAAATATGATTCTATAAGTGACTTAAATTTCCCTTCTATTCCATAAAATATTAACTTTTCTAGTAATATTTTGTGGTTGACACAGTCAAATGCTTTCTGTAGATCACAGAATAAGCCTCCTACCATTAACTTATTATTCATTGCAGATAGGATACTGTTCATTAACGAGAAAGCTGCCTGTTCAGTTAAGGAGTGAGACCTAAAAGTGTACTGTTCCTGTGCTAATATATTATTTGACTATATGATTAATGAGTCTTGCATACATTAATTTCTCAATTATCTTAGAAAAGGAAGTTAGCAGTGATATGGGCCTGTAATTGGCCATATTTTGAGTTTCACCTTTTTTAAAAAGTGGTTTAACTGTGGCATATTTCAGTCTGTCCGGGAAAACACCAGTACTGAGAATTTTATTACAGATGTAAGTCAGAGGGGAGACTATAAATGGCAGACTTACTTTTATGATTCTATTTGAGATCTTATTGTCTCTGAAAGTGAAGGCAGCAGGTTCCTCCATAATAGTTGTAGTCATGTAGTACCAATCTTTAAACTTTCATCCTTGACATGTTTCGGTCTGAGAGACCATCTTCAGAAGGATACATCAATACAACAAAAACTACTATTACAATGTGATTTGTGAGTGTTAGTACATATATACAATATCATCACAATGTCATGAATATAAAATCTGAGTCTTTAACAACTACAGCGATGTGCCTGAATATATTAAAATACATTTATAAATTGTTATAATTAATTTATTTGCAAGTGTAGTTTAAAGAGACTTTGTTAAAATTTTAGAACCAATTTGGTTTGTGTTCTTTATACTGCCTCTCCTGAAAGGAAGTTGAGTGTCGTCCACATTGTGGTTTCGTTGTTTGATGAATAGGACTCTTTAGTGTTGTCCTGTTGTTTGGGCCGCGCCGTGTTGTAGACACTCAACTTCCTGGTGTCTCAGGCCTTCTCATTAGCAAATAGAATATTTCAAATTTTATTTTATTGCCAACAAAATACAGTACAATACAGTACAGTAGTGTGACAGAAGATATGGTAATTATGGTATATTGACAGTAAAAGAGGCTCACCCCATAAGGGTGAGATCAGAGTACAAGAGTTCTTCAGGAGAGAAATTATGTAATACTAATTTGGTTGTCACAACAGAATAACAGCGTGGATCTTCTAGAAAGGAAGCGGCAGTTGTACTTGGATCTGCAGACACGGGGTCCAGAGGCCTTTCAGCATCTTATTGTTTCTCTGATGAAGACTGGACATCTTGATTTAGTTCAGCAATTGCAGCCCGGCATTGATCTAAGAAGTTTCTTCTTGGAACAAGTACCAAGGAATGTGGCTCATGTTCGTCAAGGGTATGTGTTTCTGTTATTGTCTGCTTCACCACTCTGTCCAACTGTTTAAAAATGCATTTGAATGAAATTTAGCATGGAAATGTATTTTTGTTATTTAAATTGTGGTTTGCTGGGCTGTGACATCTTGGTAGTCTGGTAGGTTGGTACTGGTGTTGCCAGTACATGGTGTCATAACCCAGAAGACAAAATCATGCGTCTTCACTCCTGTGAGCACTTAATGTCTTTTGCTTCAGTTTCATGAGTCTAATTTAGCATCAGAACTTCTTTCAGTTGCAGTATACATTTTGGTCCACATATTCATGTATATTTTATTTAATTGAGCAAACTAGTCCAAGTAGCAATGCTTCTGATTTGTATTAGGAAGGTGCTTCAATGAGAACATCTGTCTGTCTTAACTGTAGTGTTCTGTGGTTTCTCTCTGTCCTTCCAGGGAAATGATAGGCCACAACTGCTTCCTTGTACATCATTCCCAATTCATTATTCACTAACAATACTGTTTGTCCCTGTATTGTCTGAGCTATTGATATAGTTGTAAATAAACTGTGAATAAATAAACATCTTTCAAGCATTTGAAACACAAGGCTATTATGGAAGACCATCTCAACAATTAGAGATAGCTACTTTTGAGGAAACATTGCCTTAAAATAATGGCACAGTATGGTCTGCAGTAGTGAAATGTATTCTGAAGGAAGAACAGACTTTGAATACAAAGTTATAGACTTGAGTCACATTACTTAGAAAGGAAGAGAAGAGAAATGGTCATGGCCTAATTTCAGTTATCAAATTGGCAGTTGCCAGGAAGGACTGAAGAAAGCTGGGAGTAACAGCAATCAGGGTAGCAAGTCTCCGGGTTGGGACTTGAATCCCAGGCTTCCTGAATATGAATGTCAGTGCTGACTGGTTGACTGTGAGTACCTCCATGGTTCGTAATCTTCACCTAACATTGGTACAGTCAACTGCATGGTTCAAAACTGGTAGTTGCTGAGCTACTTAAAAATTATCTGAAATATTATGGCCATGTTCACAAGAGCGTTCTGCTGGTCCAGCGCATGGGCCACATGGATTCAGTCCACACCTCACCCAGTTCCTTTAAAATCTATTTTAATACTATCTTCCCATCTCACCTAGGTCTTCTCAGTGGTCCCTTCACTTCAGGTTTTGTGGCCAAAACTCTCTTTGGATTTGTCATCTTTCGCATGCTTTCTGATGTGGATGTTCTGCAGAAACCACATTATTGTTCAATTGAAGGACATTTCAGATATGTGTGACATATACATGTCCATATGCTGAGACATGCTTTGGAATAACTGAGAAGCTGTGTCTATCGGGGTTATTTTGGGTATATGGGAGCAGTTCTGGGTGAGATTGCAGGTTTGCATCAAGAGGCGGTATGGCCAGTGGGTGACACTGATGGGAGCTGCCTGAAGGGTTGTAGAACCTGCAGTCAATACAGATGAGCTTGCAGGAAGTTTTATGAACTTTTTTATTATGTCTGTTCCCCCCCCTCTTGTCTTTCCCCAGTTTGTAACATTGATGGTCATCATTTTTTTTCAGTAGATCCTACTTCGCTAATATTTCATGATAAACTGCAAGAGGACAACTTTTTTTTTTTTTTTTTTTGATAACAGCTTCTTACGTACTTCAGTATTCAGTGCTTGTCTTCATTTACAATTGTTGTTTCAGTAGACCCACTTAGTGTTTCAAGATATATGTTTCTTCTTTCCTTAGTGGAAATTGTATGTCCATCTTTCTTGAAAGATGTTGTACATTGTTCTGAATTCAGTGTTTGTTTTAGTTTAACATTTTATACTATTAAGAATGCCGTCTTCTGGGATGTGGTGCCATGTAGATATTGTGTAAACCGACATTTACACACACTGGTTTCTCGCTGGCTGTTTTTAAACCCTGAGATGGAGGCGATACGTTCCTCCGAAACGCCAGTTTACACAATATCTACATGGCGCCACATCCCAGAAGACGGGATTCTTCATAGTCACCACTGTGAAAGCCTCAAATCTTACATTTTATACAATTGATTTCGTTTTTGTAGCACAGCCATGTTCATTCCTCCAAATTATGCGCCAGAAGATGATACTGACCTTAGTCCAAGACTTAGAACCTTGCAGCTTCAAATTCCTCACTCCGTAGCAAATTTAAGCCAAGAACCATTGAAGGTTGTAGTGAAGAAGGCTACCATGAGAAAGGATATTTGTACCCCTAAAGGGCTGCAGGTAACAGGCTGTATTGTACTGCTTATGGTTAGATTTTAAGTTGTGAGTTATACGTCTTTGAACTGAGGTCTGTTCACCATGGGTTCACATGAAGTCTGTCATAGTACAGAATATTCTGTTGTGAAACTAAAAAGTAGGAAAACTGTGCTTCTGCACCCAATTATATAATTGTAATTTAATGTAATACACTGTTGTGGCATTCCTCAACTTTGTGTAGTTTGGCTTTACATTCAACAGTCTTCCTCACAGTCTTTATTAGTATCATGGTGATTTATTATAATTGCAACTTCAGAGTGGCAGTGATTGATTGGTTGGGATCGTGTGTCCATTAAACATGGGTATTCTGAGACAGTGAGGTGCCCCAGTGTTTGAGTGTTACAGGACAGATATCAAGGTAAGGAGAATTAAAGTCCTCTGGCCTGATCCTTCAATATTGTTAAGCTTATACCTGTAAGGTAGAAGTGGTAGGAGCCTGGCTGGTGTGATGAATAATATGTCTCGGTGCTTCATGAGGTCTTGCACTGTCTTAATATATGGTAGCCTTCATAAAGTAAAGGAATTGAGCATGTCATTTAATATTGCCATGTATATGAGTGGCTTTAGATGGAGTTTCGATTGGTAATCGGATTTATTGAACTCTTGCAGAACGCAGCTACACTTAACTATAGCACTACCACTAAGTCACACCCTCTACCATACATTATAGCATGCACAAAGTTTTTCAGTCTTCTTTGTCTTCACCGGTTGTTGTCTGTTGATGGCTTCCAATGCCGTAGCTTCTTGAGCTTCCGTGTTCACATTCTTAGTGGCCGGCGACTTTCTCACAAATGTTAACTCTCAACTTGACTGAACTCCACTCATGCTCACTCCTCTGTATTCAACCACACTACGTTCACTAATTGAACTGAACTTGGTTGGTCTGATTTGGAGCAGACCACAGAGAACACTGTGTGCAATGTCTCTTCTGTTGTTGCGGGACATCACCGCAGATGTGATGAGTTCCTCTGTTTTGTATATACTGGCCATTACCTCGCATCAGGTCTACATGATACAATATTGTCATTTGTTTTAGCAGAGGCTCGATATTAACGGTCACTTGCCACATAACCCGCTTATAGATGTAATCATAAGATAACTGCATGCCACTGCACTACATGTAGTGTACAGTCTAGGATGTATGTTCACTGTTTCCTCAGCTTCAGTCATCAGACATTGAATTATTGCAAACGTCTCTAATTTGGTATATGATTCCACATGAACCACCATTTTGGAACTGTGATGTTGTCTCTTTGTTGAGGCATGTATTAATTGTAGCATATATGAATGAATGGCAGAAAGCATGAAATAAAAGGAAACAGTTAATGGCTTATAACCTAGCATGTTATGGCAAAGCAGTTGTTTTCATTGGAATTAACCTTATGTAACATGTGTCTTATATTCACTACCTCCTGCTGCCTAACCTGGGGACTCGCATTTCTTTTGTGCTATTACAGTTTTATGAAACACCTGACTTCTTGTGCATACTGTAACACCAAACAGTTGTGGGGCACTAAGCTTGACTCATGGGCAGATTGAAAGACAGACACCTTACCCATGTCTCTGGGTCATCCTTTCCCATGTTACTTTTGTGTTCATTTAAATGTTTACCAGATGTATTATCTTGTTTTAATGTTTGCCAAGACATGCAGTGTGCCAGTAAATGTCTGCCAGGCCATGCAACACATGATTTAAATATTTTCCAGGCTGTATGTTGCATTGTTTAGATGTTTGCCAGACTGTATTGTGTGCCATTTAAATGTTTACCAGGCCATACACTGTACCAGTTATGTTTGCCAGACAGTGAAGAATGTCATTTAAATGTTTGCCAGGCTATGTAGTGTGCCACTTAAATTAAGCATCAGGGATAACTGTAACATTTTATGCTAATTATAGGGACTTTTTTCAGGTGTATCCCATGAGCTCCAAACCAAGGGGATATTTTTTTATGATCAATAATGTTGAATTTGTGAATAATATTTTTGATCCAAGGAAGGGCTCACTTGTTGATGAGGAAAACCTTCATGAGTTGTTTAGAGAATTTGGATACATTGTGGAGTCACACCGTAACCAAGGATTAGAGGTAAATCTTCCTGCTGACAATTCACGTTAATTTTTCTTAGATTGTGGCTTTTCTAATTTATTTTGGTACTCAGATCTTTATGATTTAGTGATGTAATTTGGAGAACTGCCAGACTTGTGTAATGACACTATCAAAACTGCAAATACGGTTCATGTGTACAATTCTGTGTTGCTGTCTGGACAGCAAATTCATTTATTTCAGATTGATGATTCCCCCTCCCCATCTTACATGATTTCAGTTCACATGAAATTCAATTTAATGAGATTTCATATGATTTTTTTTTTCATGCAGAAGAAGAAATTAGGCAAATTTTCAGGTAAGCTACTTCCCACAAGTATTAATAATATTATTGCTCCTGGGAAGACAATTTGAGTTACAGGATACAGTTCCCATTCGTCCTGTTTTCCCGGGACAGTCCCGTTTTTTCATTTAATGTCCTGCTGTCCTGGATTTATTTCAGATGTCCTACTTTTAGGTGCTCTGTTTAACATTAATTTCTATCGATAACCACTTGGTAATGGCTGCTATTCTCTGCAGTTGGCATTTCTGTAATGTTGTTGACACTCCTGGTGGCTAATCCACAACACACAGTGCCAGAAATCATTAGTTTTTATGTTGGCAATATGTCTTTTTTTTTTTTTTTCATTTATTTTGGTAGTATTTTGATTTGCTTCCATAACAGAAATTCCGTTTGTATCATTCTCTGCGTTCTTTGGTGACTTACATTGTGTTGTGAGAGCATGTGAGAATGCATTGGTTTTTATCCCTATAGTGATGGCAAAATGCAAGTGCAGTATTAATGAGTATTAAGATTGAATATCCATTTATTAAAGCGTAAATGAGAATGTTGAATGCACATAATGCAGTGCGAAATTTTACATTGCACATGGTGGTCAGTCGGACATTGTCAGTTGTATGAAAACAAGAAAGCATAAACCGGCTGTTCAGAACAAAGATTCCAATAACAGCATAAGTAACTACTTAAGTGTGAAGAATGTTAGTGAAAAAACAGGCTTAAAATAGAAAATGGCAAAAGCCTTGACCATTGTGAAGACCCACTTTAAAGATTTCTCTTGTTCAGAGTTCTTTTCCCAAATATCAAAAGAAAAGGTGTTTCTGGAACAGGTTCACAAATCAGACAAATATTCAGGTGAATCTGGTGTTGTTTCCTTTGTGAAATCACATTGGATCATCGAGGTAAAAACGGATAAGAAATGAAACGCCTTCGTCCAAATCTAACATTTACTGGAGACTGAATGAACATTACAAGATACCAAAGGTACACACAGAAAGAAAGTAGAAGTGGTTGTGGTACCAACTTATGAACAATATATATCACCAGATAAATATGGCCAACACTAGAACTATAGTATTACAACACCTCCCCTTGTTGGACATATTTTACAGTCAAAATCTATAATTACAATAACCAAAAGTAAAACAAGTTTACAATTCCACACCGAATTTCAAACCTATCTTTAAAGACAGCTCATTTATCTTTGGACCATTAGTAGCTTTAGTCAGCATATCAGCACAATTAGTGCTTGAATCTACATACTGGATACTAATATCTCCATCATTAACATATTCTCTAATCTTATGTTGCCGCATTCTAAAATGCTTGTTGCGTTCAGTAATCTTATTCTTTGTGCACATATCATTTGCCTGTAAATTGTCTCCAAAGATTATACTAGGAGTAGATACTGCTACATTAATTTCTGACAGAAACTCTCTCATCCAAATAACTTCCTTGCTACACTCATATAACGCTATATACTCAGCTTCGTTGGTAGATGTGGCTACAATGTCTTGTTTCTTGGACTTCCAAGACACAGCTCCCTTTGACATCATGATAACATAACCCGCCACGGATTTACTGTCATGTACATCGTTAGCAAAATCAGAATCAGAATAAATTACTGGGTCAATTTCAGATTTTTCATAGGTCAGCCGGTATTTAATTGTATGTTTCAAGTATCTCATAATTCTCATCACCTCCAGCCATCTCCCTTTGGTCGGACAATGGCAAAACTTGCTGACTTGATTTGTTGAAAAAACAATATCTGGTCTAGTACAAGTGGCAATGTACTGCAACCTACCTACTGCTGCCTTGTACTGAATCTCATCAAAGGGCTTGTCACCATCGAGAAAATTGTTATAGTTTGGGTCCCTTGGAGTTACACATCCTTTACAATCAAGCATACCAAAAGTTTTCAGTGTTTCATTCACATAATTTTCTTGATGTATTTTAATTACATATCCATTGGGCCTATGATATTATGAACACAGTAAATATCACGTCTCTGCTGTTTATAATTTCATAGCAAACAAAACACGCCTTCATAACAGTGGAACGTAGAAAACGCTCGCCAGAGCCACAGGAAATTTGCTGCAAGACAGGCATATGTAACGACGACTTAGCGCAGCTAAACTCGAGTCTCATTATAAACCGTTCTTGTGACAACAGGCCAGCGAAAAATCTAACAATCTACAGCAAAACCATCAATTATTATGGGCGTTATAACGTAGGTGTGCAGCTGGACGAAACATACNTGTTGTGGGGTTCTAGCTACACTTAACCTTCTGCCTATTCCTTTCTGATCCAAGTATTCATTAAATGCTGCACTGCAATATTCTCCCCCATTGTCTGATTGTAAAAATTTAATTCGTCTCTCTTGTAACACTTCAACTTTCTCTACATATCTTTGAAAGGCTGGTAATACATCACACTTGTTTGTTAAAACTTCAACAGTTGAGAATCTTGAGTTATCGTCTAAAAAGGTTACAAAATACTGTTTCCCACCCAAGCTTTGTGGTGTAATTTTTCCACATACATCTGAATGTATCACCTCCAAAACATTCTCTGCACTTTTGGAGTTCTTACAAAATTTCTTTCTGTGTAACTTTCCTGTGATGCATACATCACAATTTAACTGACACTCATCTACACCACAAAACTTTGGTAGGGTTTTCATATGTCCAAATCTCTGATGCCATATGGCTTCACACTTCAGGGCCTTGGCCTTCATAAGATTCATTTTCTTTTCTATTTCCACCTTACTACTTATACTACACATCAAAGGCTTCTTGTTTGATGATGGAGACAGAGTCCAGTCTAATATGGTTCTTGGCAGTGTCCAGAAAATGAATTGTTGTATTAGTATACTGTTCCCATGAAGTCCTAGATCTTAATATTCAAATTGAATTCAAGATTTTTTCTTGGATGAATCTAAAGAATCTGAGACACACATTCATGGTATTTTATTCCAGAAAAATAAGAACTGCGTACCAGATTTTGGTGGAGAATCCCTACTTGAAAATGTTAAAAGGAAATGAGAGGGCAGTTTTAAAATTGGATTATGGGGAAGTAGGTTATTAGAATGCTTGATCTTCAGCTTCTGTTTCTGCAGAGTCAGTCAACTCATTTGACCTGGATCTGTGTACAAGATAACCATGAATTAATATAATGTTACACTTCATAGCTTCCCCAGAAACAGAGCTCAGTTAAATATGTTACACAATATGAGCTTTTGTATTTTTGTGCAGGATATGAAGCGTAAGATTCGTGAATTTGCTCAGCGTAGAGAGCATTCACTTTATGATTCCTGTGTGGTGGCAATTATGAGTCATGGGAACATGGGAAGCAGTAAGCAGGATTCCGTCATTATAGCCGCCAATGGCCAATACCTAGAGATAGAATGGGTTTTGGAACAGTTCACCAATGAGAATGCTCCAAGTCTCCAAGCAAGACCCAAGATCTTCTTTTTTCAGACATGCAGGTGAGACGTTCATTGTGTTATAGATGCTGTTTTCACTTTAAATTGTTGATCTGGATAGATTAATTAGTTAGCAATGGCCTGGATGGCCAGGGTTCAATTCCTGGCAGGGGGAAGAGAGCCTTCTCTACTCCACAGAGTCCAGACTGGTTCTCCCCCCCAGCCTCCTATACAGTGGGTTACCAGGGTCTCTCCAGGGGTAAAGCAGCAGGGGCATGAAGCTGACCATTCACCTCCACCTACTGCTGAAGTCAAGAATGGTGGAGCTATACCACATGTCTTCATGGTGTGGTGCTTAATTTCCTAAGCAAAGGGACAACTTTTTATATATATACATATATAAGAATTGAAAATTGTTTTATTGAGGAAATGGCAACCACAGAATGAAGCTAATTACCTGCATCCCCCTGAGAATATTAAGGAAGTTTTTGGTGATAAGTTGGTTGTAATTTTTCACTTAAGTAAAATTATGCCATTGGTTTTCAGGGGTGATGGACAGGATTTTGGGGTGAAATTGACATCTGGTCGCATCAAGAAAGATGGGTCTAGTTCCTCTGTTCTTCGCTCAATGTCTGATATGCTTATTGGATATTCAACCCTGCCTGGATTCTCATCAAATAGGGACATACATCTTGGAACTTGGTATATTCAAGCAATCTGCGAAGTGTTTATGGAACATGCCTGTGATACAGATGTTGAAGACATGCTCAAATTGGTGGGTTTGTCACTGTTGTCAATATTACCTGCAGTATTTTATTGGTTTGTTGAACAGACAATTTGCTTAGAGAAATTTTGTTGTAATACATTTATGACTGGAGAAGCATAAATGATTTCTCCCTGGTCTTCCTCCCAAGATCACAGAAAATTTTCTTCTTCCTCATATGAGGTTTGCTATAATTTTAGTACATTCTCAACAAAATCTGAAAAAATTGAGTCCAGTAGCTTTATTGTGCTTCTCTGTCTGCATGTAACAACTTTAGAACTGCTGAATGATATTTCATTTCATTTATTCACTTTCATAAATCCTGTCGAGAATACATTCTCATGCGGATGTGGAGATCATCCTAGTTACAGTCACAACTAAGAATTACAGTTGTCATCCAATAGCATACACATTTGTAATAAAATACTGATAAACATATACAAAATAATAAATAAGTTAATTTTAGTAGTAAAAGCAATGGCAAACCTTATACAATTTGTACAGTTTTGTACAAGTCTGTTAATTAAAAATTCAATAGTTACAACACAATGTCATTAATGAGTTTTGTATAACATACGTATTGTTGTGAAATGTCTTCATGGGGAGTTTTTGTAGCATTTGTTGCCCAATAGCAGTTTCGGCTAAAGTTAGGCACAGATAATGGCCTCTTTGCATGATAATCTACGTGCATTTCAAACATAATTGTTAAATATTTATTGGACAAAAAGAAAAATGCTTTGAACAAAAGTTGTAGTGAAAACTAAAGTATGGTACACATTTTATATCCAGTGCAAGTGAATTGTTATGCTACAAGGTGCTGTCAGAAAGTTCCTGGACTGTTATTTTTGTAACTGCCTTAGTGAAAGAAGGTGAGAGGGGAGGTGAAAATTACACTTCGCAAGCCTATTGCATGAGTCTGCCACATGACGCCTCGCTGTGAACACGTATTGTTTTTATATGAGTGCTTCAACTTCGTGATTCATTTTGTCTGTGATGGATTGCAAAATTGAGCAACATGCCTGCATCAAGTTTTGTGCGAAGCTCAGAAAATCCACTGCCGAAACCCTTTAAATCCTTCATGAGGCTTTTGGAGAACATTCTTTAAGCCAAACAATGGTTTTTGAATGGCATTCATGTTTGAAGGCCAGTTGAGTGTCAGTTGAAGATGACGAACATTCAGGGCGATCAAGCACCAGCAAAATGACAGAAAATGTTGAAAAATTTGAGAACTCATTCACAAGACCATCGCCGAACAATCCATGAGCTCACAGACACCATCGGGATCAGTTATAGAGTGTGCCAGGAGATCTTAACAGAAAATTTAATCATGCGCCACATTGCTGCAAAGTTTGTTCCCCGACTCTTGACAAATGATCAAAAGCAGCAGCTTGTAAACATGTCATGAGCTACAAGAGAAGGCTAGCGAGGATCCAACTTTTATCTCTAGGATCATAATGGGTGACAAAAATTAAATTTACAGTTATGATCCAGAAACAAAGCAATGGTCATCACAATGGAAGAGCCCACAATCACCAAGAGCAAAAAGGGTGTGGCAGGTCTGGAGTTCAATAAAGAGCATGCTTGCTTCCCCATCCCCCCACCCCCTCCCCACAAAGGGGATTGTTCACCATGAATTTGTTCCTGCTAACACTATGGTCAATTCTGACTTTCACTGTGACATTTTGATATGCTTGAGGGAAAATGTGCAACAAAAAAAACTGAACTCTGGCGCAACCAAAACTCACTCCATCAAAACAGTGTGCCTGTCCACACATCCCTGATAACCACAGAGTTTGTGACTAACAACAACATGGTTAATGTTCCCCATCCTCTCTACTCTCAAGACTTAGCTCCCTGTGATTTTGATTTTGCTTCCGAAAATGAAACTGAAGGAAGCAGTTGAGTTTGTGCCATACAATATGGCGCGATTCTACAGTGAACCACTGCACAGTGTAGTACACACTAAACGTATATACACCCAGACAACACATAATTCCATATTGTACGATTATATAAAGATACATATTGTGGGAATAGCATACCAATATCCACACACTAACAACTAGTACATCATGGAAACTTGTCTTTGGTCTTCACACCCGGGCTCACTATGTAGGAAGCTTCTACAACAAAGACCTGCAAACATACATGCCCAGTTTTTCTACATTGTAGCAGTGAAACCTTAAATATTTAAGTTGGCATACACATTCTTAACCTACCATCGAAAATCCTGTAATATATATTTTTTAAACATTTTTAATAGACTTTTAATATTTGTTAATGATATATTCAACACATAAATTTTGATATATGGTATAGCTTTATTTTATCTTTTATTTTATTTATGTATTTGTTACTTTATATATAACACTAACTTGGGGCAAAATTTTTATGTTAGTATATGACACATTTCACCAATAGCGATCCATATTGGTATTTCAATGACTATACGTATTCCTGTGTATAGCTGATGATGGTCTTGTACAACTGAAACCTGTAGCAGCAATAAAGATCAAAATTAAAACTGAGTATTTGTTGTGTTGACGGTAGATATAATTCCTATATATATATCTGAAGCACACAACAGGATGTAACCAATGAAGGTAATCAATACATTTTGATCATTTTTTGTAAACCTTTGAGTTTGGAGGACATTGTGTATCCCTGCCATGGTGTTGTCAGTTTTCATTACCCTAATTTCTCAGAACCACATTCCTCCCCCCNTTACAATTATTTTATTAAATTATGTTAAAACTGCTACACTGTTTTAGTCCGTGTTAAAATAACACGCTGCAGTCCTCTTTTCAAGGTAAAACCAGATAAAATCCCTTAAAGTTTCTATTATACCCACGTTATTTTGGTGCATATTGTTTCACCTCATATGGCGTGTCGTCCCTGTTCATAAATGTATGTCTGTCCAGGGTGTTTTGTCTCGGCAGCTTGCCCCTCACGTTCATAGCCTAGTTTTCAGTTATGACTGCCGTATGCCCCTGATTTGCTTGTTTCCTCCACAGTGTGTGGTGTTGTCTGTACTAGTCTTTACTAGTCATAACTGAAAAGTAGGCTACGAACGTGAGGGGCAAGCTGCCGAGACAAAACACCCTGGACAGACATACATTTATGAAAATGGATGACATCCTGTATGAGGTGAAATAATGTGCACCAAAATAACGTGGGTATAATAGAAATTTTAAAGGATTTTATCTGGCTTTACGTTGAAAAGAGGACTACAGCGTGTTGATTTTAACACAAACTAAGACAGTGTAGCAGTTTTAACACAATTTAATAAAATAACTGTAACATATCGAGACACCTGAAGATGGCCATTTGGGGCCGAAACATGTAGTGTCAAGGTGTATAATGTTAAACTAAAAAAATAAATAAAAATTGAGTTGTGAATGGAAGTGTTGCAATATTGACAGATGATGAATAATGGATGTTAAGAAGATAAGTGTCAATGAAAGATATGTTGTTTATTTGTGTATTTCTGTTTGCTTTCTGTTATAGGTTGATCAGAAGTTGGCCACACTTACGGCCGAAGATGGTTCGTTGCAGACATCTTCTTATGAGAACAGAGGTTTTCGTAAATTGTATTTCAATCCTGGACTATTTGATCCTCCATCTGGATATGCTTAGCCTGTCAATAGTTAGGAAATCTGGCTAAATGATACATTTAGCAGAGAATATAATTAAAAGTTTGTGGTATCTTGTGTATTCTGTTGGCGCTTCTGACTTTGTGGTCCTCTGTCAGCAGACTTCTGACATAATTTTTTCTGCACAGGTACACTATCAGAAATCTTTTGTGCCACATTATGATGTGTGTTAATTTGCATTTTGTTATTTACATTCCATGACACTTTTTATGGCAGTACCTATGTAAGAACCAACATATTTCAGGATTTTTATGTTTTGTAACTAAACATGCCCATGATTTTATGGGCACTGTAACTGATAGGACTGAGGTCAAAAATAAGAAAAAAATATGAAAGGAAAGGGGTAATTTTTGGGGGTTGAAAGAATTTTAGAAATTTTTTTGGTTACATTTCTGTTTCTTGTCACACATGGCTGGAGCTGCCTGCTTCAATTCTGAAAGTTTTACACCATTGAAAAATGATTTGCTGGGAAGTCTGATCTGGAGGTGATGGCTCAGTTGATTTTGTAACAGTGGTCAGTGCCTGAATGTTAAATTCCAGTTCATACAATCTCCAGACTTTTATTCATTTGATTGTGAAATGAGTTTGTTATGTAAAAGGTTTACTGAAATGACTTATAAATAACATTCAGGTATGTGATGTTTTATGTGAAAGAATATGAAAATGCATTCTGTGTTCATATAAGTTCATGATAGCATAAAGTATGCATAAATTAAATGTTTGCATTGTTTTTACATGGCCGATCATGGTAGCTGAACTGTCTTAACCCTTCAGCATGGGCATTTAAATATCGCTGTTGTGGGGCCTCCTGCGGTAGTATTTTTTAGTTGCCCATTTAAATTTTGCTCTAAATTATATTATGTATCATAACTTTTGAACTATATGAGATATACTTATGAATTTTTCACTGAAATCATCTTAAAAGATGGTTTTATAATCTTAACTTATAATATGAGCACCCTGTATCTGAGTGGTGGAATCAAGTGAATTAGAAGTTGAGTTTCATATGGTATTTCTTGAAACATCCATCTAAACACAACCCTGCCTCACATTCACTACACCAGTAAATAGATTCTTTCTTTTTACCATGTTTTGCGCACACCACACATCTTTTTTTAGGCTTTGCCTTTTTCCTTTGGCTGGAATACGATCCAGGAAATGTCGTTCTGTGAGTCTTTTAGGCGGCGGCTCAACTGACAGACGGCTGTATACAGGACGAAGAACACCAGAACCATGTTTTTCCATGAGGCCTTGTACTAGTGAAAGTCTGAACTTTAGTGTGTCCATGTTTTTGTTATTTGGGAGACACCGATATATGTCCATTGCATTATGTATTGCTACATTGAGTAGCCACTTGAATAACTTCTGATACCACTTAGTACTCTTCTTTCGTTCAAGCAAGTACGGCTGTAGCATTTGATCCTTCATATCCACTCCTAGCATGTTTTTGTTGTAATCACAAACAACCACAGGATTTGTTTCTTGTTTGTTTGCTTTATTCACAACCACACGCATATCACCTTTGTGGTATGCTGATATCATAGTCACTCAGCCATCGTAACTGTGAGGTCACGCGTTCTATTTAGACTGACTGGCAGTGCTGCAGGATCTTGAATGTTATGGTTACACAAACAGAGAGCGTATTCTTTTCACAACAGCCCAGTGCAATTGTCGTCATGCTGGCATGGTTCGTTCCATATTTATGGGCCTTCGAAATTAGGCTTACAGCTTGGCTTACGGTGTACAGCAAACCGCAGGTAGGACCATTTAAATACCAGCGTACTGTGTACGGCAGACCATGCTGAAGGGTTAAGGAAGATGCTGTCTTCTGTTGATTTAGTAATGAAATCATGAGTTTGAATCCAACTTGTGGCATGGATGTATGTATTTTTTTTATGCTTGTGTTGTCATGTGGAGGCCTTGTGATGGGCAAGTCCCCCATTGAAGGAGTCCTACCAGTCATCTGTAAATAAAATTCTGAAACCCAGTATACAGCAGTCACTGGACTGCATAGGTCTGTCATGCCACACAAGAAGATTATTTTATATGAAATATGTCAAGTGTCCTGATGTATGTATACATAATCAGTTGCAGATATATGATTATGTGTGATTACATGACATTGTGTAATGTACAGTATTATGCCTGAACAGTGCCATTAATGTCATATTTTTATATTTATATCAGTGAATGCACAAATGATGAAAATTTGCAGTAGGTTTAAGGTCTTCATAATCTTTCTTTTTATTAATGCCTTTTGTGTTGAAATACTTATCTAATATCTCTTGATTTTAGGTTTTTCTCATCCTAGTCTACAAATTCATTGTACCACAGAAATGTTATGCATGGGTCTTGCTGTATGTCTCCATACTGCAATAAATTATATGTAGCAGTGGCCATTTTGTGTTTAAGCAATGTGCTAGGTGGTTCCTGAAGTTCAGTATGCCATGAACAGTTTTCAGGACATGTGGAACCTAATATCTCTCCTCAAAATGTCTTCTGCTACTTTCAGTTACCAGGTTCACCTGGCTCATTGTCATACATTCAGGCATTACACCATAAAAATAATTTTCTCTCTAAGGCAGCTTGTGGTCCTATACTTTTGATCTGTGGGCAGTATAACAGGCTGTTTCTATCAAATAAAGAAGCAGAGCACTGTCAGCTATATACTGAAGTTGCTTTGGGATAATTTTTGAACAAGAATTTGCCATTACACATTTTTCAGGTGAAAAACTCAGAACCGTTTTGTATTTCTGAGAACTTTCTGAACGAAATTTCAGAAATCACTGTTTTGGGGCTTGTCAGGAGATTACAACCTGCTTCAAGTTAGTTTATAGGGTCCCAGTACTTAGATGTTACACTGATGGCTAGTCAGACATGATAGCAAAAGTATCATGGTTCATACAGGGTCAGTCAGAAAAGATGCTTCAGTTTAAAATGCATGTATTTTTTGTGTACTTGATATATACAGATGATTTTTGCATGAACAGAAGAGTAGACTTGGCAGAATAATTTTGTATGTGAACCTTGGCATATTTGTAGATACTGAAAATTCACTACTTTTCCCAGTTCTCTATCAACTCTGTGGGGGTTTTTTCTGTACACACTGCCTTCCAGAGAGTCATAAGAAGTATTTGCAGGGGCTGGAATTAGGAGAACATGGTGGGCAAAAGTTTTCATAAACATCATCCAGGCAAGTCATTCAAAGTATCACCAGAATTGAATGCATCCATAATGCCATTTGCCTGTATTTGGCAGAGCCTGTGAAAATTGTGATGCTCTTGAGTCACACAACCAGTTGAATAAAATACCTTCCCTGCAAACACATATTCCTATGCATATGGCATCTTATTGAACTGATTCAGGAAGTCCTCACTTGTATTGACAGTATCTCCCAAGCCTGAGCTACAAGTTAATGGTTCTTTATCTTTGTCAGAATTTAATTTAACCATCAGCCAGATATAAGTCTTCCTCTACTGAATGCTGGCAACTGGATTTAAACTTGTTAGTAACAGGATTTATATTTGAAAAAATACAACACTTGACCCATTGGTCTCTACATATGCTAACACAGTTGTACATCACATATATGTTGAAGGTTAACATATGCTGTTTTAAATGAAATGTCTTTTCATGTATACATATTCCTACAACCAATTATCACAGAGGAAGTTCAGTCTTTGCCTTTCATCTGTATCAGTTACATTTAATGTGTTGGAAAACTTTACCGTTCCAAGTCATTTTTAAGTCAATAGAAGCACAATGTGAAGAATAAACCAATACACATTCATTTGTGACTTCTTATCCATTTCTTGGCTTGTAAGAATTTCATTGCACACTCAGCTGTGTCACCCATGTTCTATGCTTTATAGATCAGGAATACAGTTCTATCTTACTGAGGCAAACTCTCTGGTGCAAACCCAGTGATGTTGCAAGAATAAAATGCTTAGCGGCATGTGTGTTTGTTATCAAAAATATAATAAATTGGACAGTGTTTAGAAACTTGAAAAGTAACAGTTTCAGAAATTTGGACTTTTTTAGAAGGTAAATTTCAATTTCTGAAATATTAAATAATTTGTTTTAGCATTCAGAATGTTATTATACAAAGGTGCAAATGGAATGAAGCTATTAGTAACACTCAGTGTAACACTTGTTCAACCTCTTATATAACCACTGATAACTGAAAACCTATGGCATATCTTACATTAAAAGTTATATATAAATGAATAAAGACTGATCTATCCAAAAATGATGTTTATTTTATTCCCCAAATAACTGTAGATTTTTTAAACAGTTACCCAAAACATGTAATAATTTTCCTAATTTTACAGACATTCGGCCGCCTGCCATGGCTAAACCATAAGAGATGGATCAGGACATATTACAAGTGAAATATGTTAATAAATGCAAGCTTATCAAAATTTCAGTCTGGTTTGCTCAATCACTTACAGTCTAGGAGTTATGTCCATTTGTTTGTAACAAATTCAGTTCCTCTGTTAGTCACGTATCCTGGTAATGCAACAAATATTTAGTTGGTTCCAGATTAGATTAATTGATTTATTGAATATTCACCAGATGGAACTGCAATTAGTTGTAACACAGTCTTACTGTAAGTACACATACAGTAAAGACTTCACTTCTGTCTTTTTCTGATTTCTGTTTGTCTGTCGTATTATGTACTCAACTAATCTGTTGATTAGTCCTTTCCTTGAGGTACTTTCTGGTCAGACTGTATGCAGATCACCTTCAACAGCAGAGTTAGCACATTCTTCACTGTTACTTTGCTTTGGAGGTTTATTGTCTTGGATATCAGCTTTTAATCAGTTAAGTTATATTTTGCATATCAAAACTCTAGTAACCGAAGTTCTATAGTTGTCTGTATTACCTAGGAAATGTGTTTACTGAGCTGTTACATAGCTATACATGTTACACATGTAATAATTTTCATAATTTTACAGACATTCATCCTCCTGACAAGGCATTTTCGATGTTAATCCTGGGAACCAGTGTTCCCCAATCCTTTATTTGAGAAATATCGAAAGTGGTTTATTTCTAATAACAAAATTGTTTAAAATTTAAATTTTGGAAAATCTAAAAATTAAACAATTTGAGACCTTTTTTTATTTTTCTTAGATTTGAAACATGTGAAGATATATTTCAGAGCCTTCAATCATTTATAGACTTTTCAATATAACAAAGCTGCATTTAATGTTCAAATGGACAGCAAGTGGTGGGATGAGCCAACATAATATAACAAAACCCAATCAGACTATATAACCCAACTCCACAGTCATGAAGGAGGATGAGCAGTGATCTGCACAAATCTAATGTAACCTAACCTACATTACTCAGCCTCATCAAATGCTACCTGAATACACAGAGGGATGGGCAGTGGTGTGATGCTCAAAGCCAACGTAATACTGTGACATGTAGACTCGTTGCTAGCTAGCCACCACGAGATAGACAACTGTAGAACAGCCATTGCTAAGTAAGGAGCTTGTTTTCATGGCAAAAATTGCACTGCAACAGAGGAATGGTGTTTCCTACTCAATCTGTTCCAAGATGTTAAAAGCATGGCCAGTTAGCTGTTGCAGTCAGTGAATTAGAGAACAGCTGGGGCTCAGACATTCTGAGCTGTTGCTGTTAGAAGCTGATAGCTGAGGCTGGGTACAGGTCGGGAACCCAAAGGAAAGGGAACATCCACCATTGATTGATTGATTGATTTATTTCGTCACTGTAGATCATTGTACATGATATATGACAAGTCAAGTTAATTCTGAATATTAACAATTTGATATATAAGTAGNTAGAAGCTGATAGCTGAGGCTGGGTACAGGTCGGGAACCCAAAGGAAAGGGAACGTCCACCGTTGAAGCCATTACCAAGCAATGCCAGTGAAGACTTGACTGTGAACACTAGTATGCATTAACTATGAAACTGTTATCTATTCGCGGCACCTCTGATTGCTTTAAAGAGGCAGGAAGTTACATTTATTCCCTTCTTCCTTATTATACGTGATTTATAATATTTTAATGTAACTGAAATACTGTGTTATGTGTGGCTTTCAGGTGTAAGTTACGAGCAAAGGTATGAGGTTGAGTAGAAGTATCTGATGGAAACAAAATTTTCTTTCAAGTTTCCCCATTATCAGCTTTCCTAGATGCAAGTATTCCATGTAAGTTGCAGTTCACAATGTCAATTGCATTTGGGTAAAGACGTGTTAGATTCATGTAAAAGAAATGTTATGACTTTCCAGGCAATGGCGAGAAAATGCCTCCAGGTAAATAATTTTGCAACCTGATCTCTTGTACTGCAGAGGCTATTACTCCGTCGTGTGTGGCGTTTTTGAACAAAAAATTTAATATCACCACTCAAAATCCCTCTCGCAGGATATGAGTGAAGTGATATTGAACACAGTTCAAAAAATAAAGGGGGGTAAGAACCTCTGCAGTACAAGAGATCTGGCTGCAAAATTATTTGTTGCTATTCTTGCGAACAACGCCTTCTGGGTAGGGGAGTGAAGGAGCATCAAAAGCAGGCGCTATGTGGGCATAGCTTTTTACCGATTGTGCTCTCGGTGCTGGCGGCCATCATTCGAGAATGATGCGTAGAGATGACAGCTGTAATGAATTCGTGACGTAATGGTGAACATGTTGCCCACCAATGAGGTGAAATTTCGCGGGGCCCTTCGGAGCGTTCAGAACGGTTCAGAATCCACCGTTGCAGTGGTTGCAGTTACATAATTTGTGAACGCGGTTCAGTACCCCTACTCCCAACTAATTATATCGGACATGGCGGATAGCGAGGTGAGATTTTGTCACGTGGAATATCTTGTTTGCAAACTGTCTGTTATAATATGTGTCTAACTGTGTACTGTGCATCTTCCAGCTCACTAAAGCACTGCGAGATCTGCCTCTGCGAATTCAAACAGCTAGCAAGAAAGAAAGGAATGTCTTACTTCAAAATGTTGTTGCGGTGTTGTCAAACCCAGGTAATACTTAACACATGTAGGGCTGCATTCCGGTTGTAGTACCATTCGAAACAGTGTACTAGTTGGTTGTAAATAAATTGTTATTGACTGAATTCTGATTCTTTTAGCCGTTCACTATAAATGAAGGATGATATGGCTTTGTGTATTGGAAGGTGAGAGACTTCGAGCCGTGTGGTTTTTTGATAGTTTAGAGTATTGGCTTGGTGTGTGTGTTCTTTTAGTTTACTTACTTACATAGCCGAGCCGTTCTTGAGAAGCCAAATCTGGAGCTACTCGAGAATTTCCCAGCATTTTATGTAACACGAAGGTTCATTACTGTGTTCAGAAGAGCCCTCCACTGGTCCCTATCCTGAGCCAGATCACTCCAATCTGTACCATCCCATCCTATCTCTCTTAAGATGCATTTTAATATTGTCCACCCACCTATGCCTTGGTCTTCCCACTGGTGTCTTTCCTTTTGGCTTTCCCACCAATATCCTATATGCATTCCTTGTCTCCCTCATTTATGCTACATGCCCTACCCACCTCATGCTCCTTGACTTGATCATTCTGATTATACTTGGAGAAGAGTACAAGTTATGAAGCTTATAGTTTTGCAGTTTTCTCCACCCTCCTGTCACTTCATACCGCTTTGGTCCAAATATTCTCAACATCCTGAGTCTATGTTCCTCCCTTAATGTTAGAGACCAAGTTTCACACCCACACAGAACCACTGCCAAAAGTATAGTTTTCCATATTCTGATTTTTATGTTTTTAGTCAGCTGAGCTGACAAGAAGACAAAAGGTTCTGGACTGAATGGTAGTAAGCATTACCCAAGTTCAGTCTCCTCTTAATTTCCTCCTCAATCAGGTTTTGGTCTGTTATTGTTGTTCCCAAATATATTAACTGTGCCACATTTTCAAAACATCTGTTTCCTATCATTATGTCATGATTTTGCCCTGCATTTTGGTGACGAGACAGCAACATAGACTTAGTTTTCTCTGTGTTTACTTCTAGATCCACCACCTTACTTGCATCAATTACAGTTTGTATGTTTCTCTATATGGTATATATATTATCTCCCAGTAGATTCACATCATTGGCATAGACCAACAGCTGATGCGTCCCGTTTAATGTCAGTCCCACCTGGTTTCCCTGGACCTTCCTAATGGCATATTCTAAAGCAAAGTTGAAAAGGAGTGGTGATAAAGCAATATCTTAAACCATTCTGGATAGGAAATTTACCAGACAGCTGTTTAACTATACGGACTTTACTATATGTTTCGATTAAACACATTTTAATCAGCCTAACTAGTTTCATGGGTACCCCAAACTCTATCAGAATATTGTACAATACTTCCCTCATAACTGAATCATAGGTTTTATTGAAGTCTACAAATAGCTCATGTACTGTCTCATTGTACTCACATTTTTTCTCCATTATCTGACAAATGCAGAAGATCTTATCTGTAGTTGATCTGTTACGTCAAAACCCAAACTGATGATCCCCAATAATATCATCTATGTATGGACTTAACCTCGAGACAAGAATATTGGATAAAATTCTGTATGAAGTTCATAGCAGTGATATTCCCTGATAATAACTATGGTCAGTTTTATCACCCTTCTTGTGAACTGGTACAATAATAGACTCCTTCCACTGGTCAGGCAAATTTTCCTTATGCCAAATAGAAGTAATTATCTTATGGATTTTAGAACGTAATATTTCGCCTCGTGCTCAAGTAAGTTCTGCCAGAATTTGATCTCTCCCTGGCGATTTATACCGTTTCAATTTTGCAATAGCACTTTCAACTTCAGAAGGGCTAGGATCAGGTATTGACAGCTCTGCTGTATGGAATTCTGTCTGGCTAACATCACTGACCCTATGTACAATCAATAACTGAGAGAAGTAGTTCTTCCACCTATTCAAAATGTTGTGGGAATCTGCAAGCAGATCACAATTGTACCGTTCAGTAAGTTACCTCTGGGTTGGTAACCACTCTTAACGTATGTAAGATTTGAGGCTTTCACGGCGGTGACTATGAAGAAAGCAGTCTTCTGGGATTTGGCACCGTGTATATGNTCAGCTATTCCCCATTTATTTCGGTTGGGTCATATAACCGTTGCAGTTTGGCTTGTTTTCTTTGATCTAGTAGTTTTGAACATCCTTCATTGAGCCATGGCTTATGCCATTCTTGAGTAGCTGCAGATCTGGCTTCTCCTCAAGAAGGGCTCAGCTCCATAAGTAATCGTAATATTGTTCTGGCTTGCTGAAGATGACAGATGAGGACATTTGTTGTTGCTCATCCCACACCGTAATGGCTATAAGGAGGGTTTGCAAGTGGACTGAACCATTCTTTATGAGGGGCATCCTGAACTGTCGCACTTTTTAAGAGATGAATGAGTAGCAAAGCCTATCGCTTGCAACAGTTCAGTATAAAAGATTGCTTTTACATGTTTCAGCCACTACTAGCCATCATCAGAAGGCAAGGCCAACACTACGAAGAAATACATTACATGTATGATAAACATATGTTGTCATGAAGGGCTTTCTACCAGTAAAAATGTAAACTAAAATATTAATGTAATTAAAATAAGTTGTGTTGTTAAAATGAATAGACAGAATCAGTTAAAATGCATTAAATGTCTTGTATAAGTACATGATCATGACAACAGCCATATTTTCCTACTGCCAGTGCATAAATGTCTTGCGTGGTGGGTCATATGTCTGCCTTCATATTGTGCGTGTGCTGCAGTGAGGGCGATGGTGTAGACCTTGCTACTGATTCATCTGTATGGAACTGATATTAATGATGGACAACCATATGAAAGGATCAAGTTTAATCTAATTCAAATAGTGCTCTTAGAACTGCAGAGAGTGTTCACTAATCTAGTTATTTTATAAAGAATATGATGTTAATATATGGTGTATGACTTTTTAACACAAAATAAATCGTAACATTACATAATCACTTGCATAATAAAGATTGCAGTGAAACATGTCAGGTAAGAATGTCTTCTGACTATCATCACACCCATGTCATATTTCTATCAGAATTAATATAAGTGCACTGTATACAGTGGTCATTAAATCAACTGAACTATTTTCAGTTTGCATTTGTTTGCTGCAACATCAAAAACTAATGAGGGTATACATATTCTTAATGTTATTGTTGTATTGGGTTCAGTTAAGGATTAGGTATTTTACTTTTTCATTGACTGGATATGCATTGCTGCTCCTAGAAATGCAGTGCTGACATAAATATTAGAACCCTGTAAATCAGTGTACAAGATAATCCCAATTTATTGCTTTTTCCATTATAAAGGTTTTTTTTATTGCTAGTGGGGTGGGACTAAGTCCCTTGTACTGCGGCCACTTCTGGCCCCTTGTACCAGCCCCAGATGATAGGTGAGGGTGATTGTGATTGGTGGAATGAAGATTGGCAATGGAAACCGAAGTATTCGGAGAAAACCTGCCCCAGCGCCACTGTCCACCACAAATCCCACTTGACCAGACCCGGGATCGAACCCAGGCAGCTGCGGTGGGAAGCCAGCGACTATCCACTTGAGCTATGGCACGGCTCTTATAAAGATTTACTTCGTTTAGTGTCAGTTTTATGGTTTTGGCTTAGTTGTTTACATTTTGAATCCCTGTTGTTCTTCACAGAAATGCTGCATTTGGATCTTACTCTGTTGATAATTATATATCAGCTGATCTTTTTCCATTGCAGGAATCACAGAAGCCATCATTCGGGGCATTTGTAAAGTTTTACAGATTGCATTGCCACGATATCGAGATAGCACATCTCAGTTCTTTATTCAGAATGTGATCATCACTCTTGTTAAGCAGCATGGGGATTGGACCATGAAGCATCTTACTTCCACATTAAGTGATATTGCAGCTGCACACAAGAATTTGGTTTCGACGTTAGTCATTTATTTCTATTATATCACATATACTCGTATTAGTTCCTTAGAATGCATTAGACATTCATTTCAGAGCTTGAAAATCTTAATTATATGAAAGAATGAAAAATGGTAGATATAATGATAGTGTGTCAATATATTTTGATCACAGATCTGATATTCACATATGCCATGATTGCTGAATTCATAAAAAAAATCTGATGCCATGGAGTGCTTAGGCATTGCATATTAAACTTTGTCATTCAAGAAATTTCCGTATTTTTATAGGCTCGGTAATATGTTCTGTTGTTCTTATTTATTCTATCTTCTTCATGTTAAGCAAGGTCATAAATGAAGTCAGGAGAGGGATTTTGTATTCGGAATGCAACACATCCTATCTCCACTTATGTAGGTACCTGTTGCTACATGATTTATCCTATTACAGTCAGGCTTGACATTTTTCTGTTTATCATAATTTAAGAGTTTGACTTCGCTAAATTGTTTTTAATTATATTTTGTGAATTATAATTTATTAATTCATTAACAGTATCAGCAAGTGGCCTCCGTAGTCTAGGGGTAACGTTCCCACCTCATGACTCAAGGTACGCAGGTTCAAAAACCTGGTGGAGGTCGTGGAATTTTTAAGGGCGGAAAAATTCAGGGAACAAGTCCTCTGGGAGGGACTTTAAGCCGTGGGTCCCGTGTCGTAGGTTTATGGCACGTAAAAGAACCTCATGTCACTAGGAGACCTCTGAGCAAAATTAGGCCAAGTTTCCCGCCCAAGTAGTTTCCAATTCCTCCGGTAGATGGGGGAAGTATCAGGTACCACTGCCAGAGGAGGGGGGACCTCTCTGACAGAAAGGAACTAAAGTATTAGATACCACTGCCAAGTAGAGGGTAGAAACCTTGCTGGCAGAAAGGGACTAGGAACCCCTGCCAGAGGAGGGACGACCTCGCTGACAGAAAGGGACTAACTATTAGATACCACTGCCAGTAAGAGGTTGGAACCTCGCTGGCAGAAAGGGGCTGATAGTAAGCACCAGTACCGGTAGGGTATGGAGACAGTAGAAATTAAAGGAGGATGCACAATGGACCAGTAACTGGTCTAAGTGCATGGGGAAACCCACCCCCTCAATACGGAATACGGAACAGTATCAGCATTTGAAACTTATTCTACCTCCATTAATTAACTCTGAGCTGAGACAAATTGTAAGATTTTCCCAGTGATGAAGGTTCATAATGTGGTCTTCTGTGATGTGACATCTTGTTGTTGTACAGTAGGTGGGTACCATGTTTCGGAGGAAAGTACTGCACCTTCACTGTTAAAGGGTGTCCAACCCTAAAAATCAGGGAACTGTGTTTCCAAAATAAAAATGGTCTTTGACAACTTTGGATGCCTGCTTTCCAAACTCTAGTGGCCCAACATCAGTAAAATTTGCGGGAATGCTTATTTCCATGGGAACTATGATCTCCGGAAAAAAGCATTCACTTTTGAGGGAGCTGGGTCGTGATCTATGTTGATTTGACATGGACTGACCCCATGTCAGAACAGTAAGAGCAATTTATACCCTATCTGTGGCATTGCTGATTTGTAATAGAGCTTCAGTCTGTTAAATCACTTTTCAAATGCTGCCCTGTCTGGCCTTGCAACTACATGTGCATTTTAGGAAGTCCCTGCTTTTGTAGTTGTGTCTTTTTTTTTTTTTTCCCCCCTGGTCACAGATCATTGAGCAGCATAAGGCTGCCACCTGTTATTGATAATATGAAATACTAGTACAGTTTATACATAGACTTTGAAATATCGTGGAGTAGCCATGGTATGGAAATTGGGGCAGACCATTCAGCAACACCTTAGAGACAGTGTTCTCAGTGAATTAGTCACAAAACATGAAAAGGTGTTACATTCAAATTTTACTTAACAATTAACATTTTTGTTTGTGAAATAAATCATGATTTGTATATATTGTTGCCAAAGAATCTGTTTTATATTTTTTTCTGTTTTGAATAAATCTTCATGTTTTCAGGAACCACACATCACAGAGTGGTCTGTATGCTTTAAAGTGGTCGTGCTTGCTGGTTGAACATGGTCTCAATAATTGTTCAGACAATGCTAAAGCAGAATTTCAGCATCTTGTGGATACGCAGGCAACACTTTTGTCAGTTGTACTTGCTGTAGGGAATAAAAAGAAGTCTGCTAAAGCATATCGGACACTGTCCGCTATGTGGAGATGTGTGAAAGGTAGTGAAGAGTTGTATGGAAATGCAATAACAGGCTCGGTACCTAGCACACATATTGTAGTATTTGGATCTTATCTCATCCAACACCTGACAGAAACAAGAAGAGTAGATCTCATTAAGAAATATAAGGTATGCTTTAAACGTTCACTTAATTAATATAAAAAGTTCTTTGTATTAGTGAAAGCAGTTTTGTGAAGGGAAAACAGCTGATGGTTTCATGTAAATCAAAATAATGTAATTTTATTTAAATTTTATACTGTAGACATAAATGCAGGACTACATTATATTCCCATGTGCTTCTCTGTAGGTAGTAATTTTATGACAGAATTGCATGTGCAGTCATACATTTAAGTGGCAACAACAAGACATTCCCAGAGAGTGACATTTTCTTGCCGTTTTGGTTTTGACAGCAGTACATAGGATATTGTTCATGAAGGTGCTGTGTCATGTCCTGAAGTGCCAGATGGAAGGATATTATGTTAGGTTCATTAAACAGATCCATCACTAACACAGATGTATAGCCCATTTATGTATTTGAATACCAGAACATAATGTAATGAACAGACATGTACAAGTTTTCTCATTTTAACTAGCAATTAGTATTGTCTGTCTTTCAATAGAAATACATCATTTAATAAATCAGCTTGCATTTACATTTTCAACAGATGAATGAACAATGAACAACAATATTCTGTATTTAAAAAACAAAGAAGACACTACTGAATCAACATTTGTTTATATTTGTTTTTACAAACACAACATGTTTCGACCCTCATACCGGGCCGTCATCAGGTGTACAATGCTCGAGCTTCAGAATCACGAAACATGCTGCGAGGCATGTGTGAAGGCAGAGGAGACCAAATTCTAATAGTTTGTATAGAATATGATAAGTTTGTATTGCCCCTTTATGGTAAACAGCTCCCTCTGCTCTTCTTTCTTGCCTCATGCTGTGAACTACTTCAGCACTGTCAGAAGCAGCATGTTTCCATCTCAGTTGAACATACTGTTTAAATGGAGAAGGGTATCATAATTCCAGAAAACTGAATTCAGATACTAGAATGTTGGTAGTATTTTTTTATATTGCTAGTGGAGTGGGACTAAGTTCCTTGTACTGTGGCCACTTCTGGCCCATTGTACCAGCCCCAGATGACAGGTGAGGGTGATTCTGGAGCAATTGGTGGAATGAAGATTGGCAGGGGGAACCGAAGTACTCAGAGAAAAACTTCCCCAGCACCACTTTGTCCACCACAAATCTCACTTGACCAGAACCAGGATCGAGACCTGGCCACCGTGGTGGGAAGCCAGTGACTATCCCCCTTCAGCTATGGCACAGCCGATGTTGGTAGTAAATATCACGTGTTTTTATTTTAGATTACTTAGGACAGATGCAAACTTTTGCAGTTTTAAAATTTGAAAGAAATGTAAGTAATTTAATGGTTTCTTTCTTAGGTTGCACTTTTGGAAATGTTCATCAAAGTAGCAATCAGTTGCAAGACAAAACCTGCCGTTTACATTATCAAAGAGTCTGAATCGCTACTGAAACATGTGTCACATGAAGAGTTCAAGCAGCAACTTTTACCTGCCATGCAGAAAGCAATGCTACGGAATCCAGAAATTATTCTGGAGAGTGTTGGACAGGTGCTGGTCGGCCTGTCACTAGATTTGAGCCAGTATGCTCAGGATATAGGCAGGAGTCTTGCAGGTATGTTCATGATTTTGTAATCATATTGAGAGACAAATGGTAATTTTATCTGTGGTTGTTGGTTTCTGTAATTTTTACAAATTTCCATAAACATTGTTTGAAATATTATGGGTTATCTAGTGATGAGAAAGGGGCATGGTTGTGTCTCAGGTTATAATATTATATTGTAGCATCCTGTTGCACTCTTCACTTAGTGTTGATTAGTTTTTTGCAATCATGTGCAACACTATGTTCTGTAAGATTTGTTAAAAGTTATTCATTTTAAAAGTCCATCATTACATGTTTCTACCAGTGTGGCCATCATCAGGTGTTAAAATTATTGGGTGAGGAAACTGCCATCTTCTGTTTTTGCTTATGTTTTTAATGTATCAGTTCTCTAGATATGCATGTGTGTTCGAATTGTTGGGTTGTGTTCTCGCTTGTTGTGCATTGTGCTGTGTGTCTTGTTCTCAAATGAATCATATTTTATTGTTTGTTGAATGCCCCATTACAATCAATGGGTGTATGTTGCTGGATGATTGTGATATATTGTTTGTTGTATTTTAATATAGGTTGCTGACAACAACAAAACACAACAGTAGTCTGCAGTACTACACGGCATATAAAACATCATTTTATATTCATCAGCTACAATTAAGGCATCTTAAGTAATAAGAAATATAACCATACTTTTTTTTTCATGCAATTGTTCGCTTGTGGATGTTCTTCCTTTTTCTTCTACCCTGAAGATGGAGGCGATACGTTCCTACGAAACGTCAGCACGATATCTACATGGCACCATATCCCAGAAGACTGCTCTCTTCACTGCTCAGTTTGTTTTTCCATGAAGAACACAAATTTTATAATGTCACATGTAAAGGTGTTGTGCATGGCTTATATTATGAGTTTTGGATTGAATGATTGGGTTTATTGACACCTTATTCATATATGTAACTTGAGCCTACAGGTACTGCCCAATTTACAGTACACCTTTGTACATGCACTAGGGTTCTCAGTCTTCAATAGTCGTATTAGAGTTAATTTTACCAACCACACAACACGTTTTTATTATTGTCACACTACATGTTTCGACCTCAAGAGGTCATCCTCAGGTGTACGAACACAGTTGCACAATCACATGCAATCACATTCGTTTTTCCACTTATTTTGATCCTGTATCCTGTTCAGGTCCACGCTCAATAATATATGTCAAGTTCTTCTTATAAAATACAAGTTAAAAATACTATTCCAAATGTTAAAAGTTAAAATTTAATTTTTTTTTAAATTATAAGTTTTAAATTTTAAATTTTAACTTTTAACATTTGGAATAGTATTTTTAACTTGTATTTTATAAGAAGAACTTGACATATATTATTGAGCGTGGACCTGAACAGGATACAGGATCGAAATAAGTGGAAAAACGAATGTGATTGCATGTGATTGTGCAACTGTGTTCGTACACCTGAGGATGACCTCTTGAGGTCGAAACATGTAGTGTGACAATAATAAAAACGTGTTGTGTGGTCAGTAAAATTAACTCTAATATTGATTAAATACACAACAGGATGCAAGAAACAATTAAAGTTCAATAGTCGTATCCTGCAACAGATTTATAACGGTCTTACTGTTACTTGAAATCACACACGGAGTCATCTTTTTGCAGCCTAATTCCTTTCTTGCTATTCTGCAGCTACCATTTCCATAGACTCATCTCACTTCAAACCCAAACTCATATCTCAGCAGGCTGGGCATCCCGAAACTTGTCTTTTCACTTCTCAACTACCTGACTACTCCAACTTAACTGTTCTGTTCTGCCAAACACTTCCTCGTAACCACATTGCACTAACCTCGTGGAAAACATGGCCTCTATTGTTAATGAGGCTTGTTTATTGGTCCATTACCTAGCAGTGGACATCCTGTTGCATGAGTGTGTTTCGCGGGAACGTGTTTACCAAGTCATTGCTTAGCAATGACATTATGTATGAGTACCACAACAAGATGTTCCAAAATATACTTATAAGATGATCTTTCAGCAAACCTGCATTCCAAGGAAGATCTCGCTCGTGGAGAGTCAGTTTCTGCCTGCCGCAGCCTGGCTCTGCAGTGCAGTGATGCTAGTGCTTTGGAAGCTCTGTTACAGCATCTGTTTGATGTATTCCATGGCTCTGAAGGAAAACTGACTGTAGCAACTCATAAGATGAGTGTTCTTCAGGTAAGCTGTCCAGCTTGTTTCTCATTATTCACAGAGGGCAGTGGTTTGTTAGATTGACATTACTGTTGTATGTTCATTATTCTCATGACAGACACATTTTATAGGTAATTTGTTGTCATTTTTTGACATTTTTAGGTTTAAGGTCATTTTTTCATTTTGGGGGTAATTTTTTGGTAAATTTTTGGACTTTTAAGGGCATTTCTTGTCATTTTTGGCCATTTTAGGGAATTTTTCTTCGTATATTTTCTGAAATGTGAATAATATGGAAGCGAAGTGTTCTTTCTCATTCTCTTTTAGGTCATTTTTTAAATATTTTCAGGTCATCAAAATCCGGGCCCTGCATTTTACATTTTTGGGTCATGTTTTAGGTAATTTTTCTGGATTTTTTCAGCCATTTTGTAGGTCATTTTTTAAATATTTTCAGGTCATCAAAATCCAGGCCCTGGTAATCATATTCCATTGAATTTGTGCTAATAGTAAAACTCACATATAAGTTTTTTTGGGGGGAGGCAACAGTGGATCTGAACACTAAACTGAGGGAAGTGCTAAATGGAGGAAATTTTAACACCGAGAATATTGACTTGGGATCAAAGAAATTGAAACATTGAATGAGGGAAAACTTCAAATTTTAGGTATGTTAATTGGAGGTTCCATTGTAATATTTTTGAGTGAACCATTCTTCTTCAGGTAAAGGAAGTAACATCATAAACCCATTCACATTTACAATAAGTAATCATAGGCACGCGCCTGTTAAACCTGTCATATTTGTAGTTTGTCACAGTGCTTAATTGTTTAAGTGATTTGTATTTTGTCAGGGTGCAGGCAGTGTGAGTTACAATGCAGTGACCGGCAGCAGTGTCCACACACTGGCTACTGTTGCAGCACACCACTTTATTAAAGTGCTGGATGTTGAAGGTGAGAAGAATGTAAGCATTTTTCTGTGGGCACACTAAGAAGACTGTATGCAGTAATTATACATAGCTTGTGTACATGTGTGTATGCTTCAATGAGGTCTGATGTTTTATTCATAAAATTAACCGTTTTGGAACCAGATTACAAAAAAAAATTATTTAAGATGTCACTACGTGAGACACTTTCCTGCTTTGAATGTTAAAAAGAATGGTTCCAAAATGTTTCCATTTCATTTATGTCTAATACCCTTTTAACTTGTTTCTTGTCTGAAAGGATTTCCTGCCTAAAGAGTATGTAACAAATGGAACAAGACTAGTATTTTGCACACTTAATACAATTATTAAAATTTGTGTATTTAACTTCCCAGGTTTGGCTAACCTGTTTCCTACATTTCATTTCCTTCAAACGTGCAGTGATCAGATGATGCTCTGGTTTCACCTCCAGGGTTAACAATTGACATAAAAATTCCCATGATTGCCCTTACCCTTTTTCTTTTCTTCCATTTAAATTCCAGTTTTGTAAAAATTTTTCTGAGAGACATGTTTTCTCAAAAAGTTGTCAACTCATCCACTCATAAGCTTGACACAGATGGCACTCTCTTCTCCATGTATAAACACTGTGATGTTTATGTTTTCCTAATCACTGCTGCATTAAAATCATTGATTTCACATGCCATCTTCATGCAGTATTGGCATTATTTATTTAGATCTTGAAATGAGGAGCTGTCTTCTCCCATGTCAGTGTTCTTTAACTCTTGTGAAATTTTCTCAATAGACGTAGATGAACTTGTGTTGCCCTGCTGCTCTTTTATGCGCCATGCAGTTGTGCCTCTCTCAAGAAGCCACTAGCTTTGCAGATACTCAAGAATTTCCTAGGATTTTGTGGAACCCAAAGGTTTATTACTGTCTTCAGAAAAACCCCCCACTGGTGGCTGTCCTGAGCCACATCAGTTCAGTCCATACTACCCCATCTTATATCTCTGAGATCCATCTTAGTATTGTAACATGTATACCCATTGCTAGGCAATTGGTCGGTAAACACATGCACGCAACAGTAGGATGACTATTGCTAGGCAACGGGTCACTAACACATTTCCTGCAACGATGAAGACTTCTGTTGATAGTCTTCGGCACAGTAAACGTGCCTTTGCAACAATAGAGGAAGCTGTATTTTCTGTGTGGTATGTGCCATGTGTTCTGACAAGTGGCATGTCAGTTTGGTTTATTGATAGGCATGTGTAAAAAAATCATAATTATTTGTGTTGTATCTTCTTTCAGTTCATGAAAAGACCCTGATTCAAGCTTTAGAAATGCTGTCATTATGGTGTAATAAATTCAGCAACGAAGTGCCAAATAAAATAATGGATTGGTTCAAGGTACAGTATTCTTTACTTATTTACGAGAGTTTGTTGTGTTTATGCTGTCTTGTTTGAGCAGTGCAGAACAATATATGCAGCCATTTTTACAGAAATGTGGGTATTTTTGGGGAGTGAGTGACCAAAGGAAAGTTCCTTTTGCATTAAAGAGGTATAAATTTATATACAGAAAAGTGTTTATATTGTGTAATAAGATCCCACATCACAGGAAGAACAAAGAATGTCACGCATCTGGCTTTGTATGGNGCATTTTGTGGTTATATGGGGAATGGGGTCTACTGGGTACATGACTCTGCCTGTTGCATGGGAAAAACTTTTACAGAAGCCCAGTACAAATTCAAAACAACACATTTTCACTTTATTTTGTTTGTGGAAGTCTTCCAATGTGACACCAGAGTGATGGATGGAAGATTTCAAATGCATTTATTGTAATGTGATCAGAAATTCAATTGGCCTCTTCTGTTTATTGGCACCTACATGAGGAAGGATAATGTGTAGCACTGCCAGTGGTGACTGGGATAACTATCACATGGTGGGTGAACATGTGTGTATCACAGATTTGTTTTTAAATAACTAAATATATATGACCAATTTTCTTTAAATATTTTGCTGGTTGGATAGGAATTCTGGATGCTTGGATATGAGATAATCAGGAGTGTGTCGTACACTAAAGTGAGTATATATTAAAGGATTTTGTATCCCTGGAAGCTTGTCAGCTCTGAATGTGTAGGCAGCGTAGTCCTCTGAAATGTTGGTGTCTTTCACCCTCTATCAGAACTCAGATGGCCATACTCTGAACAATCACCACTTTGAACCCCTCCAAACATATGCAAAGCATCAGAAATGTAATGAAACTTTTTTTTTTTTAAGGATCCTTCTCCAGTTACTTTTCAGATGCACTGTGTATATTTCAAACTTGGACCTACATTTTATCTGATGCATGAATGTGCATTGAACTGCTGATATCCAACCTTATGGTCTGATTTATATGACTTTTCTCATGTTTATAAACCACTGTTGGCCTTATGACAGTAAGCATTGCTGGGTATAGCAGGTTGGTGCAGCCCACTTCAAATTAAGTAATGACCTGTATGCAGCCATGATTTGAAACAGGTTCCTCTTAACTTATCTAGGTTACTTGATAGTAGATTTAATTTTATAAGAGGAGATAGCCTGATACTGCCTGCTTATGCTGGTTCTTGTTTCTTTCACACCTGAGTCATGTGTGCATGTAAATGAGTAAGATTTTTACAGTTTTGGTGGTTATGGGGGAGGGACAGCCAGGAAGTGAAATGTACAAAACTGTAATCTCACCTGTTTAAGGCGAGAATATAGATGCAGTGTGTCTGAGAGCATACTGCTGAGGAAGGTAATTGGATCCAGGAAAGAAGAAGTAACAAGGGACTGGAGAAAAGTACATAATATGCATTTTGATAATTTTTATTGTACTGTAGATGTAAGGAGCTGGTATAGTGTAGTCAGTATAGCGACTGGCTGTGGGCTGGATGACCGAGGGGTCAGAGTTCTGAGTCCTGGTAGGGTCAAGAATTTCCTCTTCTCCGTGTCATCCAGATTGGCTTTGGGGTCCACGCAACCTCCTGGGGTCGACTCAGCCTCTAGCTGAAATGAGTACCAGGAATATTCTTGGTGGTAAAGGGTGGCCGGCACATAAGGCTGACAACCTTAGCGCCATCTATGAGCTGATTGTCCAGAAAATGTTGGAACCTCAACATCTCACAATCCTATGGGCTTCCATGGCCTGTTACAGGGATACCTTAACTTTTTACTTTTACTGTATATGTTAAGGTGATTTAATTAAAATGAATAAGATGGGTAGGGCTTGCAGCATTTCCAAGGAAATGAGAACTACATAGAGTTTGGATGGAAAAGCTCTGGAGGAAGAGATGGCATGGGTACAAGATGTAGATGGGAGGATAGTGTTAAAATGGATCTTGTAGAATATAGTGATGACTGATTTGAATAGGCTGAGGATAGTTTGCAGTGGTGGAGATGGCATTCCTTGATCAACTGAGTAACTTACTGTTAATGGAAGTTCCTGTACTGTGGAGTTAAGTAGATCTGAAGGACTGTATTAATCCACCTTGGTTATACATTTATTTCTTGATAATTTGCAGAAAGGTCCTGGTTTGAAGACATCAACAGCAGCTGTGCGCACAGCATACATTGAATGTATGTCAGCTTGCTTTCATGGAAATACATTGGCCCAAGGGGTTGAGCTTATTCCATTTCTGCTGAAGACAGTTGAGAGAGCAGTTGGTCAACCAACACAGGTTTGTTTCTGTATTGCAGAACAGTACAGTGAAACATAGTGCAGCAGTGACTTTAGCATGATGCTTGTTGTAATAGTTTCATGAGTGGCATTTCATTTCTGGAGTTCAGAAAGGAGAAGAAAACTTTACAGCAGATGTCAGTTTTTTCAGCTATTCAGACATTTTTGGTCTGAGGTCAGTTGTAGTTGATGTGCCGAGAGTTTGTTATATGTAGTTCAGTCTGTAAGAACTTGAAAATGAATGTTGAGCTGTCTCAGCAGCACTGGAGACCAGTACGACCTATTACTCCTTTCTTATCCATTAGTATTTAACAGACCCACACATTTATTGATATATAAATTAGGTTTATGATGACAGTTTGAAGAACATACTCTTAGAAATGTTACAGTTCAGTTCAAAAACTGAAGTCATTATTTTTCTAAGAGGTTAAATATGTTCAGGATACAAAGACACAGTTTACCTTCATTAAAACAGTTCTCAAATTTGATTGTTTGGGTGTGAAATGTGATTCTTACTGTGAGGGAGGAACATAAACTACACATATATGAAAACAGGATGCTCGGGAAAGTATCCAGTTACAAGAAGTGAGAACTTATTTGTGTGTCACCTGATTGTTGAATCTTGGAGGCTGTGTTAGGTTGAGCATGTAGCTAGGAGAGGTGACAGATTCACCACAGAAGTTCCAGAAACCTCTTAGAAAGTGACAACTTTGAATAGAGAGGATGAGATAGGTAATGTGAGATTGGCTGAGGATTGTGTCCAACGACAAGCTTTGATGTTATGATAAACTTTCAGTTTATACTGTCAGGCATAGGCTGGTACACATGATGAAAATGACTGGATTTATTAGCTCTTCAGTTACACACACTCTCTTAATCATACTTAAATGCATGCAATACAGTGTTATTGCTGATTCACATGCACTAGGATTATCTGTTTCCACTAGTTGTCTCCTAACAATGGATCACAATACATCCATATGAAGTCTGCTTGTCTCCAGTCACTCTCTACTACTCAGATTTATGCACCAGGTGCCCTTTACCCCCAGGAAGATTCCTGATACTCATTTCTGTTAGAGGTTGAGTTTACCCCAGGGCCGTAGTGTGGCTGGAAAGATTAGGTCAACAGAAAAATCCAATGAAATTCTTGATGATGACCCATAGTTTTGCAACTATTTAAAGAAGAAAAAATCTTGTCCACCATTTGGGCAGCTAGATTACATATTCCATTTGACATGTTTCCACTGTCAGCAAAAGCAGTTATCATAAAGTTCTTGAAGTTTGAGAGTGAAAAATTAACATTCAGATCAAGATTTTTTTCTCTTGATTCCAGGCTGAAAATTTGAGACTCGCACATGCCCAGTAATTTTATCTGTTTTATGTAGATGAGAAACTTGATCTGTTATGCTGTGGGAAGACTCAGTTGGGGGTGTTTTGGAACAAACTGCTGAGGAGAACGTTTGGACCTAGGAGAAGGGAAGTAACAGTATGGTGGGGAAAATTCATTGTGAGGAGCCTCATAATTTGCTCTTATAACCTAATATTATTAAGATGAAATAGGGGAGTTCGAGGGGAGTGAGACATATAACATGCTTCGAGAAGATGTCGGAGTTATACAGAATATTGGGCAGAGAAGAGAATAGGCCACATGGGGAAAAGATAGGCTTAGATGGTAGGATAACATTAAAGCATATCTTAAAAATAATAGCATGGGAGCGTATGTGAATTGGTGTTTCTGTTTGCTCAGCCGATCTCCAATAGGAGATTTTTGTGAACGGTTTTGGTTCATTAAATGTCAGAGCATATCTTGACCAGCACCCTTCGAAGTTTATTGTATATTTTTAATTGGTGTTATTACATCAACAGGTTCCTCTTTTGACTGAGGCCTTGTGTGCTACCTGTTTGTTGCTAAAGATGGCATCAGCTGACATTGGTGCTGACAAAAAATTGGACAGCCTTTGGAGTGTAGTACTGGACATGGACAAACAGCTTTTTGTTTCTGAAAAATTTCTTACTCTTGCCTCTGATGATGGTATGTACAATAAAATGGGTTTCAGGTTCTAAGATCAGGTGGAACCTCATCTAATTTTTGTTGTGGGTTCAAACCAAGCACCTGCAAAATAAAAATCAAGAGTGATACTGCTATGTTATACTGCTATGTTTTATACTTCATTAATGCAGTATGATTTCAGTTTCTCAAGGAAACAACTTCCAGAGATTCACATTACTGCTGTATTGGTAGTTTCCAGCATGCAAAACAGCACCATATAAAATATCTGCACGTGTTTCTCTATTATTAGCCTTCTTTCCTTACTTAAGGAAGAGAGATCGCCATTCTTTTTGTCTGCCTGTCTGTGTGCTTTCCTTCTTCCAGCTTTAAATGACTTGACTTTTTGTAATGAAATTTGGAATCTAGATGTATTTATTTCCATCAGCACAACGATAAATAAATTGGAAATACAACAAAGCATGATGCTATGATACACTATTTGAAAATTGGTATGATTTTTCTGCTGTTGGAGACCACCAAGCCTCACACATATTAATTTTGTACAATCAGTTTTAACAGCAAAGTGGAAACGTGAACTTGTTAGGTGGGAATGACACAGTTGTGTCATAATATAGTATCCGAAACATGTGTGGTAATGGGTCTTCAAGAAATATGCAGTGTGACAGATGTAAATATAAAACAACATGGTAGCTCTGCAAAATATGAATTTATATTTTAGCTTGGAAGCAGTAATTAATGAACCATTGGAGCTAAGAGAATGAAATGTTGTATGAAAACTATTTTATAATCACTCCGGCAAATGAGGCTCGAAATGAAGTTTTAAATGAACAGTTACTGGTATGCTGGTAAATCGAATGTAAACAGAACCTGTGGACCTATTTAAATAACAAGTTCCTCCAAAAAATATATAAATAAATAGAGATAACAACAGTTTAAGAATCTGTAACATGTTTAGCCCATTCTCATCACAGACACTTTCCTATGCTTTGCCTATATTGCAAGTGGATTTTTACCAGAATGAAACAAAATGTTTAACATTAATACTTACAGGTGCTGGTTAGAAATTTGTCCATCAAGTATCAATAAAATACATACACAAGTTTCAGAAATGTCACTATTGTCAGATGTGCATTGTCCCAGAAATCAACAAAGCTCCTTTGGTTTATACATTTCATTAATTTTGCAAATGCAAGATATCCCATTATGTTTTAATGAAATTAAGAGTGGAATCTCATAAGTTAGTGAATGCAGTAATTAATCCACAAGATTTAATTAAGATCCATTTAGTAATTCATGGACTAAATATGATGATGGATAGACGTGGCCTCTCTATCATGTGTTCATTTTATTAAGTTAAACAGATGGACATTTAAGAAATGCAAATCTCTGTAATCACAGTTGCTGTAGTTTGAGAATCTTGGCAAGAGAGCAGTAAAACTACTAGAACCAAGCATGGTTTTTGTAACATGAAGTTGGTATTCTTGTTTCAGCTCTGTTTCATGTGATGCAGCTGTGTGAACGTCTTCTTCTGGATCATGCTCACAGGCTAAATGGGAAGGCTAATCCCCTACACAAAGGAATAATTTTTTGTTTGACTGCTCCCAGTTCTTCTCTAAGATTACGTTGTCGTTCAGTGGTGAAAAAATTGGTGTCTGTTTTGGGGGGAACCCAGCTTGCACGTTCTTTACTCAAGGAATTTACCAGATTTCTAGAAACAGCCAAAATCCAGTCTGGAGAAACTATTCAAGAGAGTAAAGATGGACCAGACACAGGTTCAGGTGGGGGTGGGGGTGGAGGGGAAATACCAGCGAAGGTGGCTGTTAGTTGCATTACCACGTTCTGCTCGGGGAGCAACATTGTTCAAGAAGATGCTCAGTTACTTGCTCTGGATAGTCTCCTGTGCTGCCATCATCCTGCTATAGGTTTGTACATATAATTTAATGATATTTATTTGGGGTCAGAGTCACTAACCTATGCAAAGGATGAATTATTAAAGAAAAAGAAAACATTTATCAGCCACACTGGACGGTGTTGACAATCTTTTATACTGTGACATGTTGCACTATGGATGACGCCCCTCCCTCCCCGCCAGCCGTGACGTGCTGAGCGGAGCGGAATTGAGCCGAGTGCCAGCATGCTGGTCGCTATGCAAAGCAAGTAAACACCAGTTGCTAAGCAAAGCGAGTAAACAGCGGTTGCTAGGCAAAGCGAGTAAACAGTGGTGACATAACACGGGACGCCGCAGTTGCTACGTAGCCATAAACAACTCCCAGCAGCGTTGCTAGACTATCGGCAAACACAGCGTCAGACAACAGTGGGGCCTATTACGTAACTGTTTTCTGTGTTGTACGTAACGGGGCTAAATAAGGGGCAGCGAAGACTATTCAAGTTAGTTACGAGTTGGCCAGGGAAGAGTATTCAGTCAAGTAATTGTAATACTGCAGATAGCAGTAGTTGTCAGATTGTAAACTGTGTGATTGTATGAGCAAGTGTGGAATAAAATTTGCTATATCCAATAAGGCGTGAAGTTATTTGTCGCGTTATACACCCAACACGTGACAGTACTATTGCTAGTGTGACTGACCAGGATGAATGAAGTCAAATAGAGCAGTTATTGTCAGATCCTCAGTAGTCACTTATGGGCATGTCGGATCTCTGTCCATTTGTCTATTTCACCATAACACCACTGCTCACTGCCTGCTCTGCCCTCTTTTGTCATCTTATCTCTGCCTGCAATGACTTGTCTTCTTTTCCTCACTCACCTGAATTACAAGTGACCTACTGCTGGCTCACCATTTGACTCATTACCAGACTCCACTGACTCGATCTAGATTCCCTGCGCTGTCAGGTTCCTATTTATGCCATGCTGCCTCTTCTTGCCATCTGCTTTCAGCTAAGACTGTCGTGTCCAGTCTTTCCAGCCACTTGTATGTATGTAACAAATTTATTAGTGTACTGGTATCTATGTGAAGGAGACTTGATGTTTCAACCGAAAGAGGGGCACCACCCCCATTCCGTGTTCATTCCTCAAATGACAGAAAAACTGATAATTCAGTGGCTTCCGTGTCTTTCTATGAAAGAGGCACATTCTTATTCTAGCTTAAATGTGAAAACTCTCAAAAGAATGTGGACCTAGTGGTCATACATGGAGACATGACCTTTGATGTGTTCATAATAAATGTAGCTGATTCTGCAAGGAATGTTTGCTGTAAATGTTTACTTTTATTAACCATTTGTGCCTCCAAATTACATGGCATTACAACCAAGACCATTGAATGCTTTATAGTCACTTCTGGGTGATCCTCAGATTTGGCAGAATGAATATATATAATTTTTCTAATATGGTGCAAATAGAATTTTGACTATCGCTTTCAGTTCTGTCCAGCTACAAAGTAGGGTATAAATACTTCGTGCATAGGAGCTTGATACCCATGTTTTGTAGTTGAAATTTGTGCTGAAAGTACCTGAGAGCTCTTTTTATCAGTTGCAGCATCACCAAACTTGTGGCTGAAATTGCTGAAATATTTGAAGCTAGATCCAAATGAATTCATCAGAATCTTTGAAGATAACATAAAGAAAATCTTGATTGAAGAATATGATGCATCTCCGGTAATTATTTTTTTTTACTGCTGTTTCAGATTTTGAGAAAATGTATCAGTCTGAGTCAGTTTCATGATTGAAATTATTGTGTTAACTGAACTGTGCTGAGATTAATGTGACCTCACTTTATATTGATTATTTCTGTTCCAGTGTTTAGAGAACTGTCTGCGGACAATAGCGTGCGTGAATCCAGACATCATTCTTCCACTTCTAGTTATGTTTGTGATCAGACATTTAAGTGATACCTCTATTCTGCTTGTTACTGAAGATGAATACTTCACATTCCTAACGCCGGAAGGTGAACTTTATGACAAGAGCGTAATATCTGGGTAAGATAAGTGAATGAGCATGTGTCAGACTTATCATCTGGGGGAACATACTGTCTCACATCTTTGTTAAAGTATGCCGTCTTATTTTATTACATAATTTCTATACTTTATTTTCCCAAGGAAATGTGAACCATGGCCCATTGAAAGCACAGGCTAATGAGATGTAGTATAATTAATGAAAATTGAGATTCAATTTTAGGCTTCTGAACCAATTGCTATGGTTCAATTTCTGGAACCCTACAATGAGCTGTAAGTCTTCCAGCCTATCTCGTATTTACAATTCAGGTATCATTACTGTAGTTGCTAACTGACTTTCATGAGATACTGTTTGAACAACACTGTAACAAAGCATGCAAAAAGAAACTGTAATCTATGACAAAACTTGTCATATTCCTATCAGTTAGAACTCCTGTGATAAAAATATGATTGCAGTGAATTCATTTTGTGATGATTTATATACCATATTGAAGTGTTCAAAACAGATGTCAATGTAATGTCGTGAAACTTCGTCTGTGACATTAAGAGAAGTACAGAGACAGGATATTTTATAGTAGAGGGCTGAGGAGAGTGTTTGGACCGAAGAGGGGTGAAATGATAGGAGGTTGGAGAAAACTGCATTATGAGGAGCTTCGTAACATGTACTTTTTGCCAATTGTAATTGGAATGATCAAGTCAGTGAGCATGAGGTATAGAGAAGAAGAATGAATCCAAGGTTTTAATGGGAAAGCCAGAAAGAAAGAGACACCTAAGAAGACCTTGACATAGGTTGGGGGATAATATTAAAATAGATCTTAGAGAAACTGACTAGGGTGACATGGACTGGATTAGTATGGCTCCGTATAGGGACCAGTGGTGCGCTCTTGTGAACATGGTAAAGAACCTTCAAGTTCCATAAAATGTTGCAAAATTCTTGAGTAGCTGAGCAGCTGGTGGCTTCTGAAGAAGGACTCAGCCCCATGGAGTTAGTTTGTTTAGTTAGTCACAGTGAATGTGATCTGTAGTTTGTCGGTTAACATTTTTAAGTGACCTGTTTTATATATAGTATATATATATGCACATGTCTAGAGAGAGAGATTACTTAAAAGTTTCTTGTTGCTTTCTAGCTTTCTGTACATAGGTAAGTCAATAAGTAAGTTACAAATGGATGTAGAACTTAAACAAATAAGAGTAATGATTTGAAAAAAGCTTTTATTTCTCAACATAATCTCCCTGTGCATTGAGGCGCATTCCCCATCATTTCATGCTGAAAACCAGCAGCATAAATTTCTTTGGGCTGCTGTCAGAACCAGGCGGTGACTGAGATCACAAAGGCATACTGCTCACCGCATTCCAGCCTCAAGGACAAACCGTAAATGCTGACTCCTACTGTAACATTCTCAGGAAACTTCGTTAGGCCATTCAATGGAAACGACTAGGACTCCTCACCAAAGGTGTGTTGCTCTTGCATGACAACGCACGTCCCCATACTGCCAACAAGACAAATGAGACGCTGCAAAATTTCAAGTAGGAAGTCCTCGAGCATCCTCCGTATATCCCCGACCTTGCTCCAAGCGACTTCCATTTGTTCAGCCCTCTTAACCATCGTCTTTCGGCTGAACATTTTCCTGATGAAGCTGTAGAAATGGAAGTTACTGCCTGGTTCCAACAGCAGCCCAAAGAATTTATGCTGCTGGTTTTCAGGGGCTTTTGAAACGATGGGACAAGTGCCTCAGTGTACAGGAAGATCAAGTTGAGAAATAAAAGCATTTTTCAAATCAGTACTCTTATTTGTTTAAGTTCTGTATCCATTTGTAACTTACTTATTGATGTACCCTCATATATTGATGATTGTACTGCTGTGGGGAATGAGATTTCATTGAAATTCATTCGTTAGTGTCAAGAGATGGAACAGATGGGCTGACATGTTCTCATTAAGCTTCCATTTCATTAATTCATACTAAGCAAGTGAAAGGGGCTGCACATATTGATTCTTTATTACATCATTTTGAAAGTGCCCATCCAGCAGCTACAGTAATTCAAGGATGTAGTTAAACAGTATGCATCAAAATATTTAAAATATGCACTCACAGATGCCTTTCCCCATTTAAGTTTAAGATTTTCTGAGAAAAGTGTGAGTTATGCCAGAGAAAGTGAGACATTTGCCAAACTGGCAGGTTGTTTTTGGGTTTCTACCATATCTTTAGTATGTGTTCCACCCATAACATAATTTTTTTATTGTGTAGGAAGGATAATGAGAACGAACTGAATGTGAAAAATATGAAACGAGAGAGTAAAGTGTATTCATACAAGGAGCAGTTGGAAGAGTTGCAGCTCCGAAGAGAACTGGAGGAGAAGCGTAGGAAACAAGGAAAATTGAAGGAACCTCAGCTGACGCCAAAACAGAAGGAGGCTTTAAGGCTGCAGTTGGAAAAGGAGAGTGCAATACGTGCAAGACTGACTGAGGTAACCATGGGACACATTTTTTCTGTCTTTCTGTATTCAAATCGTTATCCCACCACCACCATCACAGATTCAGCTGTTTACACTCTTCTGGCTCGACATAATAATTCTTAAGATATCGTTTCTTTAAGAATTTTTGAAATAGCAATTACGAAATTCGTTAAAGCTTCAAGTTTGAAAACGATTAGTCTGCTTTGGGTGCTTCTGTGTTATATGCATGAGGATAAGTTTTAAAGTAAGAGCCATTTTGTTATAAACAAAAGAAAGCTTTATTCATCCAAATAATTTTAATGTCACTACTAGATACAAAGTATGTTTATTTTTCTATGTAGTCCCCATTGAGATTCAAGCATTTGTCCAGATGTTGGACAAGCTTGATGATGCGCTCATCATAGAAGTCAGCCACCAGTCCATTTAACCAATCTGTACTACACAGTGTTATCTCCCAGAAGACAGAAATCTTCATTAACAACCACTGTGGGAACATCAGATCCTACATGTTAGAGAGAGATTTTTGTACAATGGAGCAATAAAACAAACTTTTGTTTCATAGCATGTTCGGTAATCTTTCCAGTTGAATAAAACACTCAAGAATGTGGTGTCGATGATAAAAGCAGCATTGGATGGCAACGGTCAAGAACTGTCGCTGTACTTCCGAGATCTCCTGCCGTGTATTTTGAGGGATCTGCAGTCTCCATTAGCTGCACCGTATCTTTCTCCATTGTACATAGAACTTAGGAAATGCGTCTTCTTCACCAGTGGGCATAAATATCTAGGTAAAGCCTGTCAGTTTCTTTGTTATTATTATTATTAAAGCTAGGAAGTAGAGTGTGAGGATCTGTCTCAGTGAAGGCCCTAGTAACCAAGGTAATGATCCTACAGGTCCCTCAAAAAGCACACTGTGTTATATACGTATGCTGAGTGACCTTTAGCTTTTGAAAGAGAACTGTGATGCATGGAAAATAATTGATTAATTGATAAATAAATATAGAACTCCTAATATAGTGTTTGTTCCTGATTGTTAACTTTCCACTCTTGTTTACAGGTGAGCTTATTGGACACGTGACTCTCCGGCTTCAGGCCCCGTGTTGTGATCTTGATCCGTGGTGGGAAGATGAAGATTTAAGTGTAGCAGTGTGTCGCACCATTACAACACTGCATAAGGCAACTGTGAGGCCACGACGAACAACAAGCCCCGATGCTTCACCAACTTACCTGACAGCTCCAGCATTCTGTTATGTTTTTCCTTTGATACGTTCTGCTCTGCTGTCCACTTTGGTAAAGACAGATGACTCATTGGTAACTCTTGGGCTCCAGATAATTTCTGAACATGCCCAGATGAGAGGAAATCCAGATAATGCTCAAGAAAGAGATCTCCATCATCCCAGCTTGCTTCCAAGAAGACATATGTTTGAGCTCCTTATAGAAATGATCAGTGAGTCCTATTTCAATTAACACAAATTGTTGCTGCATGCCTGTATGTATATCTCTTTGTAACAAAGTTTAAGTAGCTGCTACACTTTAAGTGATGCAGTAAAAATTCATTGTTTTGAACTGGCTGATAACCTGCGACATATTTTAATGTACTGTGTCATGTAGACCGTTGCTTGGCAACAACTGCAAAGCAATCAAGACAATGGCCATTTGCTAGGAACACCTTAAATATGCAACAGTACTGGAGCCACTGATAGGCAGTGGCCCATTCACAAAAGTAGAGGTACTGCTGAAGTGGTGTTTTCTGTGTGGTCCACTCCAAGGCTGTTTCACCCAACTGACCAAGTTCAATTCAGTGAGTGCAATGCAGCGGATTGGAACAAGTTGGTTGGTGGGTCAGGAAACAGGGAGGTGAAATATCCAAAACGGTTTTCTTAGTATAATTGAATCAAGCCAAACCAAACCAGACGTAATTTGACATATCCTAACCAAACCAAACTTAATTTGATATTCATATTATGTGCAAACTGAAGGATTCATATGGAGCTGAACTCCTTTATTTTTCAGATTGGCACTATTCTGAATCATTTCATTCATTTATCCTTGTACAATGTGTAGGTCGTACCGGAGGCCGCATTCAGCAGCAAGCAGGATCTGCTCTTCTTGATGTGGCAACATCAGGCTCTGGAGCAGCTGGCTGTGCAAAAGCTAGTGCTGATGAAATTGACAGTCTGCTTGCTGCATTGCAAAATCCATCCGCAGTTGTGCGAGATGCAGCTCTTAGGGTGAGCGTGATACAGATATGGTTCTTGGCAGTGGATACTCACGTTCCATAATCACTGTGTTGAGATGACATACGATATACCAAGAATCACTGCTTTTCTTTGAGTAGAAAGGAAGAAGACAAAGTGATGAAGGGGAGGAGGAGGTGATAATTTTTAGTTGTTTTCATGAAGATCAAACAATAAAATTAAATTGAATGAAACAGTTGAAGTTTATTCTACTTTGCATTATTTACTGGCAGGGGAGAAGCCCTGCTGAGAACACAGATACCATAAACAAGCAGTTTTGTCACTTCAGAATATTTCTACAGGACTCATGTAAATGTTTACCATTGGTGAGAATGTTTTAGTTACTTCTGGAAGACAGCCTGTTTACAAACCATGTGATTTAAAAAAAATGCACGTTGTCTTTTGTTAATACAAATGGCGATTTTGAAAATATTTTGAAGAAAAGTTGTCTCTGTGCTTAGCCAATTAAGCAGTACACCATGCAGATGTGTGTACGGGAGTGGATGTATAGATCCACGTTTTGTTGACCTTGGCACTAGTTGGAAGTGAGGGGTCTGCTTAGTGCTGCGGCTGCTGTACCTCTGAGAAAGAGCCTCCAGTACCCATTGGATAGGAGGCTGGGTGGGCCTCAGGGCCAGAATGGATGACATGGAGAATAGAAAGTTCTGACTCCACAGTCATCCAGCCCATAGCTAATCACTATCCAGGCTCATAATGTGAATATAGATAGTTGAAAGTATTATCTGCATATTCCTGTGCTCTCCATTCAACTGTGAGGTTTACTTGTGGTTTTTCTTGTAAAAGTATTATCTTATATAGATTTGTATAGAGGGTGCATGCTGACTTGTTATCCAGTCATCAGACTGTTGAGACCAAAGAAAAGGAGCGAGAAAATTTTTTGTAGAAGTCTTTAATGGCTGTGGGGATTCGTTGTGCTGACCATGTGACACCCTCTATCTGCAAAAGTTCGCACTAAACTTCGCCAACAAGCGGCGGTCGCTCGGTCGGTATGGTTCGCTTGCCAACTGAAATCACAGAGCGTTTATCATGATGTGTTGGATGAGTAGCATACTAAGGCAACATAGCAGTGGTATTGATACCAAGCCTTGTTCAGTGACTGTTTTGCTCCATGTTATGTTGTAGGGTCTGATTGCTATGGTTGGTGCCTTTCCAACTTTGAAAGCTGATTATGATCAAGCTTTGCGGCTTATAAGAAGAATTTGGGTGGCACAATTTGATGTTTCTGAAGAGAATAGGTGAGAAGTACAGAAATTTTATTACACCATTACTTTAATGTAATTTATTAATGATGTACTTAATTCCAGCCATTGAATGGGACAGTGCAGTATTGCTTTAAGTGATACTTTTTTGCTTTGATGTAAATGTGACTTGACTTTTGAAATGTGACCTACATATGACTGTGCAGTACAGGTGTCCCATGTTATCCGTGATGTCACCTTATCCCATTTTGCTATAACATGATTTCATTTTTTAATAAATTGGTGCTGTGATGCATGAAGTACTTGTGATGACATGACTCACAAGCAATTTGGGGTGGGTGAGTTCCTCGCTGTGCATTGTTAACATTGATGTGCTCAGTCATCTTATTCTCTGTGCAGTTGAAGTTTGTGCAGCAACTCAAATGATATTTTATTTTATCTCTGTAGTTTTGTGCAGTCTGTAACTTAAAACAAATAATCATGAGCAAACATGCAAGTATTAATAAAGGTGCTCCTGGTGGCAAGAGGCAAAGGAATTCTGTTACCCTTTTGAAATTATGTGTGATCAAGAGGTGTGAATATAAAAAATAATTTTGATTTGATTGATAACAACACAGCATGCCTCGAACATCAACAGGACGACACTAAAGAATCCTATTCTCCAAACAACAGAACCACAAGGCGGTAGACGCTTGGCTTCCTTCGAAGAGAAGAAATAAAAAGAACACAAACCAATTTGGTTTAAAAATTTTAACAAAATCTTCTTAAACATACTAATTGTAATTTATCAGTATTTTAATGTAGTAGAACAGGCTGCTGTAGTTGTTAAAAATATTAAATTTTGTACTCATTATATTGTGATAACATTGTATGTATATATTAATATTCAGAAAACGTAATAGTGGTTTCTAATTGTATTTATATCCTTCTGAAGATGGTCTGTAAGACTGAGACATGTTAAGAATAAAATATTAAAAAGGAGAAAAGATACTGAATGGAATTAATTAACCTTTTATAAAAAATAATGGTTGGCATAGCCATCATCACAGGAATTCATGTACTGACCAAGAACCATTAGCAAGCAAGATGATAAAATTAACAAAAGGTGTTAAAGTGCAACAAGGATGCTCCCTGAGTGGGTGGAGCATTAATTCCAATGTGCCATTACTCTTTCCATCATGGTCATTTGTGCTGAGGCAAAGAACTTCTTTGACAAGGTGAATGCTATTGACCCATATCTGAAAGTATCATTGCTGCCATTGCTTGGTGGTTTCAACATTTTAAAGGACACCACAGAGTCCCCAGCCTTAAGTTTACATGTAAAAGTTGCAAAGCCAGTTAGTTGCAGCCTTCAGCTACTATAGGTGAGCTTGCCCAGCCTGATTGTATGATCATGCTCTTGTCTCTTCATCTCCTCTGATTAGTATTTTACAAATTGTAAAATAAATAATACTAATATTAATAAGGCCGGTCGCAGTAGCCGAGTGGGCTAAGGTACGTACTGTCTTCGCTCACTTGGAAGCCGGGATCATGGGTTTGAAACAGGAAGGAAAGGCTGATGGGTGCCTGGGGAGGGCAGTTATATCCTGTAGATTTTAATTTGGGTGTAGTGGTGTTTACATGTGACATTAGGCCACTGGGACTGCTGCATCTGCCCAGTCACAGTTATGGTAATTCTAAAGGTTTTTAATGTGTTTTTTTTTTTATGTACACTACACTTTATGGTGCTTGTTTCAGGTTTATATATGGTCATACTTATTTTCTAGCTTAGTACCAGGCTGATGATTTCATATTGTATTACATTAACAGATACCCACTTTTCACTTATGCCGTGAATTACAGGGACCTGGCTGTCAAGTTGTGGGATGTAGCTGAGTTGCAGCTTCCATCAGCTTTGTGTGAGGAGTTGCTAAATGATGTGATCCACCCAGTGGATGAGATTCAGCAGGCTGGAGCCCAGGCCCTTGCTGCATTGCTGAAACAGGAAACAGGCTTCATTGATTTTGTGCTGGAACGGTTGCTTGCAATCTATCGTGAAAAACTTGCTGTAAGAAACATGGCTGTCTTTCATGTCTTAGTGTTTCTTTGAAATTGTAGAAAGCATTATACACATCTTCCATATTTAACTGCAGTAGTAGAATGTAAGATACAAAGTGGGCTTTTATGAACATGTATGTTCCATGAAAGGCAGAAAGTTTCTTGTGTAGCTGAGCCAGTATTAGCTTCTCAGGAAGGACTGTTCTTCATGGAGCTACTTGTAGTTGCAATACAGAGCATCAGTTCCGTACTGATATTACTGAATTAAGATCACAGAGATGGAAGATGCCGTACTGCAGGTAGTGATGGAGTGTATATGCAGTGAAAGAGCTACTGTCAGGCACACCAGCCATCTGAGCCGGTTGGTAGGAGATGGGACTTTCTGCAGGAGTAAAGTTTCCAGTATATAGAGTCTGATGACTTTCTTCCATACAATATCAGGGTTTACAATGGTTGGAGCTTTAACTCGATGCCCAGAAGTATCTTTATGACTTATACTTAGACAGAAGTTAACTTTACTTAATATTATCGTGTGTTTGGAATGTAAAAATAAGCGCCCAATAAAAGAATTCGTTCTGATCCGAAGACCCATGCAATCAATTCGTATGGTGTCACACAGCAGACACGTTACAATATTTTAACTTGTGTCTTGCAGTGAGATAGACATTTTGTAAAAGATGTACATTTCTTACCGTTTTAGATTTTGCCTCCGAAACTGGATAGTTTTGGACGCATAGTGGAACAGCCTGTGGACACATGGCAACCGCGCAGTGGCGTGGCTCTTGCACTTGCCCAAATTGCACCCCTCCTAACTCCAAAATCTGTCTCCCATCTTATCACATTCTTTGTGTCAGTGGGGCTTGGAGATAGAAGCCCTGAGGTCAGAAAAAATATGCTGGCAGCAGCACTAGCCGCAGTTGATCTACATGGCAAGGTGAGATACAGGATGTCCTGCTACCCTTACATTGCACTTGTCGGTTACTACTCCTAAGGTCATGGTGTAATTCATGGGTTTTGGTTTCATTTTTAACTATAACATTAGTAACTTGTTACAGTAAATGAATGAGTCATTTTGAATGTGACCAGAATATTAGAATGACTTTGCCTTGCATGGAGTTGTCATTATTTAGAATCTTATTGTGTATCAGCTTCAGAGATTATTTCTAAGATGGTGTCAGAACCCAAGTATAGCATCATCTTTCTTTAGCAATGATATTGTATTGTCGAGAATATATTAGGAAGAGAGAAGAAAAAATAAACATTTTTACCCTCTGTTTGAAGGTGAGAAAGTGCCTTTAAATAATATGAGAATCAGTAAGCCACTTAGGTAATTTGCAGAAGAAATGTAGTGAAGTCAAATTTTGACTGGATTAGTTGTTGATATTTTGCTTTTTGTTTTTCCTGTAATGAGTGCATGCACTGAATCACTGGTGAACATATGCACGGTATAGTAATCTTTAGAGAAAGCCACTGCAAGGTTTAATGTTCCCTTATTTAGTGCTGAATTTGTATTGTCTTGGTTCAGTAAATTCAATACTAAATATAATCTGTTTAAAAGATTTTCTTTATTTAATGCTCTTGCTAAGAGAAACCTTAAATATGTAATTTGTTGCAAGTTGAGCATCAGTAGCTAAACTTCACCTATTCATGACACAGTACACATCCCCATCTTAAGGGGATACTGGCTTGGTATTATGTACAAATTTTATTGCAGGAAACTGTAAACAGCCTCCTTCCTGTTTTTGAGGACTTCTTGGATAAAGCACCAGATTCCGGAAGTTTTGATGCCATACGTCAATCTGTGGTCATTCTTATGGGTTCCCTGGCCAGGCATTTGGAACGAGATGATCGCAAAGTGAAACCAATTGTTGGGAAACTTATTGATGCTTTGTCAACACCGTCACAACAGGTATACAGTCACTTCCCTTGCTTTTGTATTATGACAGATGCTGCCACCCCTCATGCCATATGTGGGAATCAATTTTTCTCTCGGTATTAAATTTGCTTACTAGAAGAGCCATGAATTTATCGTCTGGGTACTTTCCGTGCCTATAGTAGTAGGACTGTGTGAAATTAAATATCTCTTATTGGATTTTGACATTTCTACAGCAGTTACTGTGAAGGCTACTATCTTGTGGGATGTGGTACCATATAGTCTGATGATAGCCTATCATATGAAAGATTTGGAAAGTTTGACTGCATATTGCTGCAGGAACCCATAGTTTGAATGCATTGTACCTTTTAAGGAACTTGTTTAGACTACATGCAGGTTTAAGTGATATCCAAGATATCCCATCAAGAACAGTTGGAGGGGGGGTTGATGGCTGGCAAAGTGAAAACCTAGTGTTGCTGATGATTTTGCTGTAGGATTAGATATAAATTGCATATACATGTCAAGTATGGTGTGGATATATGAAAATTGTACTTTAATTACTTTAAACAAAGAATGTGCATTTTCACTGTTACTCATAAAAATAAAGTAACTGACCTTTTGTGATGACTGCCTACAGGGGATCTAAATGTGGCATTAATTACAATGTACTGTAGAGAAACATGCTTTTTTGTAGGTCCAGGAGGCTGTGGCTAATTGTCTCCCTCCCCTGGTTCCTGCTGTCAAAGATGATGCTCCACATTTAGTCCAGAAATTGCTTCACCAATTACTGGAATCTGAGAATTATGGAGAGAGAAAGGGAGCAGCATACGGGTTGGCAGGACTGGTTAAGGGAATGGGCATTCTTGCCCTTAAACAACTTGATATCATGAATACTTTAACAACAGCCATTCAGAACAAGAAAAACTATCATCACAGAGAAGGTATCAGATTCTTATTGCCTCTGTAATATTTGTTATTAATAAGAATAAAATGTAGTTGAAAGGGTAAATATTATTTTCCCTTAAATTTGACTTGCATATTTTATAAAAATCAGTAGATATTGAAAGCCAAGAAAAGAATGGTTCAAAAACAACAAAACAACAAAGAAAGAAATTAATTTTGTCTTGATCCCCTGTAACAGGCCGTGAAGGCCCGTAGAGTTGTGAGACATTGAGGGTCCCAAATTTTCTAGACAATTTGCTCACAGATGGTGGGGAGATTGTCAGCCTCAAACACTGGTCACCGCATTTACCCCACCCCCAGATGATTCATGGCACTCAATTGTATCTTGATAGGTATTTAAAAAGAAAACAGGTAAGGAATGTAGTTCCATGAAAAGCAAGTAATATTCAAGAAATAATTATCAATAAAGGAACAGGGTATAGATTAAAGATATGTGCAAAGTAAGAGTCTGTGTAGACTGTCCCTGTTGATCAAAAGTCAGGAAATTTCACTGTTGGGAAATGAGAGCATTTTGAAGAGTGTTGTCTCCTGGGGTGTGACTATGTAGTCTTATAGAAGTTTACTGATATTTTGGAGGGATGGACTGCCTCCATCTTCATGGTTATGGAGTAAACCAAGCAAGCAGCAGGAAGCCTCTTGTGAGAGGTGGTCTGCATGTAAGGTATAGTGGCCACCCAGGGAAGTGACTTCTGTCTTTGGAGGCCCATTGTACTGTTAACCATTGCACCAGAATGAATCAGGGCAAACAGTAGCAGTAACACACATTCCTTCTCATGATCACTGCATATTGCACGTTACATTGCTTCGATTGCTACCACCATTTCTTTTCTGAGGGTTGTTTTGCAATATCTGTGCTTGGTTTCACTTTCCTTCCTGTGGCTCAATTTTTCATGGTGTTTACTCTCAAACCACTCCCACTGCTCCCTTCCTAAGGTCACTCATCTCGAGCAGTTCCCTCATAAGGTTTGACCCAGTCCAGGTTTATCACCATCTTCCTTCTTCTGGTTGACGCAGGCCAAAGTTCCAAGGGTGGTCACTGCGCCTACCTATATGGCTCTTACATTGTTAGTGCTCTCTTTTTTCATTTCAGAGGGAGCTGACTGCTCCACAATGTCCTGACACTCATTTCCATAGTCCCGGATATTCTCTGTAATCTCCAGTCCTAAGGTCTCTCTGAAGATCTTGTTAACATATCCCATGCTTTCCAGTCATAGCTGCTGGTTTCTGCTCCATCCTCTGATGCCGCTGATGGCTGTCCTCTCCTTCCTGAGACGCAGTTGCTCCTTAATGTCTTGGACCGTATTCCATTGCTGCCTTCCTGGCACATCTGTTGTCACCTCTTGAGCATTTGTCCTTTAGGGGCCCTTCTTGCAACAGTGTTCCTGCATGGTCTCTGACAATTGTGTCCCTTATGCCATGCAGGAATGGCACAGCGGCAGGTGGCAGCTATCTTCTTCCGGGACCCACCATTGCCCTGGGTCCTTTTCTGCAGCTTATGACACCCCCCTGTGGCTAGATTCTGATCTCCATGCCACTTCCTCAGTGCTCTGACAGTTTGCACTGTGGCCTCTTAGAGATCTCATGCACCACCTTTGACTCCATTTCTTCTGGATTTGCCTCCAAATCTGTGGGCTCCATCTTTCACAGGGAGGCCTCCATTATCTCTAGCTGGGAGTTCATCTTGGCCATCATTTCTTCTTTCATTGCCTTAGATTTCTGCAGTGGCTTGGTTGGTTTTTATTGCTTCTTTTATTTTTTTATGTTGCTGTCTGCCATGGCTTCCATTTTGGCCAGCATATCTTCTTTCAGTAGTTGTTAGTTGGCTCTCATTTCTTCTCGATTGGTTCTCATTTCAGCCAGGAGGCATGCCACCATTTGTTCCGCTGCCATAATGTGGCAATATAATGATCAAAATCCAATGCACTTTCCTTCTGATACAAGTTTGTCACGTATTTTATGAGTTATTATAGACGGGGTTTGGATTGGATTTATTTACCACTTACACTCACAACCTGGAAGTACAAGTAATTACAGTGCTGTCGCTGATTTCCACACTTTACAAATCACTAGCAAACACTAAGTCTTCTCAGCCTTCATTAGTTGTAACTACAGCATACATAAAGTCGTTTCACGGCCCCACTCTTGCAGCTGACGCTTTTCTTCACAGCTGGACTTTCAGTTCACAACTAAACTGGATCACCATCTCTTCTCATCCTGTGAAGAGCTCAGCTGAACTGACAACCCTGAACTTAACTGAACTGCGCTCAGCTGGCCTGGGGTCCTGGGTGTATAGCTTCTGGGCAGACCCAAGAGAAAACACCTCCTTTTCCATTGTAACTGTATTGTTGTGTGTCTTGTTTTTGTGGGAATTTGTTTATTGAACCATTACCAAGCAACACATGTTCCTTCTAGCAATCATTGCATAGCAGTAGTACTACATATTATGATACAAATTAACTGTGGTTATTGTGACATTTAAACCCCAATCACATCTGCAGGCTAGATATGTGTGAGGAAGTTAAATGACAGCCAGTAGAATTTAGAGTTGATGGTATGCATAAATATATGTAAAATAAAGGTAAAAGTTGTCTCTGTGCTTAACTAATTAAGCACTACACCATGAAGGCATATGGTGGAGTGGATGTATAGATCTACGTTTTCTTGACCTCGGCACTAGCTGGGGGTGAGTGGTCAGCTTCATGCCTCAGCTGCTTTACACCCGGGGATAGAGCCACCGGTACCCATTGAATAAGAGGTTGGGTGGACCGCAGAGCCAGTCTGGACAACAAGGAAAAGAGAAGAGAAAATTCTTGACCCTACCAGCACTCAAACTCTGACCCCTCAGTCATCCAGCCCGTAGGCAGTCGCTATGCTGACTGCACTATTCTGGCTCTCCAATATAGGTGCAATACGTTATATAGAATAGTTGCATAAATATCACTGGTTTCAGGCATTTAGTAGCATAAATAACAGTATCTGTTTTATACCACTGAAAGCATTGATGAAGCTCCTCTGAATGTCATACAATCTGTGTGATTTATGATTTGTTACATGTATGCATACACAGCAGACAGACATGATATGTACAGTAAGTGTAAATAATTTTTAAGGTCAATGTCTATTGTTGGGGGCACGTGGTAACATAGTTGGTTGAGGCACTGTGCTACAAACCGGAAGGTTGCAGGATCGAATCGCTATGAGGTCATTGGATTTTTTCAGTTTACCTAATCCTTCCATCCGCACTATGGCCCTGGGGTCGACTGAGCCTCTAACAGAAATGAGTACCAGGAATATTCTTTGAATGTTCTTGAGGATAAAAGGCAGCCAGCGCATAAGGCTGACACCCTTACTGCCACCTATGAGCTGATTGTCTAGAAAATGTGGGAGCCTCAACATCTCACAACCCTATGGGCCTCCACGACCTGTTACAGGGATAGGGATACCTTTACTTCTTACTGTCTATTCTTGTTACATAATGTGTCTACTGTTTCAGGTGCGCTGTTTGCATTTGAGATGCTTTGCAATATGCTGGGCAGATTGTTTGAGCCATACATAGTCCATGTTCTGCCACACTTGCTGTTATGTTTTGGAGATGGAAGTCAGTATGTCCGTGATGCTACAGATGACACAGCTCGAATTGTCATGAGCAAACTGTCTGCTCATGGAGTAAAATTGGTGTTGCCATCTCTTCTGGCAGCCCTGGAAGAAGATTCATGGAGGACAAAAACTGGTGAACATCCTTTTATTATTTGAATTCTTGAAATTCTTTTTATTGCTGTCCATAGTGCCTGCTTAAGCTACTGGCACCCCAATTTTGCTGTTCTTGCAGGTGACCTTTTATACCACATTTAGGAGAACTGGTCTCGATTATGTTCTTTTCCTGTTCCTGAACAGTTTTGAAACATCCCAACATGTATATTGTGGTTGAATGATTGTCTTATAATGTATATCTGTTAATATGGAGTCATTTTTTCCTTGATAAAGTTAGTGCCAGGATTCTGAGCCATTTCCAGCCTGTCATATGTGGACGAGCATGAAATTATAAGGACATTACATGATATTTATTTTTAATTTTGTAGTTTGCTTCATTCGATTTATTGTTCTCATCTGAAGGACATTACATTATATTTATTTTTAATTTTGTGGTTTGCTTCATTCGATCTCTTGTTCTCATCTGAAGGACATTACATGATATTTATTTTTAATTTTGTGGTTTGCTTCATTCAATTTATTGTTCTCATCTGAAGGGGAATGCCAGGATAATGAATGTAGGTATATAATATATATGTATATGTAGGTATATATAATTTTATACATAGATCTCATCTGTTCAAACTCACTAAAAAAATTTTTTTTTGGTCTGTAATATACATGAAAAATTTGTGACATTACATGATGTAGGTCCTTTCTTAAGAATGAAAACTAATTATAAGATGACACATACGTGTATTAAGGTATACCTATGATATGCGTAAGGTCATGGTCACATCTGTTTGTCCTTCCTGACTGATCCTTCATTCAGTGCATAATATGTAACTATAGCAGTTGGGGTCTGAGAGAAACAACTTGCAAATTTTAGGTTCTGTGGAGTTGCTAGGAGCAATGGCATACTGTGCTCCGAAACAGCTGTCCTCCTGTCTGCCAAGCATAGTGCCTAAGTTGATTGAAGTGCTGAGTGACTCTCATGTGAAGGTGCAGAAAGCTGGAGCACAGGCACTCAAACTCATTGGCTCTGTCATCCGGAACCCAGAAATTCAAGGTGAGCTGCTGATAAAGGTAATGTGCAGTGATCTGAAAAGTTAAATTTCCTGAGCCAGGTATACAATGTAATGCTCTCATTGTTAGTGTAAACAGGTGCTGTGTTCATCTGCATTTGATGTGCCTGTGAATATAATGCACAGTGACTTTAAATTGAAGGAAATATTCCTTTCTTGCACAATAGCTGTATAGTTTCTGAGTACAGCAAATAACTTTGTCTTTATGAACAGTTTTGGAAGTGTGTTTGTAATTTTCTGCTGTGTTGTTCATTGTTATTAAAACATAAAGGAATATGGATCTGATCCAGAAGAGGGAATCGGGGTCATGAGAAAGGAGCACTCATTCCAGAGGGAAGGTGGCTAATGGTTGAAGTATGGAAAGACAAAAGACCTATGACAACGATAAGCATGATTCTTGAAGCAAAAGTGAACACAGGAAGGAAAGACAGAACTCAAGCTGGAGATAACATAGACCGCACTTTGTTGTCCAGTGCAACAAATTCCAGAAAGGTGCAGATAGATCATATCAATGCATTAGTTATATTACTCCCTTAGAAGAAAGCTGTAAAATGGTGAGACAGGCTGGTGTTGAATAGTTCTGACTTCTGGGATATAACACCATGTAGCCTGCTGAAAGTCAGCCAGTGTTTCGGAGGAACTTACCACGTCCATCTTCAGGGTAGAAGACTAAATCAAGCAAGAAACAATTGTGAAAGCAGGTGGCAAATTTGTGTTGTTATCTTGTAAACTGTGCACTGTTCATTGCATTCCTTCTGCACAAGAGAATGAACAAAAATGGGAAACAAAGTATAATAAATTCTGCATGACTTAGCGAGGCCTTAGATATCAGAAAAGAAGAATAGAACTGGGCCCAGTTGTGATGAATCACAGTTACCAGAAATCTAACAACAAGGGTGGCTAAACACGGGCCCTTAATCGACTGATTTTAACAAACATGACCTGCAGAAGACTGTTGCTGTCAGGCAGGGAAGGAAGAAGTGCCCTGCAACACAGTGTCAAGTTTGTGTACCACACAAGAAGCACAGTGAAACAAGATACATTTGTAAATTGTATACTATCACTCTTCACAGATATTCCTGCTTAGAGAGGTTCAACCATATGAAACACTGTTAGACCCACTGCAAGAGGTTTTTTTCAATACTGACTTAAGAAGTCTCATCTAGAACTTCAAAAACTGAGTAGGAATATATTCTAGGGTAGAACACTGAAATACTTATAATATATTCAGGAACTAGTGCGAAATTTAATGAAAGGTGTACACTGGTCCTCAGTATGTGAAAGTAGGGCCATCCAACTTGTAGCACACGAAATGCATACAACCCACTTGTTGATTTTGTGTAGTCCACAAGAGTATTCTTCCAGTCCCCAAAATATGAGCTTTTGTAATGCTTTCCTTCTATTAAAAAATGTGGCAAGTCTTTTTAAAATAACTTCATAAAATGTGCCTCCTAAATATTGTGTGTAGCGTTTCAGCTGCCTTCACATTACACAATAATAAGTAACTTAGAAAAGTGTGGAGTCACATGAGTCCATATCATATGCATTTTTGGTTCAATGTAACCAACTTCTAGCAGTTAACTTTTAGGCACTCTCAACCTGATGGCAATGTTCGATGGCCTGATTATACATTCAGCATAGCCCTGTTGCTTGACCACTTGAATTAAACTGGTGTCTTATTTTATTGGGAAAAACAGTTCCTTTATGGCCCACATGTAGGTGTGTAATGTAAAATGCAGCCCCTCAGTGGTTTGAATTGTGTTATGTCCAAGCAACAAAATGCTTGTATAATTGTGTATTACAAATTTTGTCGAAATGCCTGATGGTAATTCTGTGTGTTTGCGTTTTATAGCAATCGTTCCTGTGCTGCTGGAGGCATTGCAAGACCCATCAAACAAAACTGCTACATGCTTGCAGACCCTACTGGACACACAGTTTGTACACTTCATTGATGCTCCATCATTGGCTCTAATCATGCCTGTTGTGCAGCGTGCATTTATGGATCGTTCCACGGAAACACGCAAAATGGCTGCCCAGATCATTGGCAATATGTACTCCTTAACTGACCAGAAGGATCTGACTCCATACTTGCCTACTATCATACCTGGTCTTAAGACATCTCTGCTTGACCCAGTGCCAGAGGTAAAACTTACTCTTACATGATTTGCATGTACAAGGACTATTCAGAAAGTAACCTCTGATGAACTGTTAACAAAATAAGCAAGGGAAAAAAATATTATTTTATACCATTTACAAAAGGTACTTGTATACTTAAGCTACTTATGAACTTATTCACCACTGGAATTGAGGCACTTGTATTGGGGAATAAGTATTTGTATGCCTGTGTCAAAGAAGCCTGCTGCCTGTGAGCTCAGCCATGTTTTGACACCTTCCATCAACTCCTCATTATTGTTGAAGTTGTTGAAGAGCTTATTCATCATGTACTTTGCTGTTTATATTCAGGTTCGCAGTGTATCAGCAAGAGCTCTTGGAGCTATGGTACGTGGAATGGGTGAATCTAGTTTTGAAGATTTGCTTCCATGGCTGATGCAGACACTTACATCAGAAACAAGTTCTGTAGATCGTTCTGGTGCTGCGCAGGGTCTCAGTGAAGTTGTGGGAGGACTTGGTGTTGAGAAACTCCACAAATTAATGCCAGGTACTGGACTCTTAGTATTTAGTATTATGGAACAGTATGAAGCAGCTGAAAGCACACTGTATTTCCGTGTGTGCACGTACACGGGTTAAATGATTTATAGATCGTCAGAGAGACCGCTTAGATTTCTTGAAGTCTCTTGCTGGATTAAGTTGTTACACACGTGCAATTGTATCTGAAGAGGTTTTTATTGTAGAACTTTTTGCATTCATATGAGAAAGATTGAAATGTTTCATTCTTTAGCACTGTTTTCAAGGTTTCATCATTTCCAAAGAAACCAAATTGTCCTCTCTTTCACACCTTCCTGACTTGGCATTGGTATATGTCTACCTGTGGGGATTTCTAAAAGGAAATATTTCAATGAGATTGCACAGCAAATATACAGAACATACTAGAAAATGTTACCACAACTTGCAGAGCATCTTTCTCTTTCAACATTTCCTATGGATCATGCCTCATGAAATTGTGTGAAGATTGAAAACCATTACCTGTAAAATTAACTGTGCCTTATTGTGATTGCTTTCATTTTTAACATGTCCCACATGTTGCCCACCCTCATGAGTGTGACTTACATCTTGTTTGTCGTATATTTCTGTGCATGTCCAAAATCACTTGCCAGTCAGATGGTTGCCAATTTGAAAACTGTCTTTCATATTCTTGGACGAATACTACTGCATTACCATTGCAGAGTCCATGAATGTAATGGATAACCACACATTCTGTATTGTTCTACATGTACATTGTTACAGTATAGTATTAACAGGACAGTGGCACCACATGACACATTAGTCTAGCTCTGGCTGTGTGTCAAGGGAACATGTTCCAGGGCAGCTGCTTACCAGTTCTGTCAAACTGTGCTCACTGTTGGCTTTTCATATTCACATTTAGATGTCTGTAACTCCAGTAGTATTGACAACAGGCAAAATAATTACTCTTTCTTTATGGCTTGTAATGAGCTGTAGGTGAGGTATTGACTGTCCATTATGGGATGCCTATGTGTGTGCAACAGATAATTAGCAACCATATTGAAAATTTAAGTTAATAGTCTTTTGTGTTCATTTCAGTGGAAATTCTGTGTGTATATATGTATATTTTATTTTCAGAAATCATTAGCACTGCTGAAAGGACTGATATTGCACCACATGTTAAGGATGGTTATATTATGATGTTCATTTACATGCCTGTGGTATTCACCAGTGAATTCACTCCGTATATAGGACAGATTATTAATCCAATTCTTAAGGTAAATTTTGTTATGAGTTGTTTATAACAATTAAAGTAGCAAATAATACTGCCATGCTGTATCATGGCCTGCTATGATACTCATATTGTATTAACATATGGTGTAGAAGTTTGTAACTAGTAACAGTGTATACTATAGTTAGAGAGTTTCACCACATTTTCGAAAGTATCTCCTAGCAGTACAGGTATTGCGTAGGAAAGTGTCTTATGTTGTGAATGTGTTAATTTGAAGTGCTCAGGGCTGAAAATATTATATTATATTGTAGGATTCTGTTGCACTTTTCACTTAGTGTTGATTACTTACAGTCTCACATGCAACACTGCGTTCTATAACTCTAAAAGTTTATAAGTCCATCATTACATGTTTTGACCAGTGACCATCAGGTTTCAGAATCAAGAACAAGATACACAGTACTGAACACAACCCACCAACTGAAACATGTGCATGTTGAGAAGATCTATATTTATTTAACAACAGAAGACAGCAGTTTCCTTGCCAAAGATTTTAACATCTGATGATGACCACATTTGTCAAAGCATATAGTGATGGATTGTTAAAACTTTTAAACTTCTGAACTTCTAAAGTTAATTTTGTGGCGCATAGTGTTGCACGTGAAACTGCAACTAATTGACACAAACTGAAAATGTAAGCGTTAAATTGTTCAGTACATGGAGTACATGCATTCTTTGCTGTTTGCACACTTCATTGATATACAGTTTAATTTGTTTTATATGAAAAATCTCTTCATGTTATGATCACTGTGGCCACATGTGACCCTTGGTTGTTCCTTTGCATTTTCTTCTCTGTCTCATTTACTCATCAGATTGTTACCACTTGGTACTTGTAGGCTTTGGCAGATGAGAATGAGTATGTGCGAGACACAGCGTTGAAAGCAGGCCAGAGAATTGTGAATCTTTATGCAGATACAGCAATCATGCTGTTGCTGCCAGAACTTGAAAAAGGACTGTTCGATGATAACTGGAGAATTCGTTACAGGTATATGTCCATATAAAGAAGTCACCACGACTTTCAGTTATGTATTACGACAACAGTATCTTCGTACATATGCCTCTGTGCTTTTACTTGAAGGGAAGGAATATATGCATCACACATACCGAAAGGTTGTATTAAAAACTGAAAGAAATTGGTTGTTTCCCATAGCAGCTTCATGTTAGCTTGTTTTCATGTTTTCTGACTTGTAATGTTTAGATTACATTGTTCTGTGTTACATTCTAAAACATGATGTTGATAGCTAATTACCGTAACTAGTATGTTGTACGTGTGTATCTTGTAGAGTCATCACATACCACAGTTACTGTTCCTGATTCAGTACTGGTCCTAGTAACGTGACCTCAATGTAAACCCCCAAATAATTTTATTTGCGGATGAAACTAGCGTAATCATCAGTAATCAAAACAATACTGTACTAGGAAATAACTTGAAGTCAGTCTTCACTAGTGTGGCAAAATGGTTTAAGGCAAATTTACTCTTATTAAATCTGGACAAAACCTACTGTACGGGATTCCACTCTAAAGATATTAATTCTGAAATACAAATTAAATATAATAACAAAATTATTGCTAATACTCCTGAATTAAAGTTTCTTGGGCTAGTACTTCACAATACTCTCTCTTGGAAGAGTCACACCGATATATCGGCTTCCAAATTAAACAAAGCATGTTATATTGCAAGAGCAATCAGAACTTTCTTATCTTTAAATTACCTAAAGATAATCTATCATGCTTATTTTTATTCAGTTATAACATATGGATTAATTTTCTGGGGAACTTCTTCCCACAGTACGAATATTTTCAAACTCCAAAAGCGATTGGTTAGAATACTAATGAAAGCAAGACCCAGGGAATATACTGCCTCTAGCATCGCAGTACCTACTCTCCTTGACTATGTTCATGGTTACCAATAAATCACTGTTTAGACAAAATTCTGAAATTCATAATTTTAATACCAGGAATAATTCTAATTTTTTTTTAAGTAACGACTCACTTGATGATGTTTCATAAAAGTCCCCCCCTACGCAGGCATTAAGATATACAACCGTCTTCCAGCTGACATTAAGGACTTGGCATGTGATATTAAAAGCTTTAAAAAAGTATTTGCATGAGCATTCTTTTTATACTGTGGGTGAATTTTTTATGCATAAAACTAGATAAGTATTTCTCATTGTAATAGTAACATCATTGTGTAACCATTCACAGTCAGATTTCCTGACAAGTGAATGGGAAGACAGGTTTCAGCCCGAGAGAGAAGGAGGACTGATCTGGTATACAGATGGTTCCAAGATAAATAAGGGCACTGGAGCTGGTGTGTTCTGCTGTGGCATGAGGCGGAAACTTAGTTTCAGCCTTGGGCAGTACACGACAGTATTCCAGGCAGAAGTATATGCCATTAAGGCATGTATTATAAAGAATATAGATAGGAACTACAGAAATAGGAACATCTACATTCTATCTGACAGCCAAGCTGCACTTCAAGCGCTTGACAAACACCAGATCAACTCAAAATTGGTCTGGCATTGCCACCAAACCCTCATGGAACTGGCCAAACATAACAGGGTACAACTGATATGGGTGCCAGTGCATGAGGGTATTGCTGGAAACGAAATAGCAGACCAATTGGCCAAGATTGGAGCTGAACATCCGTTCATAGGACCTGAACCAGCCTGTGGCATCTCTATAGGAGTTGCCAGAAAGGCAATCAGGGACTGGACAAATATGAATCACAAGAAATACTGGGCATCCTTAACTGGACTCGGGCAAGCAAAGGGACTCATATGAAGACCCTCTACTAAAAAAGCGAAGGAGCTGTTGAAGTTAAACAGGAAGAGCTACGATGGGTGGTAGAACTACTTACAGGACGCTGTCACCTCAAAGGACATCTCTTCAAATTGGGACTAAGTAACAGTCCAACTTGTGAGAGGTGTCAAGAAAAAAATGAAACAGCCACAAATATCCTGTGCGAATATGAGGCCTTAGCTTATTTAAGATTGTGCCACTTGAGTCAGTATTTTATGAAACCAAGTGACTATTTCGATGTCCCCACATACAAAATCCTATGCTTCATTCGAAGCGCAGGATTGTTGAGGGTATAATCAGAAGGGGAGGCACAATAGATCACTGTGGTCGCCGTGCAAGGGCCAAGAAGGCCCACCCCTTGTACATTAATTCAACATCATTGTATCAGTATTTACAGCATTGTATCATTTTTATTTTTTTGACAAAATCTTTTAATGATTGCATGTCTTATTTATTTATTTATTAATATTGTACTGTCTTGTATTTTTTACTTTTCTATATCCAATTGTTCTACCAATATGGATCAACATAATAAATTAAAATTGTATTGAACTCATTGCTCTGTGGATTAATTCCCCAGTTACAGTCTTTATTAGTAATTATAATGGAAGTATGCATTCCTAATACTGTTATTCATAGGAAGGAAAGAGAACTAATTAGAAGTGCAATGCATTTATGTGCTGAAGAAGCATGTTAAATAGTGTCCAAGATGAAATATATGTGTGATCAGGTTTATTCTCTCCAGTATGCATTTGTTTTATGCACTCTGTGAAATTAATCTGAAAAAGATGGAAAAATAGAGGAAGGTCAATTTTATTTTAAGGTAATCAGTTTGACTTCATATCTGCTTTGCTTTATGCAGTTCAGTGCAGTTGTTGGGAGATTTGCTGTACAGAATATCGGGAGTGTCTGGAAAGATGAGCACTGAAACAGCAGATGAGGATGATAATTTTGGAACTGAACAGTCACATCATGTAAGTCTTAATTCTTCTATAAACTTTATACGAGTAAGAGACATTGATTGTGTGATGTGGTAGAACTAGCAGAGTATACATATACTTTTCTGTGTCTAAAATTGTAAATAAGGTGATGACGGAGAAATTGTAAGTTGTGTATAGCAACTTTTGAGCCCTGCAAGTCTAGTGACACATTTTGCAAAAGGATTATTTAAGTGACATTATTGTTCATTATTTGGAAATTTTGTGACCTCTGTTATCTTGTATAAACATTTAGGAGAACATCAAGATCAAGCGTTCTTGTTCACTTTCTCATTTATATCCATCTTAAATCAGTAAGTGACAAATTATGTGACTATAAAATGACCCCTTCTTCATGTATCTGCATAAAGTCCCATTTTAGACCAGAAGAATTTTTTTTCCTGTGAAAGTTGCACCACTTTTGATTTTTGTTTTCTTTTTTCCTTTACCATTCATTTGTCCCAGAAGTGAATGTTTCATCAGTGTTGGACAGTAATTAATTGCCACAATTCACAAGAATTATGTAATATGTGTATCCATGTTGTCATCTGTGATCTTGGTGTATTATGTTCTCATGTTCTGTTTAATAGGTAACAGTTACAGTAAACATTTAAAAAATGCACATTTTAAAACAAATAGCATTAATTACATATATATATGTTTAATGTATGCACTAATACCATGTGCTGTAGCTTAAATCCATGAAGCCTGTTCACGACAATTGACACGAAGCACTGATTTGCCTCCACAAACTGAGCTATGTTGGGCAGCGGTGACATAATTTGAAATCACCAAATATGTATGAGCATATTTCTGTTTTCATCTTTATCTCTGCCTGAGTAGCAGCATGTTCATGTTTGATGAATATTTTGCAACTGTGGAATATACATCAAAATAGAGCCACTAGGTATAACGTGCTACAGAAATAGAATATAGTAAATTGTTCACAGTTGTGATTATTAGTAGTTAGTAGTAGTTAATCCCTGTTTCATGGAGTGTAGGGCATCATTAAAATGCCTCCACCAGATCCTGTTGATACCACTTCTTTTAACTTTACTCCATGTCTTCCCCACATCCATGGCTTCTTCCTCAACCATCGTTTTCCAGGTCTTTTTGGGGATAGCCATGCTTTCGAGCCCCCCATGGGGATTCTAGTCTAGTGCCATTTCTCATTGGATCCAGTGGGTTTCCTTAGGGCATGACCAATATAGCACCACTTTCTCCTCTTTACCTGGACTACAATTGGTTGTTTCGTAATTTTCTGTAAATCTCCATTTAATATAGTCTCTGGCCATTTTATATTAATAATGTGCCATAAACAGCTAAGACCTGCAGTCTGTTTGTGATTTGCTGGGTAACTTTCCATGCTTCACAAGCATAAAGGAGGACTGACTCCACATTGTTATTGAAGATGTGGAGTTTAGTCCTTTTCAATAGCTTCCAATTTCTCCATACAGTCTGAGGATTGTTGCTTTGAAGATATTGTCATAATTATACAGTGCTTTATGCATAGATGAGTTTCAATATATGCTGCACTTGCCACACTCAGGCTTTCCCAGAAACTGTTGAGTTATTTGTTTTACACATCTTTATTCATGAATGTGATGAGCCCTATTTTTGAATGAAAATAAAATTTAGAAATACTTCATCATATATTTGGATAAATATGATGTGTTGCTGAATGTTGTAAACAAGTGGTTCGAGGTTTAGTTTATGGGTAAGAGGCTTGCTATTCTGACGGGATTTTGTCGATTTTCATGATTACTTCGAAGCAGATACTGGAATAGTAGTTAAAAATAAATTTCCATATTCTTTACAATTCATGATTCACATAACTGGCATGCGCAATTGAGAAGGTGTAGTGAAATAAATTAGGAAGCAAGTTATACTGTCAATTTTTTCAGGCCATCATTGATGCTCTTGGTGGAGGACGCAGAAACCGGGTTCTGGCTGGTCTCTACATGGGTAGGTCAGACGTGGCCCTTATGGTGAGACAGGCAGCACTGCATGTGTGGAAGGTTGTTGTGACCAACACACCTCGCACTCTGCGAGAAATTCTGCCAACACTCTTCAGCCTGCTTCTTGGCTGTCTGGCCAGTACAAGCTATGATAAGAGACAGGTAGTGATCATTGTATGATGTAATAAAAATATATAAAAAGGGTGTATTGGAATTGAAGGCAATTTTATGAACACGTGGCAGGGAGTGAAACTTCTTATTGCACTGGATAATATGAAAGCTGTTTTCTTATTTTTTTCATCTTGAGAGGTTCAGATATGACAGATAAAAGTTAAAAATAAAATTCTGTCTTACTGGTTATAATGCTATGCATTGTGGTGAAATTTACCCCTGTTTCGCAAGTGATACGTTCCTCCAGAACATCAGTTGACTTCACTGGATTACATGGTGTCATATCTCAGAAGATATGGCTCCTCTGTGTGAGAATCTCAGATCCAGCATCTGTTTTTGTCTGTCTTCTCACAGTTTGAAGCTATCTTTGGTAATGTAAGTGATGAGAACTTATCCCAGACACCATTACTGGTGCTCAAGGCCTGGTGCTTTAGTCTCTGTACAGATCCAGAAAACAGTCCTGTTAGATTAATAACATGCATATGTTTCCTTACTAATTTTTCCGAATATTATTATATAAAGAAGCTTAAGCAATAAAAAAATGTTGAGTGCTGTAATGTATGATGATATTTCAAGAGTAATTCTGTGAAGTCCTCCTCTTCTTGTTGCTATCTGAAATGTCAGTATAAATATATCCCTGTTTACTCATGAGTTGAAACACACACTCCTCCGAGGTGTGAAGAAGATTACACGCTACTTTGTTTAAAAACCTACTATAACATTGAAGGAAGTTTATTTCTGGAATATTTTTTCATCTTTTGTTATCAGTAAAGTGTTGATTAGTATTAATAGAATAAGGAGATCTGTTTTTCAGTGGCAGCAGTCCTGCTCATTCTCATGCTAGAGATTTGATGTTCTCAGTCTCTTCAGGTAGATTCTGGGATGGTATCATAAAATAGGCTACAGCCATTTCTACATCAATATTCATCATTCAGATTCATCCTCCCAAATGATATTATAGAGAGTGTTCTAATATGAAGTAAGCAATTATTTTTCAATGTCCAAGAACCTTCACTATGTACATTACTTACATTTACATAATTAAGTGCTGCTTGAAGATAATTGCTGCTGCTAGGCAGCATGTTTAATCTGTTAATGAGCTTAGAAGTACCCATGTTAGAACTTTCCACCAATTAAATTTTTTCTTGTGACAGGTTGCAGCTCGTACCTTAGGAGATCTAGTGAGGAAATTAGGTGAACGAGTGCTGCCAGAGATCATCCCTATTCTGGAGAAGGGTCTGGAGTCAGATCAACCAGATCAGCGGCAGGGAGTGTGTATTGGTCTGTCAGAGATAATGGCTTCTACCAGCAAAGACATGGTGCTCACATTTGTAAACAGTTTGGTACCTACTGTAAGGAAAGCACTGTGTGATCCCCTGCCAGAAGTGAGACAGGCTGCTGCAAAGACCTTTGACAGTCTGCACTCTACTGTAGGGGTTCGAGCACTTGATGACATCCTTCCGGCAATGCTGAACCAGTTGGTATGTCATTTTCCACCGTTTCTTTGAGTGGGAAGTGTTCTTTGTGTTACTTGAAGCTCTTGCTGCAACTGAATGCAACAAAATCCTCTCTGGCATTCATGTCATTGTGAAATAAAACTCTGAAGTTGTAGAGCATGTCTCTGGTTCCATCATCAGGGATAGATGTCTAGTGACTGCCAAACACCGATGGCCCATTCATCCAGGGAAGTGCTCACCTTGACCAAGTGCTGGCCAATTAGAGAAGAGAAAGTGCCATAAAATAGGCATCAGTAATAAAATCGTGTTATGATACTTCTTTAGGGAATCACTGTTAATGACTTAGAGGAGAAAATTCCAATGGGAAAACCAAATTTGAATTTCTTCAGTAATCGCACCTTTACTTTAAAGTTTAAGAATATATTGTCATGTAAGGGGGTTACGCATGACAGAAATAATTGGTTCTAGATCAGATAATTGTATTTGTTGGCATTTCAGTTTATACACTTTCCTGGCATCACATTTAAATTGTATTTAATTAGAATCTTTATGGATCTCGGTAATGGTAATAATGCAGAAAGTGGTTCTTTTATGCTGTTTGGTTAGTGGGCACTTTCTCAGTGAGGTTTGGAATGTGAACTTCTGCTTAACATATAACTTTTATTTTTTATTTGGAGCGTTTGCTCTTTTGTGCTTTTAATGAATTATTGAAACCTTCCTCTTTTCCTTTGATTTTATCAGAATGACCCTGACCCAAAGGTTGCTGAATCCACATTAGATGGGTTACGACAGGTGATGGCCATCAAGTCTCGTGTGGTTCTGCCATACCTCGTTCCACAGCTTATTGCTCCTCCGCAAGTAAACACCAAGGCTTTATCGATTCTTGCCTCTGTAGCAGGTGAAGCGCTTACAAAGTACCTGCACAAGATACTGCCTGCACTGCTGGCTGCACTCTCCGCAGCTCAGGGAACCCCACAAGAGACCCAGGTAAACCACTGTCACATGTGTTCTTTACTCAGGCTTCTTTCAATTAATAGCGCGTAAAGCATATCATATATACTTCCGCAATTTACATGATCTTTTTAATGACATTTTGTGTCTAAAAGATGGGAATGCTACTTTTCAGGATATAATTTTATATGTAAGACTGTGGCTAGGAAAATTACACTTGCATACTACTAAGAAAGAGGTGAATTGTGTGAGGGAAATGTGATTTTTGTATGCCTTTCCGCGTAATTCATAATCTGTACATATACTCCAACTTTGTAATTCCAGTTCTCAAGAGATTGTCAGCGGTATTTGCGAAACAAAGTTGTATAATTCTGATGTGTGAGAAAAGGAACTCTGTTTTATTAATATATGAATTGCAATTAAATAACTGAGTTCACACAGCTTTTTCTCTTAGCCAAATTAGTTCATTTACAAAATCATAATTCCATAAAAGTAAAGTAAGTAAAGGTATCCTTGTAACAGGCTGTGGAGACCCATAGGGTTGTGAGATGTTGAGGTTTCCACATTTTCTAGACAATCGGCTCATTTATGGCGGTAAGGTTGTCAGCCCTACGTGCCAGATCATAATTTCATATGTTTTTATAAATAGGTACATTGACTTAGTTTGAAATGAAGTGTTGATGCAGCTTGTATTTTGTCATTTGATTACATACCGTAATAGAAACAGAACAGAATGCTAATCCATCACATTCAGGAAACTTGTGTGATTCTCTCCATGTTGGTTTAGAATAAATCATAGGGATCAGTATCCTGTGTTTTGTGCAACAAGTATGGATCTGAAAGCTAACTGAGGATGCCAACAGCATAATGTGCGTGAATGCCTGTGATTGGTGGTTCATCCACCTCACTACCTGCCCGTGAACATCAGTGGGTCCCTGTGCCCGTATTTTGTGAGTTGGTCACTAACAAACACTAGTCTGTATAACACCAAAAATTTTGACATGAGTATATTTGAAACTGGTGACATATAGATAAGGGCAGGAAGTACATGAAGTCAGAAATGAAATGGTTAATCACTTACTTGTATCATATGTATTTATCAAAATGTTCGTATCTAAGTAAGGGGGCAAAAGTACAGTTTTTATATTTTCCCAGTATTTCTTTTCTAAAACAAGGGGGTGTGTAGATCATGTGAGGCTCTTATTTTTAAAAAGAAACATGAAACACGAGTGTTTATATATGTGTTTTAACCCAGAAAGTAAGAAATGTTGAGAATCGTTTCTCAAATTGTGATCCTGACACCACTGGTGGTCCATGGCTGTCCACAAGATGGCACATGACTGTATATGCTTGATCAGCTCAAAACACTCCTTGCTTTGGGACCCACTGACATCCATAGACAGGCATATGTGTGCAGAAGGAAGAGAGGGAAAGACTGAGAGAGACTTAGCACAGAAGAACTAGCAATCATTGGCTTCTATATGCATTTTGCTGCTGACACATGTGAAGTTAAATGAAAATTATATAAACTAAATTAAGGAAATGCAGTTGAGGACCATGTGCTGCAACACGTGCTATTGGGTAGGCATGGGCCCATGTAAATTAGAACATAACCAAACTAAATTAATAAATGACTGTGTGAGTTTATGAACCTGGTGTCAGATTTTCCATTTCTGTTTTCTCACATTGGGGTACAGAATTGAAGGCTGTGAAAGCAGTTTTTAGTTTCGCATTCACTCTGAAGTTGAAAATTTCTTTCGCTAGGCTCCTCTGTTTTTTCTTGTTTATTTTTTTTTTTTTTTGTTTTTTTTTTTTTTTTTTTTTTGTTTTTTGGAACCAGGTGGTTTAAGGCGGTAATGACAGTGCTGCCTGTTCAGTTTTGTTTTCTCCTAATATGTGTAATCAGTCAAGTGGACTCCAGCAATGTTAGTGATTCTGTGGTGATATGGGGAAGCAGCAGAGTGTTTTAGAGGGAATGAAACTGAAATGGGGAGAGCCCTGTAATGAAGAAACTTAACATTTCCAAACACAGGCTGTGGGCTGTTATATAGATTGTACTTTCTGAATCTTAAATCATATCAGACCGTGATGACAGAAGCAGAGATGGTCCCAGAAACATCGTTAATTTTTAACCAACAGGCCCGGCTGACAGCCCAAGAATATTTTATCAAATTTAGACACCATGGAACCTTCACGTCTCAGGATGTTCAGATAGCTTTGACTGAGGCTGTGGAAATAGAAACTACATGAAACTGTGACGCAGTCAGCTGAGCATGAGTTAGCAGCTTCATTACAAGCAAACAATGAAAATTCCATGTACAACATAGTTTAGAAGGTTAGCATGTGGTTTATCACTTTCAGGTAAACACATGGACATAGTGAATCAGTGCGTCAAACTTTGTTGTGTGCATAGACAACAGTGCGCCTACAACTGGTTGAACACTGAGTAGTTTATCTGAATGAGACTCTGGACCTCTTAGAAAGTAACCATAGTTGCTGGTCTTGTTTACAGGAGTTAGAGTACTGCCAGGCTGTTGTGTTGTCAGTGACAGATGAAGTCGGTATTCGGACAATCATGGATCAACTGATGGAGTCCACACGGTCAGACAAGGTGGAGCTGCGACGTTCATCTGTTATGTTACTGTGTGCCTTTTGCCGGCATACTCATGCTGACTATTCTCAGTATGTACCACAGCTTCTGCGAGGCCTCATACATTTGTTCACAGACTCAAATCGTGATGTGCTCCAGATGGCATGGGAAGCACTCAGTGCTGTTACCAAGGTAACTGATTCATAGATACAGGAACTTTCATGAAAATTTGGTAGTGGCTTAGTTGGTCAAGGAATTCTTTACTTTTCTGTGACCCAGTACTGTAGTAACCAAAGTCCATTATTCTGACTTGATTGAATCCAGTCAGTTCTATTCCTAGTCTCTATCCTTGATGACATGATTTTAAAGTTGTAGTACCATCACGCAACTGTTGATTATTGTATAAGAAAATGATTGAGATCAAGTAAAACCCATGAGTCAGTCAGTTTATTATATAAATCACATTACATGTTTCAGTCTCGTTTGATTGTCATCAGGTTTATAGGAATAGAAACAACAAATATACCAAGATTATGCAGAATTATATGACAAAAACGGATCCATTTTCCAATGTCATAAATTAATAGTTGTGTACATGTTAGGGGCTGAATATATGAAAATATAACGGGTTTGCTCAAAGCGATTCTACCTATAATGTAAAAGCATAGTTATGAGTTCTTTTAAATTTGTTACACATACTGGGAAAGGTTTCGTGTAATGGAATGTGCATGGATGATTTTTGGTATGTATTTGATGTGTTGATAATTAGGTGCGCGTGTATGCATCCATGCAATTTTGTCTACAACTTGTACCCCTGATGACGGCCAGTTGGACTGAAGCATATAGGGTTTGAATAATAGGAAGAGATGAATGCTTTTGGAGTGTGAATTTCAGTACAGTGATGAAGAATGCACAAGGACAATGAGAGGTGCGAATGCCAATTGTCCTCATATGTTTATTACCAGAATTTTCATGCACATGTTGATGGCTGTGAAGGAAACCCTGATGATTTTAATGAAGAAATAGAAAGAGAGGAAGATGGAGGATATGAGGAAGAAATGGTAGTACAGCAGTAATGATTTCCGTGTTCTTACGGGGTTACTGTTTTACTTCAACTTCCCTCTGTTTATGCTGAAATGTTTACTTTTTGTGTTACAGACTCTGGACTCATCGCAACAAACTGCTCATGTTGGAGACATACGGCAGGCTGTGCGTTTTGCTGTCAGTGATTTAAAAGGACAAGAGTTGCTTCCAGGCTTTTGTTTACCAAAGGTAAATGCTTTGTCTTGCTGAAGAACTGGAGGAAGGGGCTGCTGTTTCTCTTTCCATTTAATTGTAATGCTGTGGCTCCCCCATTTTTTCTTGAAGTCACTTTAGAAAATATAAGAGGGGCTGATAAGTCTTTGGCTTTATAATGAAAACAACAAGCTATGGGATTGAAAATATTTATTTACTCTATATATTCCCCCCCTGAGTTCCACACACACTTGTGACTTCTTTGTTCTAACTTATTTAACCCATCCAAGAAAAATTCTTTTGGTTGTGCTGCAAACCACCCATCCACAGCTAATGTGGCCTCCTCAATGCTCGAAAACTTTCTTCCCATGAGGTGTTTCTTGAGGTTAGGAAAGAGGTGGTGGTCCAAAGGGGCCAAATCAGGTGAGTAGGCTAGGTGTTTCTGAACTTCAAAGTGAAGATCTACCAATTTCTGGTGTGTAATGGCCGCCTTGTGAGGAGCAGCATTGTCTTGAAGAAACCAGATTTATTTTGAAAGTTTGCGTCGATGTTTGGAGTGTTGTATCCCGGGGATGGGATAGATTGCAGGTTGGCAGGGCGAGCGGTTCCCTTGGGAGTCAGTGCGGGGTGTGAGAGTACTGCAACTTGATATTAAATACATTTATTGATACTGTACAAAATCAGAGAGAGGAACCTGTTGGTAAGAAATCAGTGGTCTGCCTGAGCAATGGGCAGTGGCCGACTCCTGGTATCTGACAGCACCTGCTCCACTTAATGGATAGCTCAGGCAGTGTCGATATCAAAAAGCCCCTTTACTTACGCCCCGTGTGGTATATATCTGGTCCAGTTAGGGCGTTACCCTTCTGAAGTAATCTGACTAACTCATTCATTGCATCATCACCCTCTTGAGTTTTCGGAGGGTCCACAGCTGTTCTGTTCTTAGTAAGAAACAAGCATCGTTCTCGTGACAGCATCGGTGAAGGACAAAGTTCTAATCTTTTGATCCTTCCCGAAGTTAATCCCTTAATATTTCCTGTTGGTACACTCGATTCCTCATACTGTGTATACATGAGGTACAGTCTATTTCTAATATTACAATATAACATATTATATCAATAAAACAATTCATTTCATACTATATATCCCCATATACCACATGGGTATTAACATATACCATAGTTTAGAGTAAGCATCACCATGCCTTATACAATAATCTATATCAGGTGTCACCATATACAACAGGAGACCAGTTGCTGCTTCAGTTTGTCGAGAAGTACATCGTAGTACAATTATTAGAGATGCTTTTTACTTCTTGAATACCAAAGACCCTTCTTATCATCCAGTCTAGCACAGGTCGTAGGTTTTTCTTGGAACTTGCTCTGTGACTGGAATTATGTTAAACCAAATGACCTACTAGTGTGTTAAACTGTATGTTTTGGTAACTGTGATGTTGTCCTAATATTGCATATAACAGTGTCGACTGGTGAAAAAGGAAAGTTTGTAAAATGGCTTCAGAATGCATGACAGAAGTAGTTGAAGTTGCCATAATGCCCTTACAACAAGGAAAATCTTGATATAGAATTTAATCCAAGTTCAACTTTCAACTTTATTTTCATCCATAACTGAAATAAATACAATTGGACATGTCAAAAAATAACAGGGAATATATCACATGTCAGAGTCACATAAAAATTACACAATGATCTCTGTTATGATAATATAACAACTGTTATAAAGTACATAACAATAAAAGATGCATAAGGCCAAAAGAATAATATAAGTAATGTAAAACACAATATTAAGAACTGCAAAGACAAAAGACAATCAACAAACTAGTCATCAATCCAACGTTAGTTGAAGAACTCTTGAAGAGAATAGAAAGTGCTGCACAACAAATAATTTTTTAGTTTCCTCTTAAAAACATTAAAATTTACAACACTTTTCAATTCAAGGGGAAGGCCATTAAATATTTTAGTTCCCATATTGGTTACAATTTTTTTTTTTTTTTTTGCAATGATCAGTATTACAAAATGAGAAAACTGAACTACCCGACATATTTCAGTTCTGACCACAGTACGATGACTCTTGGTCTCTCTCATTTCAGAACATTTATGATAACCTTAACAGCACAGCTGATCACAGTGGTTGCACAGTCTAAGATGTAAACTTTCTTCGCCTGCTCAGACACTTGGGTTGTGGGTTCAAATCCCACATGAGGAATTGATGTTTGTCTGTGTTTATTCCCTGTTTGTGTTGTCCTGTTAGGTAGCAGCCTTGTGACAGGCTGATCACTCATCAAGGAGTCCTGTCGACTGTATAAGATTAAGAAATGAAGTGAAATGAAGCATTTCACATATGCCCTATACTCCAGAGGGAGCAACAGGAATATGAATGAATGAATGAATGTGTGGTAGAAATTCACAGTAAACATTCCTTAGAGAATTGTCTGCATATATTATTAGAAAATCAAGGATAAATATGACTGTACATGAAATGTACTGCTACTATTTCTGTTTATAGGGGATCACACCAATTCTTCCTATCTTCCGAGAAGCCATTCTTAACGGGCTTCCTGAAGAGAAAGAGCAGGCTGCACAGGGCTTGGGTGAAGTGATAAGACTGACCAGTGCTGAAGCACTCCAACCATCAGTGGTCCACATCACAGGCCCTCTCATCCGTATTCTTGGAGATCGCTTCAATTGGAATGTGAAAGCTGCAGTGCTAGAAACCCTTGCTCTGCTCCTTGCCAAGGTACACACATGTTATCTGAAAACACTGAGATCTCTAGGGAAATTGTTTTTCTTCACTAAATAGCAGGCTTCCGTAAATAGAGGTTTTGCAATAATTGCACCTAACTACTAATTGTAACCAATTCTGACCTTTTTACTAAGTGTAAGCTTCTTCCTCTTCATAGATGCCATAACAAAGATTAAAGAAAGGAAATGCTAAACATGTTGTCACTTCTCAAAGATTATATTTGTGAGGGACAGTTGGCAGCAAAGAGAAAATGTGAATATCAGTTGTCATTTTGACCACAATCACGCTAAATAGAAATATGGAGAAAGAATGTTTTGTACACTAAATGCAGTATTTACTAAATCAAAATTCACTAAGCACAGGGAAGAAAGATTTTGTTTCTATGGAACTTCGGTTGTCAGTGGATGTGAAACTTGGCTTATGACATGAAGGGTATTTGAGAACAGGGTGCTGAGGAGGTATTTGGACTGAAGAGTAATGAAGTGACAAGCAGTTGGAGAAAACTGCATAATGAGGAGCTTCATAACTTGTACTCTTCTCCAAGTATAATTAGAATGATCAAGTCAATGAGGATGAGGTGGGCAGAGCATGTAGCACGAATGTGGGAGAAGAGGAATGCATATAGGATATTGGTGGGAAAGCCAGATGGAAAGAGACCACTTGGAAGACCAAGGCATAGGTGGGTGGGCAATATTAAAATGGATCTTAGAGAGAGAGAGGATGGAATAGTATGAATTGGATTGATCTGGCTCAGTTTAGGGACCAGTGGAGGGCTCTTGCGAACAGAGTAATGAACCTTTGGGTTCTGTAAAATGCTGCAAAGTTCTTGAGTAGCTGCAGATTTGGCTTCTCTTCAAGAAGGGCTCAACTCCATAAGAAAGTGCATAAGTATTGGGAATGTATCCTTTATGAATATTGAGGAATTCATATACCGGTGATGCTCATACTTTTTCTGTTGTTATGCTTAATTGTTTCACATTTGTGACAACGGGTTTTAATCTCAGATATATTCTAGAAAGCAGAGGATGGAAGAAAATCACTTGAACAGAAAACAGTAAATACCTGAAAACACTATTTTCTGTTAATTGTTATTTTTCATTCTTTTTCTACATTAAGCAGACATTTAATAGTGGTTTTGACACTATATTCTTAGAGCAAGAAAAGCTTTCTGATATGGATGGGTTTACATTTGGTTGACATTCCATTATGCTTAATGTAAGTCAGATATATGTAACTGAGCAGGCTTGAAAGTGCCCAGTGCATTATATAAAATGTATTATGTAGGTTGGTGTGATGCTGAAACAGTTTCTACCCCAGCTTCAGACCACATTCCTTAAGGCTCTGAATGACTCGAATCGACAAGTACGCATCAAGGCTGCAAGTGCTCTGAGCCATCTGATTGTGATCCACACCCGAGCAGATCCTCTGTTCACAGAGCTGCATGCGGGAGTACGCACTGCGGATGATCCTGCGATTAGGTAACGTTGCTGTTGCGACACAGTTGCATGTTTTAAGTAAGGTTTGTGGTAAAGTAAGAAGTATAGATGATAAGTGTAAGATGAGTGTACCAGTAGATAAAATTCCATAAAAGAAAATTGTTCAAGTTTACATGAGAGTCATATCCCACACTTATAATACACTGTATCATATCTGTGTTCTTTCTAATCTTAGCACAGTGTGAAAGCCGTTGGTGAAATTTGTAATTCTGTCCATATTTGTTGCTTGTTTTATGGTCAGAATGTGTAATCTTTTGCCTCTTAAATGAAATGTGTTTCATCTGTGTCCCATACAGTTTTATGAAATAACTGTGGTCTTATGCCTTTTCACTTCTGCTCATGTGAAGTGACATTATCTGTGTTTGTTTTGATGCACTGGTCTGTAATCTCAGTTTAATCCTTCCACAACATTACAATGAAAGCAGTTCATAATTGGGATTACTGAGCATGTTCACTTTTCCCATTGTTTGATATTCTGAAGAACACAGTGTTTCTGAAATGTTGTGTTCTTCAGAATACTGGGCAATGGATCAGGTCCAACACCATTGTCTGAAGCCTTCAGAAAGCAATTCATATTTCACCTGTTTGGAGAAGTTTTATAGTTTACTTTCCTAATAATGTATTCTTTGTCTTCGAGTATTATTGCCCTAGTATATGAATGGAGAAGGATCCTTTGCTGAAATAGACTGTCAATCAGTTGGTGTAGTATGCTTCAAAATACTGAAAACAGTTTTAATGTGTTTAGTGTGTTACTGATATGAAGTAGGTGTTGCTATAGAATGGCTAATGTTGGTTTTGTAAGATGTTCGAGAGCTTAGAAAACCTCTTCTGATTATGTTTGATGATTTTAAAAGTAAACGTGCCCCCTAAAGCATAAGTTAAATAGCAAATTAAAGTGCTGTGATTGTAGAAAGGTAATTTTATGCGGTACATTGCGCAGGTATGTAACATATTCCCTCTTGTAAGTCTACCACCTTAGATTGTTGAAAAGATTATAGACATTTGTAAGAAAATGTGGTTGTATATTGTCCTTGTCTTGAACTTGTGGTCTGTGATGTACCGGGATGCCGTACATTGTTCTCTTACAAACTAATGATATCATAAATTAGGGCCACCTATCACTACTTGCCTACAACCCACTTGTGCTACTTTTCTCATGCCTTCTTACATTTCTCTTCTTGAAAAACGACCGTCTTTGGGGCCAACATAGGTTCCCCCTTCCCTTTGCATCCATTGTTTCTGAGTTCTTTTACTTAACTGTGCTTGAGTAACTTTTGCTTCTGTTGGTCTGTTTCAAGCTCCTTTGCATGCCTGCTTGTGAACTGGGTCTTTGACACATGATTTGCTCTGCTTGCCACCTGCTTCTTGTTGTATACTTGTGTTAGTCTTTGACCCTGAAGATAGTAGAATTATATTCCTCTGAAACATAGTGAACTTCTACTGGTGTGTGTTGCATCACATCCCAAAAGACAAACNGTGCCTACTTGTGAACTGGGTCTTTGACACATGATTTGCTTTGCTTGCCACCTGCTTCTTATTGTATACTTGTGTTAGTCTTTGACCCTGAAGATAGTAGAATTATATTCCTCTGAAACATAGTGAACTTCTACTGGTGTGTGTTGCATCACATCCCAAAAGACAAAACTCTTCATAGTCTCTAACATTAGAACCTAGAAACCAACTTAGAAGAATTGTGTAAAAGTACCATCTGACATGTAAGTCTGATTGCAAATTAAATTGCTATTAATATGGAAGGGAAAATATATGTGCAGTAAATTGTGCAGGTAAGATATATATCTCCTCGTGTAAGTGTACCTATGTGACTGCATGTTGCTCATATGCTGAGCTTCCAGTCTTTACCTATACAGACTTTCTGTAGGTTTCATTTAAACATTTTAACTAGCCTAACTAGTTTCAAAATTTATACCAAACTCAGCGAGAATATTCTACAGTCCTTCTGATTGAATCATGGGCTTTATTATAGACTTTGTACGAAGACACTCTGGTTTTAATGAATATAATTACCCTGCTGCATAGCAAACAACGTAAGCAAAAATACAGAAAACAGCAGTTTCCTGATCCATAATTTTTGTCACTTGATGGTGACCACAGTGGTCAAAAATGCAGTGTAAAACTTTAAAGTAAATGCTTTAAGATTTTTAGAACTTTAATGTTGCGCATGAGACTGTGGAACTAATTGATACTAAGTGAAAAGTGCAGGAGGATGCTACAATACAATATTATTGTACTGCATCTGCTAAGGATATTCCCTCTCTTTTGGCATTGTGCTGTTTCTTTTGTGGGCAAAGTTAATGTAGCCATGTAACTAGAGTTTTTATTTGCTCTCTTACAAAGTACAAGACACAATTTGTGTTGGATAAGTGAATAAATTAGGCAGAACTCATAGATGGTGCTTTTCGTTCTGTTTAGGGAGACGATGCTGCAAGCACTGAGAGGCGTCATCACTCCAGCTGGAGACAAAATGACAGAACCTCTTCGCAAAGCTGTATATGTCACTCTGACAGGAATGCTGGGTCACCCAGAAGATATCACGCGGGCTGCAGTAGCCGGCTGTTTGGGTGCACTTTGTCGCTGGCTGTCACCAGAACAACTTCATGCTACCCTTACTGATCATCTCCTTTGTGAGTTTTATTCATCATTTCAAGGAGTGTGAGAGAACACACCGAACCAGAGTACAGAATTTAGTACTAGATTAATCCCTTGTGTGATGTACTTGTATGTGAATGTTTCACACATATACTCAGAAATTTTTGGTATATTTATTTTACTGAAAATTTAAATTCAGAATCATCTTTATGAAAATGTTACTTGCTCAGATCAGTATTTGCTCCCAGCCAGACACCACTTTAAGCTTTGCCTTGTGCTTCAGCTCACTATCAGTTACCCAGCATTCTTGTTGTACCAGCCACATCACTATTGCCCATGCAGTCATTGTGTGGTTTCAAAATGTTATAGATCATTGTCTGATAATAGCTTGTGGTAAGCTGAGTGAGGCAATAGAAAGTATTGTGGACTTGGGTGAATGTTTTGTTGCTGTAGTCAGTTCATAGTATATACAGAGTGCATGGAAACAGTAACAGAGACAGATGTTGGTACATTCATTTCTTTCTGGCTTACATGCTGGGGACAGCCTTGCATGGCATGCATGATGTTTCTTGTAACTTCATCTTCGGGGTCAGTTCTTCTGACCTGAAGATGGAAGCAGCACATTCCTTGAAAACGGTGGTAATGATGTAGCAAACAGATGGCAGGGCTGTGGCGATGCTGCTTCTGAAGTAGTGTTATGAAATATATGTTTGAAAGTGATTTCAGGAGAAAAGCAAATGAATAGTAAATCCCCCCCCCACACACACACACACAAACATTAGAATGCTATTTTCTGTAAGTCTAATTTCTAAGTATTCATGCCTCTGGTATGTTCAGTCTGACATCATCTGGTTTCTTGCATGCTGACTGCAGAATGTCATGGCCCATCTCAGTTGTTCATTGCAAGTAGGGATGTCATTGTTATTCTGCATTTTTATAATCCACAGATGATGACCTGCCTTTGGACTGGACATTACGCCATGGCCGCAGTGCCGCTCTTTCGGTTGCTCTCAAAGAAGCAGCTCCACATGTGTACACAGATGATTACAAGGACAAGATATGTAGAGTTCTGCTGGCTCATCTTATGGCAGACAGGGTATGTTTGTCTGTAGCAGATCATTGAGGTGTTTAATAATTTCAAGCTAAAGTCTGTGTAACTTCATAATATTATATTTCAGCAACCTGTTGCAGTGAGGTATCATTCTTATTGTTCAAGTACACCGTCAATAATGCAACAATGATACAAAAGACACCTAAAATATTTATTTCTTCACTAAAAGTGTAACTTTAATACTTTAAAATGTTATTAAATATCAAAAAATGTCATTAAGAAACTGCAAGTATATCTTCTGCACTAAAAGTAACTATCAAAATACTTCAAAATGTCTTTTTGTTTTACATAATGTTTTTTTCAAATTTTGCAAAATGTTTGGGCTGCATATGGGCCATCATCAGGCAACTTTTAACTGGAGGGGAGACGACTGCCCTGTCCACTTGTCTTTCGTGCTCACATGCATGTTGTCGTTTTGTTGCTGTATATCATATCTAGAATACTGTCATTGTATTCTTTTTTTCAGCCATCATAGTTTTTGTATGTCATTTTTCCCTGTATATGTGTTTTTGATGTGGTCTCGCATAAGAGGTGGTTTACTGTGGTAAGGAGTCAGTTTATGTCTCAAGGGAGAGGGAAGGACAGTTTTATGTTTGGTAAGAATTTTCCATATCTTCCTCTCAATTTGAGATGTGGGATCCTTGTGTAGCATTATATCCCGTCATTATATCTCCTCTGTCCACCATTTCTAAACTTTGGTACGCACTCATGATCAAGACTCCTATATCTTGGATCATCCTGAAGATCTTCCTGCCCATCTTTAAATAATTTAAACCATTACCATTCAGAAACCTGTGTACAACAGAGAACGTTGTTGCCATGAGCCTGTTTTATCAGCTGGAAAGTTTCTGTAGCTGTTTTTGAAATAAAACTTAATGTTCACTCTTTGCTTCATCAATATGAACAGTCGGCGATCTGCACGGTACAGCATCTTAAACACATGGGCATGAATAGCAAGAGATTATTAGTGACTGACCTTGTACAGGGAACAGGATGAAAGAGTCAGCTTACATGGACCAATTGTAGCATGTTCCCACATGCTTTTAAATGAGCATAATGGACTCAGTCCTTGAGTTTATTTGTCAGACCTTGTATATGGGAGTGAAACATGGTCAGTTACTTGAATGGGAAAACAGGCTGAGTGTGTTTCACAGCAGCTCATAGGATAATACTTGTATCTAAGAGACAGGAAACAAGAGGAAGAAGATGAAAATCATGTGCTTCTGAGGTTTGAGGATGTGAAGTAAATCCATCTGGCTCAGAATAATGCTGAGTGGTGAGCTTTTCTTAACAGTAATACAATTTTATGTTCAATGAAGGATGGCTTTCTTGACCAGCTGAGCAGTTATATAAGTGTTTCAGTTTGTAATTACATGCACTGCCCCCATTGAAAGATGAAATCAGTAATTTGTTCTTCAGTTTTACTGTGATCTTATTGTCCTGTGAGTTTCAAGGTATACTTTGGTTTGTATCTTAATGTACTGCATGACAGAAACTTCTTGTCTTTCATTCTCAGTTGTTTTTGTGTAGGTACCGATTGCAATGAATGGAGTCCGAGGGTGTGGGTACCTTTTCCAACATTTAATGCTAGCAAGCCAATCCCTGCCACAGCAGCTCCTGACTCCTTTCATCAGGGTAAGTAAATGTAGTTTGAATTATGCAATTAATTTCCTCAGTTCAAGGTTTCTGTATGTTTGCATTCATACTAAACTCAAATGTCGATTTAATGGCCTATTTCTTATTAAAGTAAAGCTGGAAGCATGTGTTTGCCATTGTATGTTTTGAAGGGGGAGGGAGGAAATTTTTCATATGATTATTATTAAATTGTGGTTTTGGTTTTGTTTTCTATGCAGTATCTTAAAATGGCCACAGATAGTTTACATATGTAAACTATATAGTGATAGTTCTTGTTATCAAATTTGTATCCCTTCAGAACTGTTCCAAAACCTTCATTTCCTGCATATAAGACAGACTTTATGATCTGAAAAGACACAGTTGTGAAAGAGTTCTTGTTTCCTCAAAAGAGGTTCTAGACTCCGTAAGGATTATGATTTTGATGATTGATTGCTCAGATTTCATATTTCAGAGGTCCTATATTTAAATTTTTCTTGAAGACTGTCTGTGTGGATTGGATTTTACTGGTTTTCTCAGCCAAGAACATTGATACCTTCAAACAGACCATGACTGCTTTGTTCGACATCCTACTGTCTGACACCATGCAACCAATGTAGTTGAAAATATGTTGTTAATCTAAACTTACCAGCAAAGAATAGCGTTACTGGTTGCTGTATGATCGAACACCTGTGTTGTTGTTCACAGTAAAAATGTAATTTGAACACACATTGTTACAAAATACTCAAAACTATCTGTACAAAAAATCTAGGTAACAGTGATTCAGTGGTTGCTCCCTTTATTTAGTCAGCAGTGTAAAATGTGGCCAAGTTCAAATATTTGGGAAAAATAGTAACAAGTAAAAATTTGATTCAGGAGGAAACTAAAGAGGAGATTGAATTCAGGTGATGCTTGCTACTGGAATATACAAAACTATAATATTTTCTGTGGTTTAGTATGAGTGAGAACTTTGTCTCTGACATTAAGGGAGAAACATGGACTAAGGGTGTTTGAGAACAGGGTGCTGAGGAGAATATTTGGACCAAAGAGAGCTGAAGTGACAGGAGGTTGGAGAAAACTGCATAATGAGGAGCTTCATAACTTGTACTCTTCTCCAGTTTAATTAGAATGATCAAGTCAAGGAGGATGATATGGGCAGAGCATGTAGCATGCATGGGGAGAAGAGGAATGCATATAGGTTTTTGGTGGGAAATCCAGAAGGAAGAAGACCACTAGAAATACCTCCACATTGGTGGGAGGATAATATAAAAATGAATCTTAGAAAAATAGTATGGCTTGGCATGGACTGGATTCATCTGGCTTAGGATTGTGACCAGTGCAGGGCTCTTGTGAACATGGTAATGAACTGTCAGGTTGCATAAAATGTTGGGAATTTCTTGAGTAGCTGAGTGACTGATGGCTTCTCGACAAGGACTCAGCTGCATGAGTTAGTGTCATTCTTGTTGCTTTCTGGAGTATAGGTGCTCTGAGATGTCATGTGGCTGTGCTTGTGATTTGAATTGCAGTCCATGAACCACAGCAGCAATGAGGTAAAACAGCTTTTGGCAAGAGTGTGTTCCATGTTGGCCAAGACAGTGCCACCACAGCTTATGGCGCCTGAACTTCTTCGTCTGCTCATTCCTATGTTGGTAAATGGTACCAAGGAGAAAAATTCATATGTGAAGGCCAACAGTGAGTTTGCCCTGGTGTCAGTTCTAAGGCTTCGGCAAGGAGATGATACTCAGCAGGTCAGTTGACCCCTGTTGTTGTTATTGTTTGTGTGTATGTATGGCTGAGGGTAGTCCCATGGTACTGCAGCCATAAATGGATGATGATAGACACGAAGAATGCTGACTGGCAAAAGAGAATCAGGGGACTTGCAAAAGAACCTGTTCCAGGATTGAAGAGTTCTATCTTCTGGGATATAACACCATGTAGTCTGTTGAAAGCAACTGACATTTCAAAGGAGCATGTCACATTCTAGGAGATATTGGGTTTTCGGGCTTTATCCATCATCCTGGTTTTAAGATAACTAAGAAAAACACGACGTTTCAGAAACTGGATCTGTTTCCATCCTCAGGTGAGGAAAAACACCTATTCTGTTGGGTCAGTCAGAAAGAGCTAGCCTCAATCACTGGTCTTAGTTATCTTAAAACCAGGACGATGGATAAAGTCCAAAAACCCAATATCTCTGTGTGTTATACACCATCGTCAGAATCCTATAGTAAGTACATGTCACATTCTTCTTTAGGGCCAAAGAGTATACCAAGCAAGAAACCAGCAGGAAGCAAATAGAAGGCCCTGCAAGTAGAGCCAACTGCTTCATACTGGTTTCTTGCTTGTCTTATTCTCTGGCCCTGAAAATGGAGGCATGTTCCTCTGAAATGTTGGTTGACTTTCGATAGACTACAAGGTGTTACATCCCGTAAGATATAACTTAATAACAAACACAGAGGAAACCTGAAATCTTACTGTTCCATTATTACTTTGTCCATCAAAAGACCGACATGGACTGCCCTCAGATTAACTGCACCCCAGCCTTTGCACTGGAGTGCTGTTGTTTAACTGCCTGACCTGGTCGGCCATTAACTCTCACAGTCACAAAACACATGTAACATGGTGAAAATTACTGTGGTTGAGATTAAACTAAACTTCTGTTTCAGCGCTGTATGAACCTGTTGGATATTGGTGCCCGTGAGTCCCTCAGTGATGTGATCAGCAAAGTTTTGCGTAAAGTGGCGAACCAGCCAGAGGGCAAGGATGAGGATCTTGACGACACGCTACTGACATGATCAGTTGTAGTCCAGGAGTGGGAACTGTGCCAGATGCTGGTGCTTTGTCAGGATGATTATACTGTGCTGCAGGGTTCATCACAGACATGCTGTGACATTGACTGTAGTCTGACAGAGAACAGAGATCAGTGTCATTGTTTATCTATAGAGCTAGCAAGTCAGTCCCACAATACATGCGAGGCATTGAATTCTGTAGTTAAATTATTATTGTGTATGTGTAAACATAATGTTTCATGAGCTGGGGCACTTCTGAGTAATTCATCTTTGTGTTGCTTCGTTTGATGTACATTCTGTGGGATGATGGTATACCTGATCTCTATGCCATGCCTGTGTCTCATTCTTTCTCCATGCATATTGCAACCTTCCTGTAGTTCCTAAGAGGGAGTTCAACATGTATTGTGTGTTACACTTTTGCAGGTGAAACATACATAGGAACCAGTCACCTTTTGATAGAACTATTCATGTAGTGTTCTTATACGTTAACCCAGTAGGACTCCATTTTATGAGGCAAAATCGGGCATTTGACTTGTCGAGGTTGAATTCCTCAGAAGTGCCCCAAGAAATACTATCTTTTGTGTTATGTGAAAGTTTTGCGTGTGTTCTTTTCTGTACCAGGCATCTCTTGTAACAGTTCACTTCTCTCAAGGAATACATGAAAGCTGTTGATGTACATTATATTACTGGATGTCACTTCACAAGTGTGTGAGATCTTTTTATGTATATGTGTTGTACAGGCCAGGAACATAGAAATATGTTGTTGCTTATAGTTTAATTTTTATTGTCAGAACTTTACATACTGAAACAGTTCCTTCCTTACCTTGTGCCGAGAGTCATGACACATAAGTTCTGTGGCTGGACATGGTAAACACATTGATTTGATTTATTTTTGTCTCAGAAAATGTGGGCACTGAATTCATTATGAGAAGTTGTAACAGATGACTAGTATTTATATGAGTATAATTGAATTCACTGGCTCTGAATTTGACCTTCAGTTTTTTAATGGGAAGTCACTGTCATGATTTGACCGCATTGTATATGCATGGCCATTGTACTGGTTGCTACTGTGCAGTCAGCTCATGGTCAGCACTGTCATGTCATGGTATTACAGTTTGATCTTAGTTTAATGCTGGCAAGTCAGTTTAGTTAAGTTTGTTTTATTCAGTTTTAATAACCAACAGTAACGATATCAGATTCCAGCTGACATGGTGTCCTAGTTTGTTCCCTTGTGGTGACAGTAGGTTGGATGTGTTCAACATTATTTTGTTAAATGGCCTGAAATGTATGCAAATAAATAAACATATTTCATTGCTTTGAAGTTGTAAGTGGCCAGGCCTCTGGTTTTATTCTGATGATTGATGATTTTCTAGTTGAGACAGAAGAGGAGAGCAACCGGTGACCAGGCTGGTGATAATGTTTAATGTCTGCTATCAAGTATGCAGGTCTCAGCCACTGTACTGGGGAATTAGAAGTCACATGTTGGAAGTTTGGGATTCTAGGGGCTAGTTGACAAGTCTGTAAATTCAGGAGCTGTAAAACAATTTAGAACTTGTTTCTTGAGGACTTTCTTCCTTTGAGAAGTTAGCTGTAGGACAGTCAGTGGAGTTCATGGATGCCATACATGTCAAATGCATGTCCCTCCAGCTGTTACACAAATTTAACATCTAGGCAATATGTAATTTATAAATTAACAAGTGAAGGTACCTATTCATTGCCCAGGATATGGTTATTTTGCTTGGGGATATCACATTGTACAGTAAACAAAAGTAAAAAAGAAACAGTAACACCCACATTAAGAAACTGAATTGTATGTAATTAAGAAGAGAGATCAGATATGAGAATTTACCACATATCCAGAAACTTTGCAGCAATATTTCCATACTGCTTTAACCTTTTGAAGCCTGAAATTCATCTAAATGAAATTTCAAGATTCAGTTTGTACATCACAGAAAACATACCATATCCCTATTACAAATACTTATCTTTTAACGCTGTTCGGGAAAGTAATCACTTTCTATACTAAAGATCGTCTGAAACCCTTAAATACACACAGGAACCCAAAAAGAAAACAAATTTACTGACAACAGATTAAGCAGCATGGTGACAGGTTAGATTTGGGTGGTGACCACACACCTTGACTCCCCTGCTGCTGCATAACACACCGATAGGATGAGGCATTGATCTGACAAACTGGTATAAATATCAGTGACATGGTTATTCTCCACATAGACCCTGATGATGGAGACCGAGGAGATCTCTGAAATGGTTTTTAAATGAACATTGACATGGCTGATCATCTGAGAAGATTTTAACCATTTATTTGCTTGTGAAAGCTTCAAATCTTACGTGATTGGTGTAGAATTATTGTTCACATGAGGTGCCTCTTGTAACTTCAGCCCATCAGTCAGCTTTTGGCCACATTACTGTGATCAGGGTCTCTTATTGAGCATTCTTTAGTCCTCAGAATTTGTACTGTTGTGACAAGAAGAAATTATATTCTGGTCACAGTAAAACTTTGTACTGCTTTTGTCTCATAGCATAACAAGGTTAGGCAGTTAGTTTCTCTGAAGGTGGTCTCCTGCCCCTTCAACAGCGAACATGAGAATAGTTTTATCTCTGTCACATTGCCACTGCTGGCATAATGGCTCTAGCAGGACAGTGTCTTCTGATGTTCGTCTGTGTCTCCTCGCTCCACTTCAACAACAGACAAATGAGAATAATTTTATTTCCTGCTCCTCACAGTGGTGCCCCCAGCCCTCACTGATCAACCTGTGAGAACATTTAATTTATTTGTATCTTCATTTTGACGTACACAGAGCTGACAAGAACACAAAGAAGTGTGAATGGCATATTGACAAAATGATCACATGAACAAGAGTGATGGAATAAGATCCTTTCCTAGGACAGTCATCTTGGTAGGATCAGTGTTCATAAATAGCCCAAAACATAAGAGGTCTGTAGTGAGCAGTGGAGAGAGTTACAGTGTCAACTGCTATAGGCTGGCTCTAAATAAAAAGGTATTGTGGCAACAATGAGTTAATGGATGTCCAACTGGACTTTGGCCATCCGGTGCAATAATATGACATACAGCTAATAAAGTTTAAAACAGATTGTACATTATAATACCTGTGGGTGTTCTATTTTAGGTCCACAGCAGAAAGCTAGGAGATTACTTCCCATTATAACAACCACCATCATCTCACTGGACAGGAGCTTTACTAGTTGGATGAGCAACTCATGATTGCTGTAATTGGTAACCTGTATCTGCAGTTTGATATATGTTGGTAGCATTAATATACATGGCTGAAATAGGGGTATCACGGATAGAATTGGAGCAGTGGCAGCACAACAGGTATTCTTGACAAGTGAAACAGTTTGGCCTTTCAGGTAGCAAATGAAAGCATAATGGAACTTCTCCCAAAACTACAGTACATTTCATTTATACTGTCATGCAGTAGTGAACTGTATTTATTGGACACTTATAACTTGTAATTACGAATGCTTCATTAATTTACCCACTCTGTAAATCATTCCAACTACCACAAGCAGATCACCATTCTCATCCTTCACTAAGTTACTTTTAGGTTGGTAACCCCTCTTAAAGTAATTTATTCCTCTATACAGGTCTCTAATGTTCTTGTTGCAAGCTCATCAATTTTATCTTTAAGATATCCCCTCTTTTTATTCCTGAAGTGCCTGCTGGTTTCATGTCCTTTATTGTTCAGATTAACCCCATATATTTTGCTTGTATCCTGTAACCATTGTAATGTGGCTTGTTATCTTTGGTCTAATAATTTCAAGCATCCTTTGTTGAACCATGGCTTATGCTTATTCAGTTCAAAATAACCTAGGCTCTCCTTGGCAGATTATTTGATATTCTCTGTAATAGTTTTCCAAGCTTTATTAACATCCGTCTCAGTGCCCGAGTTTTCCAAAGCCGCAAACCTATATGAGATTTCAACACAATACTGCTTTTTACCCTCTACCTTGTTTAATTTCTTGAGATTGAACCTCTCCATATGAACTCTGTGTGTTGTTTACTCACTGCCAGTCTTTCCCTAATCTTTGCCACCACCAGGTAGTGGTCAGTATCACAATTTGCTGCCCTGAATGATCGGACATAAAGTATACTTGAATGCCATCTCCCGTCTATCAAAATATGGTCGATTTGATTGTGTATCTTCCCATCAGGAGATGTCAAGTAAATTTATGAATGTAGTGGGATGTGGGAACATTGTACTTTTGACAGTAAGATTTTTTGGTGTGGCAAAGTTTACTACTCTAACTCCATTATCTTTACTAATTGAATGCAAACTCTCATTCCCAATTGGTGGTTTGAAAATGTCTTCCCTCCCTACTTTGGCATTTAACTCTCCTAACAAAATTTTCATGTGGTACTTCGGGAATTTATCAGATGCATGTTCTAGTTCTTCGTAGAACCTGTCCTTTACATCATCAATTTTTTCATACCAGCGATCTCTAGTATTATATATGACATCCTATCACAAACGAACTTTACCCTCTTAACTGCTGATATGATTCTCTTATGTATGAAGAAACCTGTACCTAATTCATGATTTTTATTCCCCTTTCCATAGAAAAATGTATATTTGCCTGCTACTTCAGTGCCACCTCTGTCCCATCTGACCTCCTTTACTCCCACTAAATCTAACTTATATTTTGAGATTTCTTCCACCACTGCCCTGAGGGAACCTGCCCTATATATACTTCTAACATTCCAAGTACCAAATCTCAAATCCATTTTCTTTCACCTAGATCGTTTATCCACAGAATCCGTCCAGTTCTGAGGCTTCTTGAACATTTTTTGTAACAAGCTTATTTTTTAAGGTAGGAGTTGTTAGTCCCACACCCAACCCCCAAGCTGGAGGACCACCCCTTGTCAGCTGTCTGCAACTACTTATTCAATATATTTGCAGCTTCCTTCCATACCTGGAGAGTGTCCCCTCCATCTTCAACCTGAGGATGTGCCATGCCATGGTGATAAGGGACCCATGTAAAATGGACTGAAATACAGTATGTGAACTAAACATAACTCTCTTTTCACAGCTCCTGAGGTGACCAAGCAAGAAGTTGCTCTGTTCCTGAGACATATCACCAACTGAATATCTTCTTACATTCCCTGATTTAATTAAAATTGTCTCCAATTTGAATAACATCTGACTGTGTTAGTCACAGTGCTTACCAGGTAAGAGAATAAAGAATAGCTTGATTGACCATCTTGCAGCTTTATATGTGACTTGACATCTGTCTGGTATGACAGTTAAGACAAATGTGGAAAATCTGATACATATAACAAATTGTATCCTGTCCAGGTCACTCATACAATTATTATTGCATAAAGAAATATGAGGTTGTTGAGATCCAATTCTAACATCTGCTTCAAACATTGACTTCATTAATGGCCAGTCACCACTTGGCCATAAGAATTTGTTTAGCAGCGTGAAAAATGTGTGGAATCTATCAGCCGTTAAAAAATGGTGTGACTGACTTTGGGTTAATGGCAGAATGGAATTCATTGATGTTATGCAATGCTTTGCTTCAACAGGAGAAGTGAGTGTTTACAATGTGGATGTACAGTGAAATCGCAATTCAGTGAGTAAAGCTTGTAACATTAACTTCATTATAACGAGAAATAGTATACCATCAGTTTGTTAATGTCACATATATGGAAAAAATTCCTGTATAAAACAAGGGCGTTTCTTCAGCACTTTCTTCATCAGATGCAGCTTCTAGCCACCCACATCTTCCTTTCTGCAACTTTTTGCCCAAACTTTAATTTCAGGTTTGCTCCCCAAGCTATTTGTAGCTGATGGTCCTTTGCAACTGAGGAATAATCAGATAATTCTAAAGACATTGATAATGTTGAATTATTCTTCAGTACTTTCCTGACCATGTGATACCACTTCAAAAGGAAATGCATCGCATAATGCATGTAACATGCTTCAAAGAGAAGAGAAATGCATACAGGGCTTTGATGATTAAGCCAGAAGGAAGGAGACTCCTAGATGTAATTGGTATGATAATATACAGGGTGTCCCAGGTGTTTGGTGCCACACTTCAGGAGCGTACTGAGGGTTCCCTATAGAACAACTTTGAAATAGGAATCCATTTCCGCAGATGTAAAATAGCAGTGCTATGGTGGCATTTAATATAATTTTGTTTAAACTTGGTGCCCCAATGTCGAAGAGCATGCACAGGCATATTACCCCCTCCAAACTCTTTAAGACTCACCTGCTAGAGTAGATGTTGAATTGGCGCCCTCCATTTTCAATGCATGCGTTACATCGACGAAAGAAACTTTGGCGCACCCTTTCAAATATTCCAGGTGTCTCACGGATCACGTCACATGCAACAAGTATTCTGGCCAACAGCTCAAATTCATTATCCACAGACGTGTCGTAGATCAGGCTTTTCACATGGTCCCAGACGAAATAGTCCAGAGGTGTCAAGTCTGGGGATCAGGGTGGCCAAGGCACTGGGCCGCCTCTTCCTATCCAGTGACCATGAAAAGCAGCATCCAGGTAGCCTCGTGATACAATGCTGAAGTGTGCTGGCGCTCCGTGATGCTGTATCCACATTTGCCTCCACACAATCAGTGGCACGTCTTCTAGCGAAGTCTGAAGGATTTTTTTATTGCTAGTGGGGTGGGACTAAGTCCCTTGTACTGCGGCCACTTCTGGCCTATTGTACCAGTCCCAGATGATATGTGAGGGTGATTGTGGAGCAATTGACGGAATGAAGATTGGCAGGAGAAACCGAAGTACTCAAAGAAAACCTGCCCCAGTGTCACTTTGTCCACCACAAATCCTGCTTGATCGAACCCGGGCCACTGTGGTGGGAAGCCAGCATCTAACCACTTGAGCTATGGCGTGGCCCTTTGTTTGAAGGCCCAGTCAAGTGATCACCAATGATGCCCACCCAGACATTGACAGAAAATTGCGCCTGGTGGTAACCAACTACAGTAAGGTTGGGGTTTTCGTCAACCCAAACGTGGCTGTTTTGACAGTTGAACCAGCCATCCCTTGTAAACTGCTCTTCGTCTGTGAATAACACATGATTCAGGAAGTTGGGCTGATGTAAACATTGGTTCAGTATCCACTGACAAAATTGAATTCGTGGTGCGAAGTCAGCTGGACCTATGTTGTGTACTCACGTTGGATGATATGGATAAAGTTGTTGGTTGTACAGGATCCTCCAAACACTTGATTTTGATGTCCCCACAATCTTGGTAATGGCACGGGTACTGGTGGATGGCTGTTCCTCTATGCAATGCAGTACTGCCTCTTCTACATCAACGGTTTGAGCATATCTTGAGCATCCCGCATGATTTTGTGGATTTTGTCCCTGATAGGGACCAGTGGCAGGCTCTTGTGAACATGGTAATGACCCTTCATGTTCCATAAAATGATTCTAAATCTTAAGTTGCTGAGCAACTGGCGGCTTCTCAAGAAGGCCTGAGCCCCATGGAGTTTAGTCAGTCAGTGTAATTCTGGCATGTTAGTGCTGTTATTGCCTGCAGACTATGAGCAAGCTATATATATGGCCTTCACTGGATTTTTGGCAGAAAAGAATTAAAAAGGAAGGAAGTGTACCACATATTAATAGCAAAAATAAAAGTTATTTATTAGCAAATTAGCAGAAACAGTCGTAAATAACTTATATGTATGTATGTAAACAAATTTTCTGGCTGCTTCTCCGTGAAAAACATCTTGGTAGTGTCTGTGTTGCAGACGCCACAAAATCTATTTTGTTTGATCATCTCAAAGACTGTAAGAATTGTAGGAAGATTTGGTTTCATTTATCTACAGTTCTGCAACAATTTTAATTCTGATGAATATAACATGTGTTAGTTTTGTGTGAAAAGTGTGCAGGAATCCATCTTGGTCTTCAGTAAACGTTCTTTACTGTTGTCCAAGTTCAACTAAAATTGACATATGTATACAAATTTTAGTAAAATCACCAATACTGACTGCACAGAAATCCATTCAGCATTTCTTGATTTGTTACATGCAGACAAATGTACGTTGTAAAGCTGATATGTGAATTTTCATAACTTCTCACTGCCAATGTGCCAGTAACAAATATTGGCATGCTTGCATTATTTTTTAAACTTTAGCATGATATAGTGTACATAATCAGAGGTTGGGCTTCAAGATTATGTATATCAACCATTTTGGATATTATGAGTATTTATTATAATAAACGTTTGTATACATTTTGTAAGTTCTCATTATATCAAGCATTGTATCTTTCATTTTAGTATCACATATTAGGGGTTTTCATGATTTATAAAATGGGGTTTGGATTAGATGATCAAATTTATTGGACCTTCATACAACTTCCTGCAACATTTCACAAATTACTATCTTCGACAGGACACTTTCGACTTCTGACCTCACTACATTAAGCCACTACTCTCGCCATGCCTAGCAAAGTCAAAGTCAAATTGCGACTAACGGTCAGTCAGTCAGTAGATATTTATTACTCTTTGTTAGTTATGGTCTTGTTTTTGTGGAGCGCCCTCTCTCACGAGAGGACAGGTTTGTCTTTTGTATATGCTTCTGGCCCTTACCAGCGCAGTCTTTCTTGGGTCTGAGTCCCTTGGAACTTGTGACCATATATTATGGTCTCAGATCCAAGACTTCCCTTTTTGTCGCCTCCTGTGGTTATATAGCCTCGGGTCAGAGTTCACAGAAAACATGCCCATTGCCTAGCAATGGATGTCCTCTACTGTCACATATCATTGTATGCCTTGCCTATCAGCGGGGTATTTACCAAGAATCTGTATCCTGGGGAAGGTATTTATCGGGCTGTTGCCTAGCAATAGGTCTATATGTCACAGTATGTAGGCCTATAAAAATATATGTACAGTTTATTCACATTCTGAACACTTTCAGGCAAAGATAAGTTGGGATGGGTCAGTTGGTATACCAGTGCACTATAGGCTGAATGGCCTGGGTTTGATTCCCGGCTGTTTCCCTGGAGGTAAAGCAGCAGGGGCATGAAGCTGATCACACCTTCAACCACTGTCAAGCTCAAGAAAGGTGGAGCTATACCTCCACTCCCCCATATGTCTTCATGGCACAGTGCTCAACCAGTTAACCACAGGGACAACTTAACCTTTCATGCAAAGTAAGATCAGAATTTCAGCTGTAAAGAAAATGTGAAATCAGAAATGTCATTAATTATATTGCAGTGGTAGATCAGGGTCTTGTAAAAAGATGCTGACAAGCACAGTGGCTGCATTGTGTTGACTGGATGTTAGGCCTTGCAGTTGAAGTAGGGATGTGGCATGACTGGAAGCAGCAGATAGCACCCCAGCCTTCTCAGGAACAACTCGCTCATGAAACTTGAGAAGATGGTGTTTTAGAGTATCGAGATGAAATATGAGTATATCATGAAGAAAGGTTAGGTCATCTCTTGTGGCCAAACTTGCCAAGTGGCCCATCGTCAGACAGATCTGGAAGATAAGAAAATAAGAAAGTCGGAAGATTCACATGTTCAGTGTCAGTGTAATTCTGCACTCAGTCAGTTCTTACAAAATGTATTAAAAAAATGATCATGGTATGAAGAATGCTTCTCACTACAACTTCATCTAAAACGTTTTGCAGCATCCTTCATATTTTATGACATGAATGCTATTTGCACTTTCTCCTTGCTTCCTATCACAAGGCCTTCCCATTTCATCTTCTTTGACTTGGTCATTCAGGTAATATTTCATGAGGACCACAAGTTACAAAGCTCCTTGTTATGCAATTTTCTTCACCTTTCTATTATTTCATCCTTTTTGGGTCCTGTCCTCTAGCACCCTCAGTCTGTGCTCTTCCCTTAATATCAGAGACCTAGTTTCACACCCACACAAAACTACAGGCAAAACTATAGTTTTATTTTAATATTTACATTTTTAGACAGCTGACTAGAAGACACAAGGTTCTGAACTGAATGGCAGCAAGCATTACCCAAATTTGATTTGCTCTTCATTTCCTCATGAATCGAGTTTTGATGTTACTGTTACTGTTCTTCCCAAATATTTTAACTTTGGCACATTTTCAAAGGATCTGTCAAGAGCCTACCACAAAGCATCTCCAGGCCAACTACCAACTTCTGGCTGATTGGCAGAGCAAAGCAAGTGCTAGCCAATGAGCGTGGCCCACATTTCACTAGTCAGTGAATCGGAGTTACTCTTACTTCGCAACAGCATCTAGAGTGCACACAGCAATAGTGACCCTCCTAGCAGCAACGCTGTGAATCAACTCCGAAAGCAATCACCTCAACCCTTGGGAAGCCATCTGCCAGCTCGCAGTCACCCAACTTCAGAGGACCACTGCCACTTACGCAAGCCACCCCAATGTGTCCAGAGCTTCGCCGGCATTCATCAAGAATGTATGTGGTTGTCTCTCCAAATACCAGAAATGACATCCCACAGATCTATTACCTATTTTTATGTTATGATTTTTTCCTGCATTTTGATAATGAGATTTCAACATACACTTAGTTTTCTCTGCATTTACTTCTATGTAGATCAACCTCTTTAATAGTGTCTCTTAGAGATTCTGTGTTTTTCTTTATGTACTTGTATTTATATGAGGGCTATTCAGAAAATAACCTCCCATGAGCTTTTAGCAAAACAAGTAATACAAAAAAAATATTATATACAAAAATATGTACATATGCTACTTCTCAACATAGGCACCACCATAATTGAGGCTCTTGTCATATTGGGGAATAAGTTTCAGTATGCCTTTGTGAAGGAAGTCTGCCACCCATGAACTTAGCCACATTTTGTATTGTGAAACACTGTCCTATCTAATACTAGGTACTATGTACTAGATCTTTCTTCTTAGATGAGAAAAATATAATAAAAACTTTGTTACTCAGATTGAGGGAATGACTGAAGGCAGAATAAGGCCAAAGTTTACACAAGTTCATTGTATGTTACTCTCTGAGCTACAGGTGGGCCTGTAGTTAGTACAGTGCTCATCATTTTCTCTGGTGTTCAGTGTGTAAATCAGTAAACTGAAATAAGGGAAAGTTGGGTTATCTCGCACTGTATTCCTAAATGCTAAAATAATAGTTAAAATACAGTTACTGATTGTACCTGATCTAGAAGATTATCACAATGCTTGTATTCACTAAAATCTTCCATATTCTGTGAATTATCAAGTCCATTGAGTAAAGCAGTCCATGCAGTGATGTAGTAAGAGCCATACTGCTGTCTGCTTTGTGGAATCGACAGTGCTAAAGCAGCGCTGATCCGCACTTTAAAATTTCGAACATCCTGGACCAGGTTCATTATTGTAGTGAATACTGTGTTCTGAAATTAAAATGAAATAGCAAATAGAGTAAAATAAGGCATAACAGATAATACATGATCCCTTGCTGTGCTATGATGACTATGATGATGATGGAAGATAGGTTTATGGCATCATGAAATTCGGTACAAACAGCAAACAACTAGAGAGTCCTCCCATCTCTGCACTTCTGATTCTCTACCATCACTGATGTGAAGTTCTGAGGTATTCAGCTTTTGTCATGAAATTTTCTTCTGTGGAATGTAAAATATGGCAGATGCACATCTATATATGTTTTGTTCCATTGGATGGTGATACATAATGAACCACTGCAGCTAATGTCAAAACTAACTAGACAGAAAGTAAACATGAAATATTGCAGTCCTGGTGATTGCATGCACTCAGAAACAACATTCCATTGTTTGGACAGTCATGAAGATGGAGAAATCCACTGGTTGAACAGTGTGTGTAGAGGTGAAGCATGTCACTCTGCTTCTGGCTCTGTGCAGACCAAGTTGCTTGGTAACAGCTGCAGAGGACTATGGAGACTGATAAATGGTGTATACGAGGGGGTACCCAAAAGAAACCGAACTTATTTTTTTTTTAACTTATTTATTCAAATTTTAAGCACAAACCTTCAATCCCCTTCAAAGTACTCTCCACTTACACTAATACACTTGTCTAGTCTTTTATTCCATTTTTCAAAACATTGTCTAAATTCATCTTTTGAGATGCTTGACAGTGCCTCCGTCGTTTTTTTCCTTCACCTCAGCAACATCAGCAAAATGCTGAAAAAAAGTTTTGATCATTTCGGGACTCTTCTTTCAAAGCACAGCATGCTTCCAAACGACCTTGTTTTTGTTCAGCAGTCAGCAGTCGTGGCACAAATTTCGCAGCCACCCTTTTCATTCCCAAATCTTGTCAAAATTTGATGAACTGAGCTCCAAGTCACTCCCGACAGCTCCACAATTTCTTCAATGGTCTGTCGTCGATCTTCCTCGATGATTTCACGAATTTTTTCAACATTTTCATGTGTTTTCACACAAAACAGTTGTCACTATAAACTCTGCTGAAACTAGTCTTTACCTTCTGAAGCAACGGTAGTCAGCTTATCGACTCAGGAATGTTAGCTCTATGCGCTCATAGTGGCAAAACGCGGTACTACAAAAGCTCTGCACACAAAAAAAATTAGTTCGGTTTCTTTTGGGTACCCCATCGTAATTGTATAAAATGTGTGGAGGTAGGCACTGGCATTCCTTTATCTAAAATTCGTAGAAGGATACCCAAAGTGACTGATGTTTTGGAGAGAACACCATATTGCATAATGAATGAAGGAAAAGCAGCAGCTTCTGCTCCTAGCAAGACTAGAAAAGATACAAGAGGGTCAGGTGCAGTTACACAACAGCTGATCAGGAAATGCTTACAGTGCACAAATTAGTCTGTGTGAATGTACAAGCTTTATAGGGGGGCACACCTCATTACAGAGGCTGCTTTGAATGACTGGGTTCAGGTAGGTCTATAGATTACCAGACACAGTATTCTCTTGATTATCCATGTGCAGATTATGTGGGTCATGGTTTATCCATGCACCTGTTAGGAGTGTTAACACCCTGCAGAACACTTACTAAGCTAACTCAGTCCATCTATCTGTGCGTACAACTGACCAACTCAAGAACCACTAGTTATATTTTCATGAAATCTGAAATGTAATGTAGAAAGTAACAATTTCATGTACAAGACAAATGCACTTCTTATCAGCACTGATATTACATAGAACATCCATTTTCTTGAATCATAATCTTTTACATTGGTCAATGGCTGATTGGATGTTACCATGTGATACAAATATTCACATATTTTTAATTACCTGTTGCAGTAATTCCATGGACTAAAATGTGTTTAACTAGTTATTTTATACTAATTGCTTAACCTCATTCCAGACATGGCAAACTGGAGGATTTGGCGGCCATCTGCGGATCTGATAAAAACAACTGCAGCATCATCCAACACTTTGAAAGAGCAGGTAATATGAATTTAAAAATTCCTGTTTTTAACACTGAAAATGGTGACAAATCACTCTAACTGAATAAATCATTTTATGCATTTTCCTAGATACATTCTACACAACTTGAATGAGTTTCGTTAAAATCGACAGAGCCATTAAGCTTTACATCTTCACACCCGGTATTCCTTTAATATGAGTTGTCATATGTTTAAGGAACAATAAATTCCTTACAGAATTACACATACACCTCACCTGCCATGCAGAATTCTCCAAATATAAGGCACTGTTTCTCATTGTGTTTCCAATGGCATAGCATGCGTTCCATCTTACCTGAAATAAGAAATATCTCAGTAACAGCTCTATTCAATTATGGACATCTACATATTATGCTGCAGTGGACAATGAGAGCCCAAATCCAAACAGTATGGGCATGCTTACATGTCTAGAAGCACGAACGAAGAACCCGCCCTACAGATGGGAGCTGATGAAGTGACAGAAAGACATACATCTGCTATGTTGTATTTTAGCGTCCTGTTGCACTGATTCAAATTCATAATGTGTATATATTAACAGTCTTCAAGTGCTCACAATCCCATCTACCACTTTTACACTACATGTTTCGGCAGTATGCTGCCATCTTCAGGTGTATTGATCCGTCAACTATTTCACTGCTTGCCTTTATATGTCCATTTACAAATAATATTAAATTTGTATGCGTCCTTATATAATAATGAACTTTGTGTGTTTAAAACTTGTTAAAACCTATTATCTCGTACGTCATATTTTTAAATTTCATGTGTATTATTTATCATCCACATGGGGATCGTTCTCCTTATGTTTCTAATGTTGTGTCTATATTGTGTCTTATGATGTGTTCTACTCTTGTGGCTGCATGCGTTGTAACGTTGGATTCAAACATATTATTGTTTCTCTTGCTTTCTTGCTTGCTACTCTTACACAGTATGACAGTGGGAACTAATGATCCATGGTGTGATTTGTACTGTGAACATGCTAACAGCTTAAAATGGATAAAAACACCATATATATCATTCAAATTCATGATAAAGACCCATAGATTTGTAACCTTTAAAACGGTGGGGAAAAACTCATTTCCCAGTTTGGAAAATATGATACAGACCTCTTTTGACGTGATCCTGATGTGCGAAGCAAAAGCAAATATCAGACAGCTCTTGAAATTCGAGAATGAAAAATTATATCCAAATCAAGATTGAGATTTTTTCCTCAATACTTCAACACTCACAAATCTCTATCATTTGTCCTTTAAATTGATAGATCTTTTAAAATCAATAAGATTCACTCTATATAAATGTTAAGCTTCACTATAAATACTATGTACTATACCTTAAGTCAGTTCAAACACAAAGGATCATTGCACAGTCACAGACTAGGTTGCATTTGACACCTAGAGTTAACCTTAACACAATTATATACAATTTCTTTATTAAAACTGTCACAACATAACTATATTAAGATAAGTGCCAAGTTTGGCTCTGCTACATGTATATGTTGACTGCCTACTCTGTGAACATTTTATGATTTCCTACACATTGAGATGTTCAGTCAGAAGAGCTGGGACCTCCCCTGTCAAGTTGTACCACAGGGATCTGACCTGCTAGCAATACTGCACACCTGTTGCCTACAGATAATATGGTCTCTCTTCAGTTCATCTCAGTATGTGGTTGAAGAGGCACTGCGAAATGAGCTTACGTACTATATGCTGGTTGACCGTGATTCTGAGTCCCTGCTACTGTATTTGACCTGTGTGATATGCATTTTCCCAGTTATGCCATTTCCTATGTTGATATGCCATGCATGATTACATATTGGAACAAAGTATGTTCATGTATGTTACCGAAAAGTGACTCTGTAACAAAAGTAAAGAGAAAATTCTGGTCCAAATTTTGGGATGTCACAGCTTCACACAGAAGAACTACCACAGAATCATAAATAAATAATAACAGGAATCTGCTGCGGTACCTTCATGTTATTTCCTGTTGTAGCATTTCGCACCAGTGCAGTTATAGCTTTATCATTAAATTCTCTAAAATTACTTTTGTTCATCATCTCTTCTGTGATTAGTCTTACAAAGTTTCCCACTGCCCTCACTGCAGAGGATCGTACCTGAAAAGAAGGAAAGGAATTTTATATGCCATGTCAGCAGTAAGATCGGAAGTCATTATTACATGTAGGATTTGAGGTTCTCACAGCAGTGGTTATGAAGATTTCTGTCTCCTGGAATATAACTGTGTGCAGTCTGGTCAAAATCAACCAGTGCTTAAGAGGAAAATTTAATTTCCATCTTCACGGCTGAACAATAAGCCAAGGAAAAACCAGCATGAAGAAATGAAATATTGGTTGCTCTTCACTGGGCTATACAGAGTTATATCCCTGAAAATATAACCCTTCATTAATACATGATCAATACATTGACACCATCTTATTTTATAGGCTGACACAGATTATTTTGTGAATCAACAGAATAAATGTAAAGTCTGTACAGTATTAAACTCAATATCTAGGGCTGCCAGATCTTTCAACTTCAAAATTTCAGGCCACTGTGGGTTTGAAGTGAGAAAGTTAAACAAGAAGTAACACCGATCCATCTCTGCCCTGTGACCAGTCAGATAAGTGACCATTCATATTCAAGACAGAACCATCTCAAATGAGGTTCCACTAAGAATCTGCTGTCAAGAAGGCATACAAATTTAACAATTTGAGTGCACAGTAGGATGAGTTATCAAGGAATACTCTCGGAGGATGATGTACATTGTGAGAAATATGCAAACTGGGACTTTGCTGCAGAGGAGGAGAGTCCATTCTCCAGAGCTGGGTGTGACAGATGATTTACAGAATCTTCCAGTCAGCATTAATTTTACCAGTGTTTCGAGAACTGCAGAAAATGATGATACTCTAAATGTATAACGATATAATGCATGGTCTAAGCCGCATACGATCTCAGACTGCTTGAACACTGAGATCACAGGTCAAAATTTCACTTGAGGCACAGGTATAAATGTGGGTTTTTGGGTGTTGTGTAGTACAGCTATTGCAATGGGCTGTTTCTCCAATAAAGGTGCCTTAACAAATATACAAAAGACTGATATATTAAGAACTAATTCTGAATCACAGCATGACAGAGCCTGATTCATGCAAGTTGGAAGAACATTTACATTATTTTACCTTATCATTATCACGAGTGACTTTAATACTTGTTTCCATCAGTTTCAGAAGAAGTTCCGTGGGAATATCTTCAATGTCATCAGCCATCCTGGAAACATTTACCATCTTGTAGATGCATATTCTATAATCCAGATTATACAAACAACTTTTTTTTTTAATTCATAATGTGTGGAAATTATAAATGTAGGTTTTACAATATGGTTTGTGGAGCTTTACAGTTATGTAAGAATGTACAGCACAGTTAGGTCACACAACTCATTTGATACTACATAATATCTTATTCTGACAAATTGTTCAATAATCTATTACTGATTTGACCTTACTGTTGTAATGCAGTTTCAGAGTTTAGACATTAGAAATACTGTATATGGTATCAAATGTCAATGAAGGAATACAGAATGTCTGTTTGGAAGGAACTGAGACAGTACAACACAGCCTGTGTCTCAAGGGTTCCACTTCATGTATTCACAATCCAATCATAACATCTGGTACTGAAAAATACAGGTGTATGTATAATTTAAGTAGGGGCTTGGAAAGAGTATTAAAATCCCAGTGTTCCAAATTTGATATATTACCCAAGAAAGAAAGATTACTTACACATTTATCATTTGTAAATGGAGTCTTACAACTTTGTTACAAGCCTCAACATAAACCTATGCATATAACTCTTAATTGACTTAAAATGTTAATACTGCATAAGGAAAACTGAACAGTGTACATACGAATTGAGAACCAGGGCTTCACTCAGATTGCCAAGAGACCATGAAGCTTTCATTCGCACCAATAATGACTCATCATGAAGTGTCCTGATCACACAATCAGATGTATCAATAATGAAGTGAATATCCTGAAAGAAATATTGGAGTCACCCAGGCTTCTTACCATATTAGATAATGTGAAGGATTTATGTACAGTAATTTGGTATAGGAGGAACAGGAAACAAAATGACAATAAGGGTGTACACAGAGCTTCTCTGCACACTGTATCTACCTTGTGAAAGAGAGATCCACTGATGTGATTACAGTGCCAGCCACTTTCTGTAAAGGTTAGTGCTCTTCTGCAAGTCTTAACATTACTCTCAGATATGACAAACTACATGAACATTATAAAGGTGCAATTGTTTGGAAACTCTGAGTGGAACAATTTTGTTCTTACTGGCAGAATACATTAACTAAATTAATTTCATTAAGACATATTTCAACCATGAAGGAAGATCTTATGTATGAATTGTTAGTTAATGTAGAAATAAGTAAAATTAGTTTAATTTTATTAAAATTCATAATCATAGTAACTGTCCATATTATCATACATTCAGGCACAGCTATTTCAACACACTTTAATGAAGGGCCGATAATTTACAAATGTGTACCATACAGCTGGTATTCTGCCTTTCTCTTGGTCTTTATGTTCAGTTATTGCATTTACATATCTCTTTTTGCAAACCTAACAAAGCCAAAAATTATTTACTTTTATTTTTAACTAAATATTCATTTTTGAACTCTTTAAGTTTTGATCATAGTTAATGTCACACTAATCTTTTGTATGGTAAGCTGCCTTAGGGATATCTGATAATATTCAGTTTTTGCTCCATGTAAAGTAATAATTATAACTGGCTGATACACACCAAACTAATTTCCTGCACTGTGGACTGCCAATACCAAGTATCATTGAAATCAACTTGTTCTGTCTGTTTCACTATTAAAACATATGGGGGGCTTATGTATTATGCATTGATATTATGAGGTTTAAGCATGGAATAACATTAGTGGAATTCTGAAATCAATGTGACATACTTCTCTAAGTGTTGGAAACAGCACACATACACCAAGGGCACGAAGTGCAGACGACCGCACACTGATTTCTTCATCATGACTACATCCAAACAGTAGTGTGACTATTAGAATCTGTTTATCTCGCTGCAATTCAAAGAACATTGACTGTAATAGGAAAATATGAGTGATATTGATCTGCCTTTCATGCAAAGCAATTTCTTATAAAGTGTCCAGATTGTTTTGCATCATACAGTAAGATGTCATTACACTGGAATAGTATTTCCTTATTTTCCCCTTTCCACGTTTATCTTTTCTTCTGCAGTTGAAGTTTGTAGACTGAAATGCCCTTGGATTAAACAGGGCCACAAGTTATAATATCATGGCTAACAGACATGAAATACTCATGGAAACTTTCATGCTACTGAACATGACATCATAAAATTACTGACCTAATTCCAACTATGTGAACACCTCCCCTTCATGTATGAAACTACTTATCTTTTAAATATTTTCAGATATTAGATATATTTGTTACACAAAGACTATAAAATCCTTGAAAATAAGTACTAATTTCATGCAGTGGGATTATATGTGTTTCTGTGATTAATAATACTGCAATGTGTGTCTTGACATTCAGGTGCTGTCCGTGTTCTTAAACCTGGTCATTTTCAACTGAATGTCAACAGTGGTTGTGGCGAACCTCACTAACTGAGGTAAGGAGTGTATGGTGTGTATGGCTTATAACGGGGCTTCAGTTACAGTATATCACCTTCCTTCCCTCCCTTCCACAATGGAGCTTCAACCATTGCTTCACTACTACTCCTCATGTGGAACCAAAAGGCCAGGTCTAAAACACAGCCTTTACTGCTGTACAGAAGCGCTTAAAACTGAGCAGATTGAGTCTTGTTCCTGAGCTTATATAGTGATTTCTCTATTGTACGAGGTGGTACTGGAAAGTTCCCAGACTGTTATTATTGTAACTGCCTTGGTGAAAGAAGATGAGAGGGGAGGCCAAGGTCACACTTCCGAAAGCCTATTGCATCAGTCTGCCATGTGGCACCACACTGTGAACATGCATTCTCTTTATAAGGGTGCTTTTCAACTTTGTGTTTTGTTTTGTCATGGTTGGCAAACCCGAGCAACGTGTCTGCATCAAGTTTTGCGTGAAACTCAGTAAATTACTACTGAAACCCTTGAAATGCTTCATGAGGATTTTGGAGAACATTCTTTAAGCCAGTAAGTGGTTTTTCATAAGGCTGGCCGAATGTCAGTTGAACATGATGAACGTTCAGTGTGACCAAGCACCAGCGAAACGACAGAAAATTTTGAAAAAATTAGACAACTCATCCATGACGACCTTCGACAAGCAATCCATGAGCTAGCAGACACCATTGGGATCAGTTATGGAGTTTGCCAGGAGATCTTAACAGAGGATTTGAACACCCACCGCATTGCTCCTTCATCACAATGCGCCCACCCACACAACCCTGAAAACCACTGAATTTGTGACTAACAACAACATGGTTATCGTTCCCCATCCTCTGTACTCGCCAGACTTAGACCCCTGTGATTTCACTTTGTTTCCCAAATTGAAAATGAAACTGAAGGGACGACATTTTGAAACAGTGTCTGACATCCAAAGCGAATCATACGCAGTACTCAACAGCATTAGGGAAAATGACTTCTGCGGTGCTTTTAAAGCATGGAAAAAAAACGATATCACTGTATACGTTCCCAAGGAGACTATTTTGAAGGAGATGGCAGCCAAAATTGAGTAAGTTAAGCCAGACTTTCTTTTTTGGCCTAGTCTGGGAACTATCTGATAGCACCTCATAAAGGCTGTCTAGCACCAAAGGAGAATGCTCTGAATGCTGACCTGGGAAAAAATGTGGAAGCAAATAGCCACAGAATTCTGTAAGTTCTGCATCCTGCTTGTGTTTAGTAATTACAGAATTGATAAATAATAAATTTATTTTCATTGCCAAACACATGAACAGGCACTTACTTAGGACCACAGTTCAGTTCAGAACTAATGGACGGACTGTTCATAAAATAACAGCCAAATAAGTTAAATGGCCTTTTTATGTGGTATTCGTGTTATGACAGTTCCTCCTTCCACAAACTTGAAAGTGCCATCGGTAAGTATTACCGGACAGTTTAAGATTAAGAATGGGACTGAGCCAGGCATGGGCAGTTTGAGTAATGTGTGTCTTGAGCAGTTACATGATGGTGTTGTGACCCAATGTGCACAAATTTATATGGAGTGGATATGAGATGTAAGGACCTTGCTGGCTTATTTTTAAATAAAAACAGGATGATGGTTACTGTCCAATAAGTCAATAACTGTATTAATATACCACCATCACAAACTTGTTGATCTCAGTTACTTATGGTATTCTTTCATGCCATGCACACATGATAACATTTAAATGCAAATTACTGGTAGCTGTTCAAAAACTCCTGTTCCGATGGTGGCCAAGCAGTCGCAGCCAGCGGCTCTCAGAGCTGCTTGTTCTGCATTCTGGACCAGTGAGATGAGAGGTCCTGAGAGAATTGTTTGCCAGAACTGCAGGTTTTTGTCTAATGAAACTCCTGTTGTTCCACCTGGAAAGTTAAGGGCATAGTAATAATTCTGAAAAGTTTTAGGAAGAAAGAGGCACTTAATGATATTTGATTATGATACTGGACTGTCCTTCAGAGGGTTCTGAGTTTGATAGCCAGTCAGATATATGCAGATGTCTCTCCACTCAGACTGAAACCCTTACCTCTCCTAACACAAGACCTCAGGGTGCTCAGTGTAGTGGGTCCAGTACTGATTGCTGAAGCTTCATACTCTTAATTTCAATGCTCTGCGCAAGGTTTCTCTTGAATCAAAACTGTCACTTCCGAAGTAACTTCAAATGTTATCCTAATGTCATAGCACTTAACTTGCAGCATAATTATGTTGGCTTTATCTTTGCCTCCAGGTATGCCTGATTATTTTTATACTGAAAGGATTGGTTTCATTTTCAGCAGTAGTGTCATTAGCCACAATCAAACCCAAAAACCCTTCAATCCTAATCACTACAGACAACAAAAGTGGCTGTCAGTACAATGACAACCAGTCACCTAAAGATGGGAGCAGGTTTAATTCCCAAGATGTCATGTCTCCCTATGCAATAAAACAGTAATGGTGTTAAATGGGATTATGGTAATATTGGTGGGCAATATAATGCTTTCTACATAGAGTATTAATCTGATGGCAAGCTGATCTGTCCACAACTGTCTCTTTGCTGTGAACTGTTATCATCACATGTTATGACTGGACTGAGTGTGCAAAGCCAAGTCCCTAGGATCAAATATATTTCCCACAAACCAAGTGTTTGGGTGGGGGGGGGACACACACCTCCCTGTGAAAGCTTTACGACTTCACCACCTGAGATACTGACTTCTAGACCATTCTCAAATGCAGAGCCCATGCTGCTGGCCAAAATGTTCCGGTATGACTACGCCAGAATAGAAGTGTGCGGAATTAGCAACTTGGGCAGTCTGTGGGACGAGTCTGAGCTATAAGCTGTGTGCAGCATTTGTGTGTGGTGAGACAGTGGAGCAAAAAGCAAATAAGCAAGCAGTCAGTCCTATGCTGCCAGCTAAAAGATAGTCCAGTGGTGCAGAGTGAACTAGAACAAACTGACATCAGTATTGTAAGTGTTTACAGAAAGTAACTGCTCCAAAACACGATAAATATTGCAATGTCTTAATGGACAGTGTCCAGCATAAATATGGTGAAACGAATCAACCACTGCCACGAACTTTAAAGAATCAGCATTTACCTTGTTCCTGAAGGCACTGCTGCATTGAATTGCCCAGTGCTTCAATGACACGTCCTGAGTGAAGACAAATGGTCACATTTCCATCACTCAATGTCTGCCCTAGCAGTTGCATCAGTTGTCCAATATGGCTGCTTATCACCTGAGTATAGTAGTTTCTTGCTAGAACTGTAAGTACTTGCAGACATTCAACCCTCACAGGAGCTGAACAAGGCAAAAACACAGCACCCCCACCAGCATTCACTGTTCTTATACCTTCCTTCAGGGAAGATGGTTGCAGGTTTCTTAAACACACTTCCAATAACCATGACATTTGGTTATTAACATCTGTGCTGATACAGTCTACAAAGGCATCAGTACCATCTTCCAGTTCATCTTCATAATCAGCGTCCTGGTTAGAACCAGGCTGCTGGCATTTTTCTCCATCATGGTCTCTGCACATCTTGTACTCTGATTCTGGTATCAGTCCAGTGTCACAGTGTTTCTGTCTGGAACTTATTGAACTCTTGCAAAGGATATCTGTAATTTCAGGCGTGCTTGGTTCTACTGCTACTATTGATCCAAGGACTGTCAGAGATGCCACCTGAACATCTGAATCTATCAGAGAGAAAAACTGATTGAAACATGTTTCAATATAATTCAATTTGCAGTGTACATGCTAATCATTCAAAAGATACAGAGAACTAAAGTAAATTCAAAACCTGATCAAGTATGAATTATATTTGAAGAGTTCATTCATTGGAATGAATACTGTGACTGATACTGCCACTAAAAGGTTACATGTAGCGTTTGACAGTCGAAGGTAAGACTGTTCCTGTGCTTCAACCAGCAGAGCTTGTTGGGAAGATAATGTTACCTTTTCTTAATTGTTGGATATCGATTGGTATTTTTTTTTACCCCTTACTGATTATAAAACTTCGATTTTCTTTCATTTGATTGCTTGTATCACTGGGTCTGTGAGACCATGCTACTTTAACTTTTATGTTTTCTATTATAGGGCACCAGCTGCTGCATTGTCATGCCCCATACCCCCGTGTTACATCCACTACTGTGGCTCTGTCAGCTTTATTCCAGCAACATCTGAAAGTATATGGGCATTCAGGAAACAATTCTGAGGTTTCAGGTAAGAATGATTTCTCATAATTTATCTAATTATATTTCCTGTATGTAAAACTTTTGCATACAGAACTGTATGAGATTATGTTCATGGCCATTGTTGAAACATTTAATAATTATGCTTTATATGAGGTTCACACAGCAGTGACCATGAAGATTTCTATCTTCTGGGATGTAACTCTGTGTAGTCTGGTAGCTGTTTGCTGACATTTTGGAGGAACTTGATGCCTCCATCTTCATGACTGAAGAGCAAGCAAGTAGTAGGTGACAAGCAAAACTTTTGCAATCTACTTTTTGTTGGCTACTTGTGTGGCTCACTCTCACGCCCTAATGATGCAGCCATCATGATTCTCCAAGACATCGGTGAACTTCTACTTGACTACACAGTGTTACACCCCAGAACATGGAACTTTTCAACAGTTATCTTTAACAGTTACGATCATAAGGGTACCACTTGGATGTTCCTCATTTAAGATCCAGCTTCAGTGAACGCAAGTCAATAATGTCAGTGTTATATTTTCTCCAGCTAGATTTTCCCCAGTTCGGTGACCAAATTCACCGCTACCCAGAGAAACCTAAAGTGGGGTTTTCGCTGTATTTACATTATTAATTTTGTAGCATGCAGACCTGTTCCTCAATACAATACCCTCATGACCTGGCACCCATATCAATTGAACACTGGCCAGTTGTATGTATCTGATGTGAAAACAAATCTATAAAGATATCAAGAATGCATTATAAAAACTGAAGACATGACAGTTCTTCTCCAACTGCTATTAATTCTTCGACTTTCGAAAGTGTCACCAAATTGTTTTAGGAATGTCCAAAATAGAGAACTGAAATGGGAATAGACCTCATGACGCTTGGAATATTTTTGTTAAATGTTTTATTTTTCTTTGTGTGTGTGTGTGTGTGTGTGTGTGTGTGTGTGTGTGTGTGGACCAGAAATCTTTCAGTGGGTCTCTCTGATTGGTCCCCACTTGAACACTATCAGGAAAAAAGTGTGTTTCCTGTATAGTCTTGTCCTTCACCAAGCACATCCAAGTATTGGTGGTAATATCTGTTAGTCTCTTCCACCAACAGTTGCATAATTTCAAACAAGAAGAGCATGAAAATGCTCAGTGATGTACAGTCGTTCATAATATGAGGTACCCTGCTTTGTCTCAATCCACTGAGCCCCCCTGTAAAACTGTGGATTACACACCCAGAAGTTTGAATCTGGGTACAGTCCACTGTGTGGAGTCTGTCTAGTGTCTCTTTTACTCTCAATGTCAGTGCATGTCACTTACAGAAGGAAATGTGTCTTCATCCTCTGATAATTGTTCATGTGAATCACTGTTAAAATTGTTTCTTTTACTATGTCTTGTTCCTGAAGTGTCTTGCACTCAGAAAGAAGAAAAACTGTATCCTACAGTCACTGTGAATGTAACTGCGGTCTGAAGATAGCCTCGGCAAAGGCCATCACCTGTCCTTGCAAGGGACAAATAAATATTGCTTCCTGTATGTTGAACGTGTGACTCACGTAAATGAAAATCACTAAGTGGAAGGTGGAGAGAAATATATGAAATTTCAATATGTTAAACTTACATAAAAATCCATAAAATGAAAACAATCCAATGAAAATATTTATGCAATCATTTTTACCAATTTGCAATCCTGATTATTGATCACAAAACAATGGCAGCATACAGTATTTTTTTCTGGTTAACCCTCAATGAGGATATTCAGAAGTTGTTCCTTTTTGCACTGAACTGTTACAGAAATGCAACTAGCAAGGGGCTAAGGTTATTTTACAGTCCTGCTTCTAAGAATAGCAAACAGAGGCACATCTCATAAGAAGAAATGTTTATGTAGTCTGAACCACAGCACCCATAAATCTCTGACCTCTCTGCACAACTCTTCTCAGCAAGACATTAGGGTACTGTTCTCATATACAGTTTATTACAAAGCTTGTGGCACGCGTTTCCTATAAAGTGTGAATAGGTTCATGTAACTGCACAGGAACATAAACAGAACCATGTATATAAAGGCAACTGTTTCAAAATTTTGGACACAGTTAAATGGATTCATTGTTAACAATCCAGTTTTTATTTCACGTTAACAGCTTAAAAAAGGTATTAATTATGAATGTTATTATGACATGCTGCAGAATTGATCATTTAAATCTAAAAATAATCAGGCTGCAAGTACACACAAGTGAATTTAAATGCCATATACTAGGCACTAAAATGCTCCAAAAAATCTTATTCAGTAAAAGTAATTTTAGATGTACAGGATTTAAGATTTTCACTGTGCTAACAAAATATAGTCTGAGACTGGTAGGTGCCGTGAAGATGGTGGCAGTATGTTCTCTGAAACGTTCCTACTCACTTACCAGAGTACATGACATCATAACCCAGAACACCAAAAATGTAAATTTAAGATGCCTTAATAATATGAAGTAAAATGCTCAGGGCCTCTCAAATCTGGTGCAACCACTGAAAATTGGGCATGAGCTCTGCTGGGTTAAGAATAATGCCATGAACATGTATGTGGGAGTGGAGACAAAGCTCAACACATTCTTAAGCTCTGCACTTGATGGAGTTGACTGGTGAGTTCTATGCTCCATCTCTAACAAAATAGATCCTGGTATGCCTCACTTGGATCGAAGGCTGGGTAGACACCACACCCGATCTAGATGTGATGATACAGAGAAAGGTCCTTGCTCCTTCCAGAAATCACAGGTCAAGTCATGACCTATCTTGGCTGATATTAATGAAATTTATAGTCAGTTTAACTGAATTAGTTTAATATCAAAACCAACAGATAAAACCTTTTTTTTAACTTCATTTCTTAAATTATTTAACAATGCCTTCTTCATGGTATTGATTATGGAGTGTCAGATGGTAGGATGATGAATTTGGAAGGAAGCAGCTGTTGTCTCTTTCATAGTACTATCCCAGAATTCATCCAGAGGGACTGAGGGACACCGAAAAATACCTTAGGCAGGTAAAGGTAAAGCTATCCCTGTAACAGGCCATGAAGGCCCACAAGGTTGTGAGACGTTGAGGCTCCCACAATTAGCTCACAGATGGCAGTAAGGATATCAGCCTTAAGCATCTGCCACCCTTTACCCCCAAGAAGATTCCTGGTACTCAATTCTGTTAGAGGCTGAGTAGACCCCAGGGCCATAGTGCAGCTGGAAGGATTAGGTAAATTGAAAAAAATCCACCTCATCAGGACTTGAACCCATGACCTTCTGGCTTGTAGCATGGTGCCAACAACAGAAAATTAAGCAGGGGTTCTAATGACTTGACTGCAATGTCCATTACCACATTTGTTAATTTGCATTTATTCTGATATCACTTTAACAGAAACAACAGAGTGAATAATCTGCAAGAACTGTGCTGCTATAATCTTTTTGCTAATTCCTGTTGTGGCTTTTATGCAACCCAAAAGTTCTTCATTCTTTTCACCAAAGCATTTCATCAGACTCTATTCTGAGCTAGTTGAATCTTGTCTGTATCTTCACGATTAGATCTTCAGAGTATCTCTTCAGGTTTCCTGGCCAAAATTGTGTATCAATTTCTTGTTTCTCCCATGTATTCACATATTCCACCAGCCTAACCTTGAATTTATCATGCTAACAATATCAAATGATGATGAAGTATGAACCTACCCATTATGTAATAATATGGGGCTAACAGCATCTCATCATAAACAATCTGTATGCTACAAAATGTAGTAACTTCACGCCTACAAACCCATTACATCTCCTGTTATGATATCTTCATTTAGCTATGTAGATGTGTATTTCATATTTATATCTACAGTTGTGTTCAGTTTCTTGTGAACTATTTGTGAGCACTAGGCAGCTTTCAGAATATTTCATTTGGAAACTGATGTCTATGAAGTGTTAACAGATGATGGAAAGTGTACGTGTGAAATTAAATCTAGGATTGCCATGGCAAAAGCTGCATTTAGCAAAAAGAAGAATCTTTTCACCGGCAAATTGGACTTAAATTTGAGAAAGAAACTAGTGAAATGCTACATTTGGAGCATTGCTTTGTATGGGGCTGAAACTTGGACACTTAGGGCAGTAGATCAGAAACCTGGAAAGCTTCGAAATGTGGTGTTCGAGAAGGCTGGAGAAGATCAATTGGTCCGATCATGTGAGAAATGAAGAAGTGTTATTTAGAGTCAGTGAGCAGAGGAATATCCTACATGAAATAAGGAAACGGAAGGCTAATTGGATTGGTCATATCTTACGCAGTAACTGGCTTCTAAAAGAAGGAAAGATAGAGGGGCGGATAGAAGTGACCAGAAGACGAGGAAGACGTAAGAAGATGCTGAATGGCCTTGGGGACAGAAGAGGATATTTTCATATGAAGGAGAAAGCTCTAGATTGCATCAAGTGGAGGAACTGTTTTGGAAGAGACTGTGGACCCGTCATCTTGACAGATTACTGATGAATGAATGAATGAATGTCTATGAAGCATACTCCCCATTCAAAGGGAAACTGTTCTCTTGCAGCTTAGATTTATATTACATAATATACATGATCACTGAATTGGGATAAAACAAGTGAAATATAAATTTTTATAAATTTAGTATCAGTTGGTACAGAGACTAAGCTGGGATTGACTCATGGGATATCTTCCAGATCACCTCTGGGACTTACCCAGCATCCTATCCAATGGCTTGGCTACTGGGAGCTTGTTCCCTTGGGGTAAAGCAGCCAGGACATGAAGCTGGGCACTCACCTTAATCTAGTGCCAAGGTTAAGAATGTGTGGAGCTATACCTCCATTTCTCCATGTCTTCATGGCGTGGTGTTTGGTTAAACAGAGGGATACTCTATCTCAACAACTGTAAAACATGTAATTGGATTACCCTTGTGCCTAAGGTGTGGTTTGACATTTCTGACTACCCTGGTGATCAGTCCAGGCTCCAGGCGATGATATGGAGTATTCTGAACCAGGGCAGCCAGGCACTTCAGCAGCTGTGTGATGACAGGAATGGAATTCTCCATTGGAAGTGCCAAGCAGAGTGATTGGTGTAACTCCCGTACCATATTACCAATCGTTACTGAGAATGGTGTAAATGGTATAGAGCTCTTTGAACTGTATATGAAAGAAAACTGATATTAATAAAATCAGCATTTGTTACATTTTTGTGATTTGCAGAGAACCACAATAGAACGCCTCATCTGTTAAAAAATTACAAATGAGACCCTTTTTCTAACATAGTTAATCCCTCAAAGTTGTTAAATCACCCCTTTGCAAGTGACACATACTGCTACAAAGGTAAGGTAAAGCTATCCCTGTAAGGATTAGGTAAATTAAAAGAAAATCCACCTCATCGATCCTCAAACCCGCGACTTACCAGTTTACAGCAAAGAGCCTCAACCAACGACAAATGTAAGTTGTAATTTGTAGAGGAGTAAAGGATGGATTTACAAATTAATATTAACACTGTATATGCAATGCCATAACCTCTTCTCAGCCTGTGAGAGATAGAGCCTAGAGCCTGTGAGCATCAGAATGAGACTCTGTGGTACCAGCATCCTGCTGTGTGGTGACGGATCTTTCAGAAGACTTGTGCATAGCGTAGGTGCTTGGAACATGTTTGGTCCATCAGGCAAGAGGCTTGACCAGTAGCCAAATAACAGCTTCCGATCACACACCTGAAATTCAGTAGGTAATGTTGCAAACCTGTTGCAAACCTAATCACATTACAGATATGACATCGCATATCTTAAGACACTGATCTTCCTTTAATTTCTTTAAATATTTATAGTACTTAAAGATGTTTCCAATAAAAGCTGTAAATGTCAATGATATGTATTTTATATTATAAATAAATATTGTGTAGAAATTATATAATATGAAAGTCATATGTTAAGGACTAGAAGGACATTAAAGTCACCTTACAAATTTTGGCATATATTGCGAATACAAAATTCACTGAAACATATTTAATAGTTTCAGACATCAAACATAAGGCTGGACAACAAGTCTTCCCTCTGCACCAAACCTGTATTTTATTCACTTCGAGAAAAAATGTTTCACAAATTTCAAGCAACACATGAGAGCCATACCGTTACCTTTGTGACGGTTATGAGAAGTGACAGTGCAGACTTTCGTACTCTTCCCTGAGTCACTCTGTTTTTGGCTGCTTGTCCAGCCTCTGTGTCAGAAAAGTCTGAATCACTAGTTTTCAACCACACAGGGTACAGGGAAGTCTCCAAACTACTCTCAGTTGCCATCATATTATGTGCAGAATCACGAAAAGTGTATGCGCAGAAAGACTGTGTCGGTATGGGGCTGCTATGGTTCTTCCTCCCTCCATCTTCAACATTCCTATTGGTTGTAGAGTCTGATTTTTTCTGACGCTGCAGATTTCGTTTCTTCACTCGAACACTCTGAAAATCACATTATGTGCAACAGTAAGAACTGAATTTCTGTAAATATTTTCCTGTGACTTCATTTGTTATGATTGTGTGTCTTTTGGTTCACTACTTCATAAAATTATTTTACTTCAAGTAGTCATTTCTAATGTGTTCAACAAGATGACTTGTCCGGGGCAAAGGATAAATCAAGGTGAAATCATTTGCCACATAACAAATCATAGTTCCACACTATAACTAATATACTGATGCTCCTCACGTGTTTTAATGTGGAACAGTTTTGAAAGTTTATCTTTATGTGGTAAATAAGAAAACATGGGCTTACACAAATGATGACTTTGCAATTCCAACATATACATTTGATTATTTGTTTTTTCTTGGCTGAGTTGCTGCAAACACATCCTGCTGCTGGCAGCAATCAGTGCCTTAAGCTTCAAGACAGGTCATTTGGCTGACTTGTGAGTTAAGAAAACCATGAAAAATCTTGGTTTGAATACCTGATCTTGGATTTAAGTTTAAACTTTGGATTTCATAAATAAAAAGCATGAGTCTTATACACTTAAGACTGCAATTCTTGGTGGTGCAGTTGTTGAATATAGTTAGACCCAACAGGTGAAAAAAGAATTTGTTCATTCATTTCACAGATCTCAGACTAACTGAATAAGTACTAGTTTCTCTATCATCTGCGTTTATGTAGCCCATGTGCTAACTGTAGTCCTCAATGACAGATTTTTAGGTTTCCTCATGTTCATTATAGATGTTGCTTTGTACTGATATGAAGGGCCAGCCACTTAAGTACTTGTGCTTGTTTCTTTAACAGCCTCAAATTTAGCTACAGCTAAAACCCTCCAGACTGAGGCTCTGCGTGGCTAGATCCAATGGTCATATATCCAACCCAGATGGGCAATGACATAATGCCATCTTCTCCTGTGTTACTGGCAGTCAGATGCCAACTGTTGTTCACAGACAGGGACATCACAGCTCCCACCATTAAGTCCCAGCTGGATCCACAACTGAGCCCCCAGTTTTCCCTAGGCCAGCTTCATCTGCTACTCAGACATTTCTTCTGCTTGATGGACAGGTTATTCACCAGCATCAAGAAACCCCATTCAGCCTTGCCCTTGTGGGCCCCTGAAGGCTGACAGCCTCTTTCTCTCAGTAGAAAGGGCCAACATCGGAGACCTAAGACATCAAAGGAAGAGCTTTTTCTCTTGGATTGTTGACAACGGAATGTCTACAGCTACCCACTGTCATTCACTGACAGGGACAGCTGACACCTTACTGCTGTCCCCATAACCAAGTTCCCACCAAGGCCTCAGTTCCTGAGAGTAGGGCCTCCTTTAGTGGACTGCTTCTTCACTAGCCTATCCAATTATTCTTCTTGATAGCCAGCTTATTCACCCCTTTTGGGAGACCTCTTACAGACTTGCCCTAAGTGGACCCTCACCAGAGTCCCTGAGGGATTTGAATGCTTCTAAACCAACACCAGCAGAACACTCAATGCCTGAGCAATTCAAAGTGGGGAGAGAGAGCTTCCTCCTAGTACACTGGTGGCAGGGACCCTCCAGCTGCCCTCCATCCCTATGCCAGGGTCAGCAGAGTCCCAACCTGGACCCAGAAGCGTTGTAATCGACGCACGCAGCCAAAAAAGGACACATCACAAGACACAGTATACACAAAATATAGGAAGAAAGACTCCCATAGTGGAAAAATGATATAATACACAAGTGTGAATTAAGACATATAAGATGATAAATATTAACAAATTTTAAATATATATATTTTATCATAGTAAATGAAGAATATACATTTTAAATAATTTTATAAACGACACATGATGGCGAGCAGTGCAATAGTTTAAGGTAAATAACACACCTGAGGATGGCACAGTGATGCCGAAACATGTAGTGAAGTGACATGTGAGATTGAGTGCACTAGACAACTGCCAATACATACATATCATGAAACATTTCTAGATTCTGTGGGATTGCATTACAAGCACATTTTACTTTATTTTCACATAATTCCTTTATAGTTGTTTCATCCCTATGAAATATATTGCTCACCTTGCCACCTGTCCCATCATGCAGTGCAGTTTGCCTAATGTCATATAAAAAGAGGTTTGCCGGAAACACCTGTTGTGGTCGCAAGTCAGTATAGCCTTGTAATCCATACAGCATGTATGTCTTGACCATGCCCAGTGCTTCCCCTAGAAGCTGCTTGAGTAGATCTCTAGACTGCTGCAGAATGTTTTGCAGTCCTCGCAGCGATGCAATCAGAACCTAGAATAATAGTGTTGAAGAGTACTACCTTCTGGGGTGTGATGCCATGTAGTCTGGTAAAGTTCACCAACAAACATGGCCCTGCTTCTTGGTGCCTGGCTGCTTGCTTACTCTTCAGCCCTAAAGATGGAGATAATGTGTTCCTCCGAAACGTCAGCGAATGTTCATCAGATTACATGGTGTCATGTCCCAGAAGACAGCACTCTTCACAATCACTGATGTGAAAACTTCAAATCCAAAATAACAGTGCTACTTGATTCCATACAGTTCAAAACAGAAGAGCATTTGATATACAAAAATTTTAGAAAAATTCATCATTAAGAAGAGTGATAAGATGTAACAAATCTTATGAGACCAAACAGAAGGACATAGGTCACTGCATGCAAGATAAAACGGAATATTACATCATATCGACTCATATAGACTTCTGATTATTCTGGGTGAATATGAAATGGATTTCAGCAGATAATTGTTAAAAGGAATATGTAACTAATTTGTGAAATGGAAGTTATGACACAAATATTTACTCAAATGCTATTAGCAGAAACGGGAGTGTGGCTCATGAGAAGTTCCTATACATTTTCTACACATTAAGAAGAAAAAACAAACAAACAAAGCCTTCTGATGTCTTTATATACACACTCAAATGAATACTGAACCTTTAGATTACATAATAGGCAGGAAATGTCTTACATAACTGAGCAACTATTAGGTTCTCTATTTAGTTAGGCCATACAATTAAAGTAGTTAATAGAGTGCAATTCAATTATCATGAACCCCCAAACAAAAATCGGTCAATTATTATCTACCATAATAATGTCAGTGACTAAATCAGGAGTGGGCAGACAGACAAATGCAGCATAGTAATAACTGAAAAGTTATGTGGTCCTTGTAACAAGATTCATTAACTATCTGAAGCAGAAACTGACTGCTAAGAACCACTGATACCAGTGCTCCCCAATGGATATGATCCTGAGCCAGTTGTATCAACCTCATAACCTAATTCCCGAAAATAACCTTGAAGTTATCATCCTATCTCCCCAGATAAGCAAGTGGATGTTTCAAAAGAGATTCCCATCATAATTCTGCATATATTCATCTCATCCATCTTATCCAGAAGTCTAGCCCTTCATAATCCTCCATATTTGACTGTTCTACTAAAATTACTGGATCATGAACTATTTTATGTAAGATTTGATGTTTTCATGTCTCAGGTTCATATTCCTGTCTTTCTCGTTGGGGGAGTGTGTCTGGCAGGTGCGTATCAACACACTGCCTTCATCATCAGGTTAGAAGTGAAGTCTCTTGCTATGTAATATCCTACACTGCCTGCTTACTTCACCCTTGTTAGGTCTAAATATTTTCATGTGTATTTTGTATTTCAGTTTTAATTTATGTGACACCAAGTTTCACACCCGTATGGAACTGGCAATATTACTGTGATATACCATATTACTTCAAATATAAGACACACATTTCACAATTTTTTTTTTTCCAGTTGAAAAGTTGAGGTGTGTCCTAAATTCAAGGAATGTGCACCCTTCTAATTTTCTCCCCTCTAAAACCCACATTCAAAAACTGGATGTGTTTTAAATTCAAGGGTGTTTTATATTCAAAGTAATATGGTATTATGTCAAACATTAACCCAAAACCTATCAGAAGCAAGATATGCATTAGTGATGGGATACAGAAATGAATGCTTTTAGTTACTTGGGATATCATAAGTAGAACAGGATTTGATGTAGAAATTGTATATTTTGTCACTTGCTAGAGCAACATCATCTGATAGCCTGAGCTGGTTGATGGAGCAGTAACACTTTAAACTTGTATGTGGGAGGTACTCAGTTCAAACTCTGATCTGTACACTGGCTGCTCTGAGGATTTGGGGGGTTTTCCGGAGTCTTTCCAGGCAAATGCTGGGTTGTTACCCTGATTACACCATCGATGTATCTTTCTGAATCCTTTATAATCTGTTATTCACCAATAATCCTACCATTCAGTGCTATATAGTCTGAGATACTGACAGTGTCATGAAAATAAGCCACAAAAATTATCATATGGTAATGTATTGTATCATGGACAATCAGCAGATATGATGAGGAAAGACTGATCTCTACAGAAAAGTATATCATGAGGAGGTCTGTGGGATACAATCTTTCAGGCTATAAAAGAAGTGAAGAAATTATGAGAGAACTACAAAATCCACAAGTAATATAATGTATAGCAGGCAGCGATCGTGGGACGATTTTTGGTCAATCTCATAGGCCTATGAGGAAATTATACGTGAAAAGCATGTAAATTCACTTGTAATATAATATGATTATATTCAGATTTTGAAGGGAAAATACATATTAAAGTAGTCTGTACTTTCAATGTATGTTGCTTTTATAACAAACATCATGTGTCATGTTATTTTTACCAATATTTTTGCTTAAAGTGAGGTACGACGATTGGAGGGGGTGGTAGATCACTGGAAGTTTTGACACTAAAATGTCAACAACAACCTGTTTGAAGTTGGACATGCCTGATGTACAGAATACAGAAGAATATGGAAAAAAACAGGGTCTGAAAAATACTGTGGCATGTGAACCTGCTGCTAGGCAATGACATGAAATAAACAACTATACAACCACCGTTGCTAGGTAACAGCTCCACCAATAGACACAAATACAACTATCCTGCAGCAATAACTGCACTGCGACAGAGGAGTGGTGTTTTCTGTGTGGTCTCTGCCGAGATGTTATAAGCAGGTAGAGGGGAAGAGTCAGTCAGTGAGGAGCTGGCTGGTTAGTTAGTGAGTTAGTTAGAGGACTGATGTGGTACAGTTATTGTGAGCTGTTGCTGTTAGAAGTTGGTAACTGAGGCCAGGGACAGTTCGGGATCACAGAGGAATGATCTGCTGTTGGAAGCAAGCATCAGCAGTGAAGATGTGAATGTGGACACGTGTGTGTGCACGCATGCATAAGTGGCTGTGTGGGCATGTGTATAACAGTGAACTGCAAAGTGTAGTCATGTTTTGTGTATCACAGGATCCAATAAGTCCAGTCATCATTCGAAAACCAATCTACAGTCACACTCCGTCATGTGACAATAACTTAAAATACTAATGAGAAGGAAAACAAATCAGGGAGACCTCTGAAATGCTGGAAGTATTACCAGTAATGGGGGGGGGGAATAAAGCTATCCCTGTAACAAGCTGTGAAGGCCCATACAACCATACGGTTGTGAGATGTTGAGGGTCCCACATTACCTTGACAAACGGCTCAAAGATGGCGGTAAGGTTGTCAGCCTTACATGCCGGCCGTGCTTCACTCCCCAGGAAAATTAAATAATTAATTCCTGGTACTCATTTCTGTTAGAGGCTGAGTAAACCCCAGGGCCTAGTGCGGTTGGAAGGATTAGGTCAATTGAAAAAAAAATCCAATAACCTCATCGGGACTTGAACCCGCGACCTTCCGGCCTGTAGGACAGTACCTTAACCACTAGGCTACTGCATATCCCACCACTAATTGTAATGATGATATACTATATTAAGCAAAGATACAACACACCTTGCAATAAACCAGCTCTTCTTGTTCTGGATGTTTTTCAGAGTATAACTGCTTCAGAAAAACCTGTGCACAAGCTTCAAGATATTTTAATTTTAATTGTTCTGCAGGAGGATCGGGAGGAAAGACCAAGGATTCAAAGCATTCAATGGCCATAAGATGCACTTCCCAAGGTGATGCCAATATCAGTCCATCTTTCTTCCTGTTTGGTTGATTTCCATACTCCAGTAACAATGTTAATGCACCATTTGCACCTGCCAACTCATCCATTTGCTGAAAATGTGTTAAATTAACTTAATGCAGAGAAATGAATTCTGTAGATTCGTATTCACACTCCCATAAAAATAAATCCTATTGTGAGTGTGCTTTATCTTTTCTGCTATTCTGTTTACTATCATTTGCAGTGGAAAACTTGAAAGAATTACAAAGAAATACAGATGTACACAAATTTAAATACAAGACATAAGTATGACCTTTACATGCAAAATGCTAACCTCACTAAATATCGGGAAGTACACTACACACATATCAGGACATTCAGTAGTCTTCCACCTACAATTAAAATCTTAAATCATGGTATAAAAGTATTCAAGCCTTCATCACAAGATTACTTCTTAACTAACCCCTTCTACTGTGTAAATTATTTTACCTCTATTAAAAAATTTAAGTTTTATGGACATCTAAATGTGAAATGACATATTCTACATCCTTTGGTTTAGCCCATATGAGAATCTACGGAACACATACTCAACTCTATACAGAGTATTTTCTTTTACCGTCACCTATACCTTCAGACTAATAAGTAACCACCATGAAAGATGAAACAACATACCTCTTCAACATTACTTCCATTCCTACGCAGGAGAGCTTGAAAAGCTAGTAGGATATCCACAATGGCTACATCCCCACAGTATTTCAAAGACTGCGTACACCATCTGATAGCTATGGACAATGTTTTACCTTCCACCTTCACATGTTGCTTTGTGATTAAATTTGAAATTAACTGGCAACCCTTTGCTACCAAGAATGTGTCCGTGGAAGGCACAATTGAAGTACATCGATTTATGATGAGAATAGCATCCTGTAATTGTAAATCATTAGAAATATTTAACACATCATTCATAAATAATAGCAAACTGTAATATGCCCTGCTTTACAAATTTGTTGCAGCAATGTAGCAACAGTATTCTCATGTAGACACAATTTTATGTGATCTTCATTTCAACTCAAGTGGTGATACATGTTGTCACATCCAAGAAAACCTTACCTTCATATTCACAGTGGCAAGAACCTCATAAATGTAAGCATGCAACAATACTGGAGCCATCGCTAAGCTTAAGACCATTCAAGTGACTAAGCAGGCATTGTAGCATAAGATAAGTAAGATAAGACATTATCTACATTGCAAAGTGTGGGCTGACAGAGGACTTGTATACAGTGCAAAAGGAAGAACTTTCAATAACATGCTGTATATACAATATGTACACTTGACAAAAGGCCAAGCATATTCATAAGAGACAAACCCATCCTCTCATCAGAGAGGATGTTACATAAGGCCTATTACCACAAACGTTCACTTGAAAAAAATAATCTCTTGCCATGATGGTGGTTGTTGTTCCCACAAGTCGCATATGAGGTTGTCTTTGCATATGAAGCCATGTCATACGCGGATTGTGGGAACAACTGACAAGAAAGGGGAAAACTGCAGACAAAACATAACAACAGGCTTGCACATGGAAAGGGTGAGTTGCTGCAATGTAAACAACCAAAGAAGGGAACATCGCTTAGACAAGCGGATGATGCCCCTTATGAGGTGGAATTAGGAGTTTTTATGTAATTAAAAATTCTAATGACTTTTAGTTGATTTTAAATGGAGTGAACTGTAACAAAGCACAACGTCTGCACATGCAAAGAAAACACCATACATGGGTTGTGGGAACAACAGACAAGCAAGGAGCAAAACTGCAGACAAAACATAACGGGCTTGCTTGTGGAAAGGGTGAGCGCTGCAATGTAAACAACCGTAGAAGGGTATGTTGCTTAGACAAGCGGACGATGCCCCTTATGAGGTAGAATTAGGAGTTTTATATAACTAACAATTTTAACGATTTGTAATTGATTTTAAATGGAATGAACTATAACATGTACAATTTTTAACGCATGACAGTTGAGACCAATTAGAACATTTTAATTACAAAATGTTCAGTTATGCGCGTGTGGAAGGAACAATACTCGGTGCTGTGTAGCAGGTTTGGCATAATGGACCACCTGAGGATGGCCGTTGGGGGCCGAAAATTGTGCTGCGGCCTATACACGCACACGGCCTATACATGCGAAAATACGGTATTAGCCAAACTATGAGAGGTAATTTGTTGTTACGTGTTGCATTAGTATCCCTGAATATATTAGTCTGCAATAGTACCAACTTAATGAAACAAAAGGTACCTCATTAATACAATTATCAAAGGCAAATTTTCTTCATTCATGCATTCTTGTAACAAAATATTTCACCTACATCTGAAATACCGACTAAAGGTGACTTGATGTCTAGAGCATTTAGCTCGTCGAACAATGAGTTTATTTGTTGTCTATCACATTCACTCCTTCCATGGAGTAAACTTGCGAACTTAGATGCCAAATATTGAAATTTAGTTCTACAATCTTCATTTAGCAGCCCAATTTCTGCAGCCATAGTCCCAATCGTAATAATGAGATACGATTCATATCACCACTTATCTCGCTCCCCCTGTTACCTACAGTTAGTTCTAGTGACACCTATAGGTAAAATTCCGAATTATAGGCGCTTGACCAATCAGAACACGTATTACTTCAGCGCTAGCGGTTCAAGTGCATTTGGATAAAGAGGTGTATGATGGGAAAGAAAGGTTAATACTTTCAAGGCACTGGTGAGGAAAATGATTTGCAACCTGATATGTATTGCAGATGGGCCTACTAGGTTGTTTTTTTTTAGGTGGGAACCGCGTTTAATGTCACTTCACTCATATCCCTCCCAAAGGATGTGGGTGAAGTGATACTGAATAATTAAAAAGGGGGGGGGGTTAGAACCTCTGCTGTCTAGGAGATCTGGTTGAAAAATTATTTATTGCTATTCTTGCGAAACACGCCTTCCTAAGCTTGGGAGATTCAGTGTTAATAGTTTTTCACCTGACCAAGAAATTTCCTGCCTTTTAGTTTTTCACCTGACCAAGAAATTTCCTGCCTTTATGGAACCATTAAAATTATCCCGAGTTAGTTAAATTAAGTCCATATTTTCACATCTGTTTCTGTGTGATCAGTTTAATATTATCCATGATCTGTGCCCATGTCCTCCAATTTGTCTCATATTTTTAAGTTTTCAGATCTGAATTATGTATGTACTTCATCTTCCATATGAATTTTGTATGTCACACCCTCGTCATTCATGAGTCAGTCTACCAAGTAGGGGAAAACTGTAAATTGTGATGCTCCTCTTTATGTTATTTTTTATCTCAGTCTCTGCTCCTCTCATAGAGTAAGGGGCCCAAGTTTAACTCGGGTATAAAACAAGTACAGCTTAGCCAGTATAGTGACAGGCTACCTGCTTGATGGCTGGGGTTTGATTCCTGGCAAGGGGAAGAGATTTTTCTCCTCTCAACAGGATCCAAACCAGTTTTGGGGTCTACGCAGGCTCCTGTTCAATGTATACTGGGGACTCTTTTCCTGGCTGTAAAGTGGCTGGAACATAAATCTGACCACTCATTTCCATCTAGTGCCAAGGTCAAGGATGGTGGAGGTCATCTACGCAGTAGTTACGATTCAACGAAGCCACACAGCGATATATAGCGTTTTGCAACATAACGTGACCGTAGAGGGCCATATGGCCCACCCGGTCCGCAACACTTGGAAACGTAGAGGGCCATATGGCCCGTCCGGTCCACAATGTGTTAAATGAAGCTCATCATGACCAAATACATGATGAGAACACCTGATCACCTAATGTTCTCCAGGTTCATCAGAATGGATGCAGACATTTCTGTGAAGCACTGGTAATCGATCGCGCACTGACGTGGGGGTTTGTCCAAGGAGGCATTTAGATGGGTTGCAGGTGGGTTGGAAGTTGAACATGTGAATCAGTGGTTTTGTTGTCTTCTGCTCGATGCAGTCTTTCTGAACCAGTGTGACAAGACAGTAAATTGTTTCATTTTATGCATTTAACGAAATGTGGTAACAGCAATTCAGTCTAGTATCTCATGGATGTATGCTGCTGTTTGTTAAAATGTTTCTGTCCGGATATGCCTATGCATATCTTGGTGCCCAAGTTTTAATGATGCTGATATGAAAGGTAAGCGAAATACCATGTAATTCTTATTTGGAGGTCAGTGTTTGCTGTAAGGATGCATGTACTATTATACACCATTTGGATTGAAATAAAGGCTTAAAGCCCATGTTGAACCTTCCCTCATCCCAGTGTTCACACTGTGTATTTTGTAATAGTTTCTGGACTTTTGTTGATTATCTGTGCATGAAGTTTTTTCTTGTGTTTTTGTCATTAATGTGTAATATAGCATTTTATAGGATTTGGTTTGTTTTCAGATCCCTCTCAAGTTGAACCATGTCCTCGTAATAATTTTCAGTTTGGTTCTGTTTACTTTCCCCCCAGGGTTCTTTACTATTTCACCATCTCTTCATATTTGGTGCACTTTGGGTTTGCAGCATTCAGCTGTCAGCTGTAGCAGCATAGTAATGTCATGCACTGAATTGAGTGAATATACCGAGATTATACTTTGAGAAGACCGTCTGAGGCCACTGATATTAGTATAGAATTATCTGTTTTGGTTGTGATCAGCATAAGAGTCTATTTTATTGTAGTGAATTTGCAATATTTGGATATACAGATGAACACTACATTTGTGAAGTATGTTTTTTCTCTCTTCAGTACATTTCGTGAGAAATCTGAAAGTCCAAAGGTACTTGAAAATGAGATGGTGTGATTAGGGATCCCCCCCTCCCCATTTATATTGTGGTCTGTAGTGGCAATCCATGGATCTAACCATCTCGCTGCAGTGGGAACTGGCCAAGGTAAGAAGGCAAAAGGTGACTAATGAGATGTGATATATTTACATGCAATGTGAAAAAGGAAATTAATGTGGGAAGTAGTATTGGGATTTTGTAGAGGGTAGACTGGCTGATTATGGGATTGTCCTTTGATGTGCAAACTTTGAATCGTAAATGGCATTGCAAAATAAATATGATAGACGGTTAAAATGCCAATGATGGTGTCTGTGGATATTAATTTTGTATTTAGGGATATGGGAAACGTTCCATATCAGTGATATAGGCTGAGAAAGGAAGGGTTACAAGCAGGGCCCAGATTTTGATTACATGTCACATTTCTTTCCTTGTATCCTATGCGATGCTCTTAAATATATAAATCTCGGATATGAACTGCTGGTTACAGAAATGTAAATTTTATAGGTA